AACCCTTAGGAATGGCTTTTTGGATGAATAATTTTCATACTTGTTCACATGAGTGTTTAATAATTTCATGGTATTCGAAGACTCTGCAGCATTATCGGCAAATCATTCGATAGTCGAATGATATCCTCGCCATACCTGTTTAATTAATGGATTAATTCCATAAGGACAAAAACCTCTTAATTATTCCCTTGGATCAGAAAAAACCTTAAAGAACACAACATTTGATTTCTCATCAGTCACAGTTGGAATTACAACCTCATTAACCTGTAAGTTTTTGTTGATGTAGAGTTCAGTGTCTGTTGACTCATATACTACTTCATAATAACCATACACTAAAAAAATGTTCAAAATACGACTTCAGGTGAAAATATCTATTAAAATTTATATGAACTGATAGCCAAAGAATTAAGATTAGAACTGATAGCAATTAAGTAATAGTTACATTAGCATATAAACATATTAGCAGAAGACCAAGACCAAGAATAAAAGGTTACTTAAAAAATAGAAAATAACAAAGTAAGTGGGCATATGCCAAATTTATAACTTAAAATTATCTCTATTCAACGGAAGTAATAAATAAAAAAGAACATATGGTAAGGGCAATAAAACTATTGCAATATACCACATACGGAATAATTATTAACTTTCTAAAAAAAAGAAAAAACCAATCCAAGCGCGATGAACAATAGAGTAATTCCAAGAGAGAAAATATCAAATAAAATGTTAATAGTAACTCCAATAAAATAAAAAACTAAAATCTACCCGAATTCAATTAAATAATCAGAGTTAATTAACTCTAGTTAAAAAATTTTGAGGTGGACGATTAAAGATGAAATAACAAAAGTACTAGAGAAGAACTCCTAATAATTTCAAGAAGATATTGAAGAAAAATCCAGCTCAGAAAATGAGCTAGGGAATGAAAGCAAAATCTGGTGTGAAAAATGTGGTTCTGGACCCTATGCCTCAGGGCCTTCATACTATGCCCATATCCGCTCCGAACATTAAGGAAAAACACCTATAAATAACAGATATCACAAGAACCTCAAGCTCAATAGAAAATGAGGCTTAAAGTCTAAAAAACCCTATTGAGAAAAATTAAGATACAAAACTCAAAATTCTCTGTTGGAATATCAGTTCTATTAAAAAAAATACATTTTAGGAAATTTAATAACAAAAACCTCACCTAATATGCTTACAAGAAGTAAGGAACAAAGCATTGAAAGATTCAATAAAATATAAGTACTTATTTGATCAGAAAAGATCTCACCATTCTGGTAGAATAATCATAGGAATTCATAAATAATTTTAAAGTAGAATATAACCCAATATTACTTTGACTCAGAGATGAATCATCAAGCTTAACCTGATTTGTTAGTAGTGCAAATCAGATCATCTAATATAGAATTAATTCTTATAAATGTATATTTTCATAGTAAATATGAATATAAGAAATATCAACAATTTTTCTGGAATAAAATCACATAAATATTAAACTAACTAATTCATTCCTAATTACTAATAGTCTGTGGGGACTTTAATACTCTTAAGATTGAAATTCCTTATATGACTGATATAACTAAAAATACATTCACATTTCATAGGGGTAATTTTGGGAAAGCAAGTTTACTCATAAACAGACCACATCTTAATTTTCAAAAAATACAAAAATGAAGTATAAGTGCATTGAAATAATTAATCTGACCATGCAATAATAATAGTTGATCTCACCCTGAACTATAACTTGACAGAAAGAATACCACAACACCTAATTAAGATTGATAAATCAAAAGCTGTAAATTCTTGTAATTAAATATTAAACAAAAAACATGTTAACTCATTTAAACAATTCTATGCAATTTATCTGAAGGATATGTGGAATAAAAGAATAATTACTAAAGAAAGATTAAGGATAAGACCTATCAAATAAAGCCAAAGTATAGATATGGCCGAGAAATGCAAAGAATTGTTATAAAAGGCGACAGAAATCAATTTTATAATCTTTTTAAAAGGGCTATCATTATGAATTAACAAAAAAGAGACGGAGGGATATTTAACAGTTACTTAGATGATGACAACAAATTACATTATGGGAATGACATATTTACAAATTGTATTCAAGTTTAGGCAAATATTCTAAATTACACAAATATGAACCCACTCCTATTCCTTATCTCGAAAAGCTAAGTTAAGGAAATACCTAAGAATTACAAAGGTTAATGGCTGGTGACAAAGCCATCTCTTATGATGGGCTAACACATTAATTCATCAAAAATTCTTCTTGGGAACTGCTACAAGATTTATGGAGGCCAGATACCTTCCAAATAAACAAGAGATTAGGATGGGCGCGTTTGCGGCCCCTAAATAAAATGTATCCAAATATACCTAAAATGACTAATTTAGGCCCCTAGTAATATTAAGCCCTTTATACAAATTTTAGATTTAAGATTCCATCCTTAATTATAAGATTATCTCAATAATCATATATAAAAGCCTCAAACAGGATTCATCAATGGACTAGGAACTTAATTAATTATATTTAAGATACTTAACTAGATCAAAAACATCCAAGGCAAGGATAATAGGATATTAATCTTCATTGATTTCTCAAGTGCCTATAATACAATCTGCAGATCAAAACTGCATGGAATATTAAAAAACAAAATATTTTGAAACAAAATGAAATAGACTTTTTAAAAGCCTTGCATAGCAGAATGCTATGTATTAATCCGTATAAAATTAGAGAAAATTTTTTATTATTCAAATGGAGTACCCTAAGGATCTCCTCTGCCTTATTTAACATTAACCTTGATGAATATTTTAAAGACCTTTTCAACCGAATTTCTTATAAAGTCAGATTTTTGGGATACGCTGATTACTTAGTTCTAGAGACTGAGTATAGAAATTTCAGTCATCTTATCTAATAAATCAGCATTCTCGCTGTCAGATGGAACTTAGTTATCAATAAAAAGAAAAGTGGAATCATGCCCATAAAATTTATTAATTAAGAAGAGCAGTGCGAAGGATTTCCAATACTCTATTTATATGAATATTTGGGAACTCAAATCAATAACAAAGGAAATATCATGATGCATATCAAATAATTGGATCTCAAAATAAATTTCATAAACCTAAATTTACTGCAATTGTCCTCTAAAATGAATTTCTAACCAAGACTAGCGTTCTATTAGGCATAAATTGAGCCTCATTTTTTATATTGTGCAGTTGCGGCTTATTATAACAATCAATAGTTATCCAAATTACTGATAACTCTGAGAAAAAAGTACTTTAAAAGGATTACGAGGTTACCATTCAACACTCCAGATAACTTAGTTAAATTGTTATGTAAAGAATATGATAATTTAATAAAATTTTATATAAGAATTACAATCAACAAAATTAATTAAAGACCTGAACATAGATTAAGATTCATAGAATTCTAATAAGATTTAATTATTAAGAAACAATAATGAAAAATTTCCCAAAAATAATAAAAAAATATAATTTATAAGAATAAATTAAAAAGAATTGCACAATAAAGTTATAAACTATTTCATAAATTTAATATTCCTTTATATTTTTCATGCATATTTTTTCGCTAATTAGATTTTTGAACTTGTTTTTCAATAATTTTATTTTTCATTTACTTGTAAAGTTGTATTGGATAAGTTCAATAGAACATAATTTTCTAAAAGGATATGAAATTTCCCATTAATTATATTCACAGATCAAAAGCTAAGACTATTTCAGTCTGAATATCAATTTAAAAAGTAAAACAAATACAAACTATTTTTATTAAATTTTTAAACGGATCAAAATAAGTAAATTACATAAAAGCAATTTATAATGTTCTATTTTTGCTATATTCCAAATTAATCAAGTAATTTTATAAGTCCACAGTATAATTAAATATAATAAGAAAATAAAATGATGATACTCAATATCTCTTATGAAACCAAAAGTAAGATTTTAATTTCAAGAAGTAATTGCAGGAATGAAGGTGAAATAATACCAACCTAAAAATGTAGTTGCATTATTGAAATGTAGGAATTTTAATTTATTCATAAATTGGTAGAATAAGTTGGTTGGAAATCAAAATTTCACGAATTATTGAAAATGAAATGTGTTTTACACCAGCTAAATGTTTAGAAAATAATAGCAATATTTTTCAAATTTAAGGTAAAATAGAGATATTAATTTCATTTGTTAAAATTATTGTAATGAAATCATTAAAGGTTTGATTGAATCAACAACATCCTCCTTATTTGGCTTATGGTTTTTGGCTCTATTTAGTTAATGTCACAGTTGTAGGGAAAAATCTAAAAAGAATGAATAAGAAAGTGATACATTTCTTCATCTTTTTCCTAACTTGCAGCAGCTTTTGCAATGTCTTGAAAAGCTTGTTCAATGTTTGTGGCATCTTTAGCTGATACTTCAAAGAATTATATGTTTCCATGAGATTTACACCATTATTAAGCTTTAGATTCCTAAACCTTTCTTTATGAGGCTTTATCTAATTTATTTCCTAATACAAAAAAAGGAAAATGTTCTGGATATTTTGGTTAACCTTACATTAAAAATTCATTTCTCTATGAATCCAAAGAATCAAATGATTTTGGATTTGTGATATCATAAACTAATACGCAGCAATCAGCTCCTCTATAAAATGCACCACCTAATGATTGGAATCTCTCTTAACCTGCAGTGTCCCAAAGCTAATAAAAATATGATAAATTCATGATACTTAAAGTGTAACCATACGATCATCAATCATAACTTTTTTGCCCATAAAATCTGTTCCAACTGAAGCTTTGTATAATTAAGTGAACCTTGCATTGACATATTAATCCATCAAAGCTGATTTTCCGACTCTAAAAGTTATCTAGAAAACAAAATTACCCTGAATCACCTAAGATGATGATTTTAAAAAGTTGCTTCTTCTGGCTGGCCATATAGAATAAATAAAGTTATTTATTTATTTATATTAAAAATTTCTGATTATTTATTTTTAAATTCTTAAATATCGTATTTTATAAGAAACAAAATCTTAAAATAATTTATTATTCACTTCTTTACAGCCATAAAAAATATACAATTATACATTAAGTATTTTTAATCTAATTTTGAATGATTATAAGTTGATTCCTACATTTATTCGAATGAAACCTCAAATCCTCTTTATTTTACATCTTCTTAGCTTAATTCTATGCTTGTTCAGAGACATTGTTATTAAAGTTTTTTAGATATATATGATATTTAATACAAAAAAATAATTATAACTTGTTGTTGCTCAAAAAAGTGAAAACAATGTATGCTGGGAAACTTGGTTGATTTTATCTCTTGACTCTATAATACTAAATTAAACAGATTATATATAAATCTTCTACTATTAGTTCAGTTTCCTGAAAATTAATTATTGTGAATTCAATAATTAATTATGTTTTTTGATTTTTTGAGAACATATAGGCTATATTTTGAAATTTTTTTTTATGCCTCCTTCCTTTTTATTATTATTATTTGCTCAAATTTGGAAATTAAGATACAAAAATACATTCAAAATCTCATACATAAGGTTGTCTCGGCTCAAGGATTGCTTTGCTTTCTTTAAGGTTCAATCAGTTCTTTTTTTAATTTGTCTAACTCTTGTTCTACTTTGATTTTTAAGGAATTTTCAGTTTATTTGATTCTCATCTAAGTAATCAATTCATCCATTGTAAGGGATAGATGAACTTCTGTTATATGTTTATAAGTCATTCTTTATTAGTGTTGTTGACGTTTCGCCCATGCGAACTTGAATAGTAAATGGATATTATCAGAAATCCAGGCAAATTCTGGATCATTTTAGATTGTTTGATCAGTTTGTGGTATATCTAATTCTTGGAATTCTAGACATGATTTTTGCAACCTAACTTATATTTTTTTGAGGCAAAATCTATCATGATCGAAATTTGATAGTAAACAATTATTTTCTTAGTATTCGTAAATGAAAATACAATAACAAATTAATTGGCTTCAGAAGTAATTTATGAAAAACTGCAAGTTTTGAAAGTTCATCAAAAAAAGAAAAATTACAAAAATGTATTGATAAGAATTTTCTATTTATTATATTTTTATGCTATAAACACTATATCAAAATATATTTGCTACTAAATATTCAGCATAAATTTTTGCATTAGGCAATTGACATCTTTCTGCAATAGTATTTACTAGAGCATCCCTTTCTTAATTAAGCAAGGTATTTAGAGTTTAATGCTTTTCACTTAATATTTCATAAGATTCAAAAGTAAGTTAGCTGACCTTATTTATTTGCTTACCTATATCATTTGCTTTGGCTGATGGATTAAGCACTTCCCATCTATATCTCAAATATTTATAGTATCTATTTTTAACCATCGCTAAAGTTTTTCCAGGAAAATGCTTATGTATTTTTTAAAATTTTGGCCCAAAATTTAGAACCAATTCTAAAATTAATCTATCTTCGTCAAGAGAGAACTGTTAACCTGACTTTCTATAATTAATAATTCCATTATTGCATCTAACTTAAAAAAATATATTTACTCTTTATTTCTTATTAAGCCTTTCTTTATTGATACAGACCTCTCTTTTTCATCTTAATCAATATAATAATCTGAAATTTTTAATTCACTATCTTATTGTTGATCAAATTTTTGTCCTTTATCAGACATTATAATTAAAACCAATGTTTATTATTTAAATTCTAATTCTCACTCTCAACTTTTAGTAAATCTTTATTGGAATATCAGAGAATTATGATAGTATTTACTGAGCTTAATTTGAAGAATATATATTTATTTATAAATAAAATCAAGCACTCCCTAGAACTTTCACCATTAATTTTCCTAATTTCTAAAATTCAGTTTTACTAATTTTATTGTCATTATTAGTATCTAAATAATTAACGATGTAATCTATCTCCTTTTATGTTGGTAACTAATATTATAAAATAATGAAAACCTAAGAATTGATTTCTTTGGCTAGGTTATTCAAAAGAGTAGTTAATTCATCTATCTCAATAAATCCAGATTTATTTTTATCATATTTTTCAAAAACTCTATTGCAAAATTCAATCAATTATAAACTATTCATCTATTTCCTTTAAAAGTAAATATATATATCAAAAAAAATAATTATCAAAATAATAAACAAATAATCTTATTTTCTTAAATATAGGAAGATCTCAGAATTCATTAGTTGATTGCAGATATTATTCAAAAATTGATTCAGAACAAATTTTTTGTAAATTAATTTGATGATCTTCGAGAAGTATTCTATTAAACTAAATATATATTAATTTATATATTTGCATCATAAATACTTAAATTATAGTGATAGATTGAGCATATTTTCACTAAAGCTGCTGATTGTTAGAGAAATTACATTATTAGTTTAGCTATGAATTAAAAATTTCTTATTGTTATAACAATCAGTTTTATATTATTTGTTTCGCTGTAAAATATGAGAAATTCATAGCATGAATGATTAAAGAATAAATATTATAAAGTGATGATTTAAACAGAAGGAGAATTTGTTGAAATAAATGGATATATATAATATATTTAGTATATCAATCAGTTTTACACAAAGAATAATTGTAAATTGATTAAATAGAATTGTTTATATTGGAGTAAATGATTCTTTAAAATATATTAATTTGTAATCTGTATGAAAGAGGTTAAAATATCTATGAACAATAGAGTAAAATTATAAGGAACACTTTAAAATTTTTGTTATTATCATTTTTTCAAAATTTATAAAACAAATTAAGTTAGATTAAACAAAGATAATAGAGATCAGAATCGAAAGCAATTTTTGGTACTTGAGTTAGAACTGAAGAAGATATTAATATAAGACAGATCTGCTTTACAAGAATCAAAATTTAAAAATGAATGATTAAATAACTTAATATAATATTACATATTTTAAGAAATATATGTTCAACCAAAGCTCTATAACCATCAAATAAAAGCTATTTATTATTGAATATACCTCTTAATAGCTATATATCAATTAATTAATATAAATTTCCATAAATAAATTATGTAAGAAAAATTAAAATGAACAAAACTAGATAAAGTAGTTTATTGACAATTTAATTGATCCTTATTTAGAGGTTTTATTCTCATAGATTGCCAATAGAAAAAAAAATTAATTAAAGATTTTATTAAAATTTAAAATAATATGTAAATTTTTGTTAAAACCCTTACGGGAAAGACCATCACTCTTGATGTTGAGCCATCAGACACAATTGATGCAGTCAAGGCCAAGATTTAAGATAAAGAAGGAATTCCTCCTGATTAATAAAGATTGATTTTCGCAGGAAAGCAACTTGAAGACGGAAGAACACTTTCAGATTATAATATTTAAAAAGAATCAACTCTCCATTTAGTATTGAGATTAAGAGGTGGTGGTATGGAACCAACAATTGCAGCAATTGCCAAAAAGTATAACGTTGAAAAAAAAATCTGCAGAGTTTGCTATGCTAGGTATGATAAGTTAAAAATATTTTTAGATTACCACCAAAAGCCCACAATTGCAGAAAAAGAAAGTGTGGACATTCAAACTAATTAAGAATTAAGAAGAAGCCTAAGGATTGATATAATAATGATTATTATGAATAAGTACAATAATACAATAAATATGTTTAAGTTCTTGTTAATTTATCTATATTATTTTCAAGTGAAATATTCTCTATATGAAAGGATTTTCGATTAATTCGAATTTTTTTTTTCATCTTATAACGATTATGTATTATTTCTCTCTTTTTATGTAAATGCTTCCTATAATCACTGTTTTATCACTTTGACCAATAATCTAGATGAAGAATGAATAATTTTAAAGTAATTAAGCAAGAAAAATATGAAATTGAAATGAAAATCCTAATATTTCAATATTTGAACTCATTTTTATAGAAGGCAATTTCATTATTCATACATCATTTTCTTATAGAGGGATCTAGCTTAAAGAAAATTAACTATTTTGAAAAGAAAAAATCATGAATTTAAAAGATTTAATATCTCACTAGTTGATAACAATCTTAATTCAATTCTGAAATCTTTCAATTTCTATTTAACGTAATAAAAGATTTCTAACTAACCCACCAAACAGAAAATAATTAATAACTAAGTGGAAGAACATTATAAGTATATTTATTAAGTTAGGACATTCTAATAAAGTAAATTAAAAACTCATTTGCAATAATAAAAATTATCTGATCACAATCCTGAAGGTTTAATATTAAATTTTGAAGATTTAAAGGACTAATCAGAAGAGACTAGAATTATATCTAATTCAGGAATATTACTTATATAATAAATACAAAATAATTAGAATTATTTTCACTTAGGAGATGGCTTAGATTATACTACTTAATAATATCAAACCTTTTTATGATTAAATCTGATAATTAAAGTAGCTTTGAGATAAATTGTTGATCTAATTATCTCAGAAATAGAAAGAAAAATTGTGATTTAACCAGCATAGGCTCTATATTCAAAGCATGATAGCATAATTCTTGATTATATAATTAGAATATTTTTTATAAAATAATTGATTTAGAATTTATAGTAATAAACAATTTTACTAGAGCAAAATCATTAAAAGTAATTGGTTAAATTATTTACAGATATATGAGCAATTTATAATTGATGTTAAAAACTAAACTGATTCCTAGATATTTATCAAGCAAAATTTATAGATTAAGACAATGTATTGATAAAAATGGAGTGATGATAGTTTGAAAATAGATTAAAATTGAACATTTCAACAATAATTAACTGCATATTCAATTATTGAACATTTAATTTGTTAGAATAAGATTTAAGCATCTAATATCAGAAAATTATTTTCATTTTCATAATAAAAATAGAATTAAGATTCCTCAATTTAAGAATTTCACTATCTTAATAATCAACTAATAGAAATTTATATAAGTGTTTTTGAAAAGTAAATAAATGTTAATTAGAAGAACCTATTGATTCAAATTTACAATCACATTAAAATGTATATCAATTAAGATTAAAAATAATATTAATGGCAGTAAAATATAACAAGGAATAAGGATTTGGATATTATTTATTGATATAGTATTTACGACTAGATCATTTATTTTAATGATTGCTTTGTTTATAATTTTTTTTCGAACACCAGTATATATATTATTTTAAATTAAATTTCGATGTCAAGGAGATACGATTAGAAAACCAATACTTTCACACCAGATGGCAGATTGAAATAAGTAGAATATGCAATTGAAGCTATCAATTAAACTGGGTCAGCACTTGGCATTTTAACTAATGAAGGAATGATTTTAGCCACAGAGAAATAGGAAGTGTCACATTTATTAGAACACTCAAAGCACTCTGAAAAGATTTATCCTATTGATAGACACATATTTTCTGTAGTTTCAGGCCATACAGCTGATGCAAATATTTTAATTAATTATGCAAGAGAAGCAGCAGCAAATCATAGGTATTAATATAAGTCATAATCTAGATATTAGTTTTAAGATAATATTGGATTAGAATAATTAATTATAAATATTTGTGATTACAAATAAAATAAAACTTAAGTAGGTGGACAAAGACCTTTTGGCACAGCATTTCTTTTTGCCGGATATGATAAAGAAAATGGTTTCTAATTATTTAGCACCGACCCATCAGGAAATTACGCTGGTTGGAAAGCAACAGCAATTGGAAAAAATAATTTGGCAGCAAATAGCTATTTGAAATAAGATTATAAGGATAATTTAACTTTAGATTAAGTTTTATAATTACTTAATATTATAGGGATTAGACATAGCAATTAAGGCACTTGTAAAAACTATGGATACATCCTCCCCATAACCATCCAAAATTGAGATTGTTGTCATTAGCAAATTAGGCAAAGAAGTAAAAAGCAAAACTTATAATGAAAAAGAAGTCTTAGCTTTACTTCAAAAAAATGGATTTAGTAATGAGCAAATGTAACAAGAGTGAAATATTATTCAAAAAAAGAAATAAATTATTTATTGATTAGATATATTACATTATATTATTTTTCCTCTTATTGCTTTAAATTCTTAAACTTTATTATTTAATATAAATTTTAGTCTAATTCCCATTCGTATACGACATTAATTTTAGTTGGTTGTGTGGTATAGCTGTTTTTCAAGCAAATTTCTGTTGAATTTTATCATTGAATAGTTACATATTCTAAGACTTTAAGATAGATTCTCAACTTCATTAGAATCGTATTAAAACTTTAATTAGTTTTAGTAAACTTAATGTTTAAATCTAATATATCAATTCAAATGATTAAGGATTAGGTGTAAAAATATAAAATTATTTAAATTGTGAGCTTTAATATTTTAAACAGATACTCATAAAATTAAAAATATCTATCAACAATATTTTATTATATAAAATTTTATACATAAATTCTTGATGTTACTTTGATAATTATTAAGTGAATAAAAATTTCAGATTAATTCTGTAAGATTAAACTCTAAATTATTCATTGAATGGGTTGGAAATGTTAAATTGAAAAATGAACTAAAAATTTTCAGAAGTATTTGTTATTAATAAAATTCAAATTTTAACAATATAATTAATTAAATGTCTTTAGCTAGAACAAGTTAAAGTTCAAAAAATCAAAGGAAGAGCGAAACTCGTTTTCAATAATAGATAAAAACTTTAGTTTAGAATGTAAGTTATCCTCCTTAAAATATAACAAAACAATGGATAAAAGAGAAGGAAAATGAATAAAAATAATTATTTGAAGAAGTTAAATAAAGTGAATTCCCTGGAAGATCTACAACACTTACTCAATTAACAGATCTTGCAAGAAAAATTGCAAAAATGAGGAAAAATTTGAAAAGTGTTGCAGATGATCGGAATAGAACACCAGCTTCAGATAAAAAGAGTAGGAAATCTACCAAATCAGGAAAATCAATAAAAAGCTAAAGTAGAAAGACTTTAAGCAAATTAGCCCAATCAAGAGGGCATTTGAAAAGTTTGGAATAGAGCAGAAGTAAATCATCAAAAAAGAGCAAAAAAGGATTAAAATCATCGAAAACACAAAATACCCCAAAATTCAAAAAGAAAGCTTTTGAAAATAAACTAGGCAGTTTTTCAAAGGTTGTGTAGAAATAAAAAGACAGTATAAGACCAAATGTAAGAATAACTGAATCAAGAGGTTCAAAACGTATTGCAGATCGCAGCATAAGGTAAAATTTATTAATATTATGAAGTCAATCTAGATAGTCTTATCCTTCATCTAAAAAAAAAAGTAACAATAGAGATGCATATGGTTCTTACTATGATGATGGAAGTTCAATTACAGAATCTAGTGATTCTAAAGAAATGATTAATCTGAAATTGAATCCTAAATCAACTTTATCGAAATATGAAACTTTAGTTGACAGTGAAAGAAAAGGATAAGATACTGAAATATGCTAGTTAAGTCGAGAGGAAAATTTGATGCTTACAACAAAATTAGAATCAATTTCTAAAGATAAACTCTTACGAGAATATCGTGTTTTATATTATAGAAGTAAAGAAGTTAGAAAACTATTAACTGAATATTATGAGTAGAATTTAACACTTAGTGATGAACTCAACGAATTAAAGCAAATGTTATGTGAAAAATAAGCAGAGATTAAATAATTAAAGAAAGATTTAAAATCTTAGACTAAAGAACTCAAGTTCATGTAGGCTGAATACAGCACTAAATTAGATCAACTAGGAAAATCGTATTAATAATAAGAAATGAATTCTGTTCCTTTGGATGATTATGATAGGATGAAATAAGATAATGAAAAGCTTTTAGTTGAAAACGAAATGTTGAAGGATGACTACAAAGATATATCTTCGAAATTACAATAAATTGAGAATGAGATCTATTAAAAGAGATAATATGAGCATCCTGAACAAGATATTTCTTAAAGATTGCAGAGAGAAATTGATACTTTGAAGGATTAGATAGATAAAATAAGGGAAGAAAATATTAAGCTTAAATTGCAACTAGATAAAGAGATGCTAAACAATCGAGAATTGTCTTAATAGATTAATTTTAAGAAAAATGAGATTGATGGAACAGTTGAGTTGAAATAATAAGAACTATTCTAAACAAAAACACAATTATAGACTGCAAATACAAAAATTTAAAAATTAGAATAATAAATTAATCAAATGAAATATTAAATAATAGGTGATCAAGAGTAATCTTTCTAGGTGAAAGAAAAGATATAGAGACAAGAAGAAGAATTAAGAATAGCCAATCTAAAAGTTGAGAATAGAGAAAAAGAACTCAATGAATAAAAATCTAAAGAATTGGCGTTAAAAAAGAAAATTCTTGAACTAGAATAAAAAGTAGATAACTAAGCCTCAATTTCTCAACCATATTTTGAACCGAACTTCTCTCTTAATAAATCCAATAATGCAGAATCATGTATTGATTTTATTTTAATCTAGATATAAGTAAAGAATTATAAGCAGAGAGACAATTTTTGGCAAAAACCTAAGAATAGTTAATGAATATTCAAGTCGAAAACGAATAATTAAAGCGAAATGTAAAATAGTTAGAATTGGAATTATCATTTGAAAAATAATCTAATGAATAAATTAAGGCTAGGTTAGCTTAATTGTAGCACGAAAAGGATATCACTATATAGAGAGTCTAAAAGTAATTTGAAGAAACTGAAAATAGTAGATTGAAAGAATTACTTGTAGCTGAATAATCTTAAAAAAACTAAGATAATATGTTATATAGTGCTTAATAAAGAATAAATGAATTAGAAAGTGAATTAAGAATATTGAATAAGTAAGAATAAGAATTGAAAAATTAAATCAATGATTTAAGAATATAATTTGAAAGACAATAAATAAAAATGGAATAAAATGAAATAAAGTTAGCTGATTTAAATGATTAAATATATTAAGTTGAATCTGAAAATCTACATTTAAATGAAACTAATAAGCAACTCAGAATCCAACTTCAACAATTAAATAGGGAAGTCGATTAAATTGATAGAATTAAGGATAATTATAAAGTCAAATATTTACATAGTCGCAACGAAAGCAAAAAATCAATGCATTAATATCCAGAAGTATTATTTGACTAATATTTAGAAAGAAAATGTGATGAGATAAACATACACAAATGAAGTGGAGAGAATAAGAAGTGAAAAAGAATAATTAGAACGATTAAAAAGTTAAGAGGAATAGCAACGTATCTAAAGAGATAAAAAACTACAAGTTATCAATGATTTGTAATAAATGATTAAAGTCAATAAAAAATCATTTGATAAATGAATTAATTTTATTTATTTTAAATTTAGGATTAAAATTTAAATCATTAAAATAAATTATAATTTACCAGGACTTATGTAATCCTTTTCTACAGCCTTATTTATAATTTCGACGTTAATTATAATAAGTGAATATTCATCTCCTCCATATAAAATTAAGTAAGTTTTTCAAAATGAAATGTACAAACAGAAACTTTAACAAAATTATATATTTCCAAAATAGATCTCGCTCTATGGTTTGGTTCCAACAAAATGAATCAAATTGTCTGAATTTGGTATGATTCTCAATTTCTTATATGAACATGATCATTTTTTGATTGATTTCAATATTTTGTAATATCTACCATCTTATTCGTATTATTTTTTTCTATACTCAAAATTGAATTTAATTTTAAAAAGGATTTTAATGTTATTCATTCGAAAGAGTGAACTCTGCAATAAATTAAATCTTTTAAAGAGAAAGTCTCTAAAGAATTCTGATTTTTATGTTATAATTAATCCCAATCATGGTTGATTATTCTTATAGTGGTTTCAAAATTTTACCTTTTTATTCATATCTAGTTAATGGGTGTTTCTATTTTAAATAATATCACCTAAAGTGGTTATACTTATCCTTCCCCTTTTGAAATGATGATTATTTATAAATGAGATATTGCATTTTGTCAAGAACAATTGAAAAAATTTTCTTTAATTCTTATTGTTCCAATTAATTATATCTATATTAAGAAAATCAATCATTACATAGTGTTTAGTCATGTTATTAAATAAATAATTTAATTGTTTGGAAGAAGATCTTAGATTTATAGTTATTATTGGCTTTTTATATTTACTTATTTCATTAATTATTCTCACCTAAAAAAGAACAAAATATTATTTAAATAATTTCTAATGAAAAGTACAGATCTTCAATCACAAAATTAAGTAAGTTGGCTTCTAAACTTGGTGGGGAAATTTTCTACAAAAGACTTATAAGGTTAAAATTTAAAGGAGATTGGAGAGGATTATGTGAAAAAAATATCATAGATTGCTTAGCTACAATCAGGATTTATATTTTCGTATGATATTTAAAAACAAGAGTTTGAAGAAAAGTTATTTCACATCTATCCAAATATACTAATTTGTCAATCAGATAAAACTTATACTCATTTGATTCTAAGCAATTGCACATTACAAAAAGAATAAATATAATATAAAGAGGCTAAGACCTATGGATTTATCATTTCTAATAATTTCGGGAATACTTATTTGTTTTTTTCATAATTTATTTAATATAGAAATTGGTATAAATTGATGAAATAATATTGTAAATTAAATGATTTTTTTGGTAAATACAAATTAACTGATCGAATGCTTCCAGGAGTCTATCAATGTTATAAAAAGACTGTATGAATATTGGTTTGATTATAGAACAATGTTTAATTTACAGCGCAAATATATAAAATGGAAGATTTTGATTAGTGTCCTGAAATAGAAGAAATTGTTCACAACGAAATACAAATGTTAAGATCTGTTAAACATTAGAATCTATTATAATTAAGGAGGGTTTACGAGGATGATTCCTACTTGTTTATTTTGTTTGAGCATTTTAAAGGCGAATCTCTTTATAGTTTAATTTAAAAAAACTAATTGCATGAAGTCTAAATTGCATCAGTATGAGCTTTTGTTTATAATATAGATAATTTACTAGATATTATAAACCTTGAAATTTCTAGATTAGCATTAATTCTATCATGGAAATTTGAACCCTCTAAATATAATAATCAACACTAACAACCAACTTTTATAGATCTTTCTCATCAATTTATCTTTTAAAGTACATAATTTCATGATAATTATAGTAATATAGAATGAATGACAAATTAGATTGGATTTTGAATAGATAAGTGGAAGGATTCATAGCCCCAGAATTTTATTTGGGTTTTCCTCCCAATATTACTTCAGATCTGTATAGCTTAGGAGTGTTATTATATTTCATGGCATTCCCAAAATAATTACCTAATGAAAAGCACTTTGAAATATATGAAATCGATATGAACAAAATAAAAATATTACATGAAATTAAAACTTAATAATAATCTGTTGAGTAACTTTCAAATTTGGATTAGCAAGCTGAGAAAAATATAAGTCTAAGTGAATTAGATTTATTGATAAAATTGCTAGAATAAAATCCTAGTATTATATCTATACATAATAGGTAAGAGAATTTCAATATTTGATTGTATGATGCACCATTGGTTTGTAAATATAAAGAGTAAAATAAAATAATTGAACGTTGTAAAAAAAAAAAAAGTAATTCTTCCATCTCTTAAAACTATAATTGAACTAAGATCCTAAAGTGAATTAGATCTGAAAGTGTAATCTTAATTATCCAGTAATAGAAGATTGTCAAGATTGACAATGAATCAAGGAGAAGATTTTGATTTTGGTAAAATGTGAAAATATTTAAGTTAGTTCCCGATGAAGGACATCCTTTATAGTAAATGGCAGGATTAGATTTTTGTTAATTATTAAGAATCAGTACCTAGTCTAGGAAACTATGATTTGAGTAAGACATCAATTTATATGAGTATTCATATTGAAACAAACACCAAACACCAATCACTATTATAAACAATATAGAAGATATCTTGCTTCTTATGTTTTCATATCGAAATATTAAAAAATAGCTATATATAATATTTATAAATATCAATAATAATTCGTAAATTATTCTATTAAACAAGAGAATAAGTGGATCTATTAATTTGATTAAATTAAAATCAATATATAATATGTTGTAAATAAAAATTTATGGAATCAACTGAGATTTAGGATTTCTTTTTCGATTTTTTATATATCATTGATTAACTTCTTTTGATAATCTGATAGATTCTCTTTTGACGATGTTCTAAATCTTTTCTTTTAAAGTTTTAAATCAATTGATATAACCTTCACTGATTCCTTTGGCCCTTTAGGTTGTTTACTATTTTTTGTATTGAAGTGCTCTTAATAGTTACTACTCTGGATTTAAAATGCATGGATAGAATTGATAGGTTCTTCAATCAACCTTTGAGTGGTGGCTTCTGTGTATTTGATATTTAGAAGTCTAAAAGGAGAATATTAGACATTAAATGCGGTGTTCTGAATCTTTGTGAGTGCTAACTGTTAACTATTATTACTAATTTACATATAAATTAATTAATAACTATCATTCATGAGCTAACTATTCTAAATCCTCTGCATAATTTAATTCGAAACATTAAAATTGCCTCGAAGATAGGCGTGGAGTGTCTTTACATTCTACTAAATTTAAATTATTTATCATTTCTTCCAATGTTTTTAGAGTTATAGGTTTGATATAGACTTATTTCATTCCAGCATCTATTAAATTGATTAAATCATCCTCTCCCGAAAATCCTGTCAATCCAAATATAGGAATTTGGATTCTAGGCGAAACTTAAAATATAGCCTATAATTTTTAAGTCGCTTGCTATCCATTCATAATTGGCATTTGATAATCCATAATAATTGCTTTGAAGCCTAGACATTTATGTTCATCAAACTGAGATATGCTGCTTTCAATCAGTTGAACACATTACTTTCCATTATCGGCTTTGATTGATTGGTATCCTAATTATTTAAGCAAGGATTCCAAAACTAATAAATTATATGGTTCGTCATCAACTATTACTATTTTTTATGCACAAGTGCAAGTTATGCTCTTAAAGAGACTCCCCTCCATATTTTTATAAAAACTAGAGATGTTGTTAATAGAGAACATCTATGCACTCCCTTTTTTATTAGTCATATTCATTTGATTTGATGAAGATTTTTTTGTTTTGCTAATCATATTGGTTCTACTGCTAATATCTGGATCTGTCCAGATGTTAAATTTATAAGATTGGCTCTCAATATCTGGAATATTCCCTTCCAATTCAATCTATGAACTCTCTTTATTATATAAGTCACTAGGCATGAACCCTTCTGTCAATTGAGTAATTCTGCATTTCAAATGAATACAAACAGTAGTTCCTTAATCCAACACAGAATCTATTGTGATATAATTGTCCTCTTCCTTCCCACTAATATATTTAATTAAAGCATTTGATGCTCTCAACCCCAGCATCATTCCTGAAGCAGAATCTCTATCTAGATCTTGAAATGCTTTCTCCTCATTTTTTAACAGATTCTATATTGCTTCTAATTTCTATTGGTCAATTCCCATTCCATTGTCTCGAATTTCAATTAAATAGTATTCATATAAATGAGTATTTGTCTGTTGTGGTTAGGCATTCGAAAATGAACTCGAATTATTTATAAGTTGTTATTTGTAGGCAGTCCCTTTTCTTAATGGAAAATGAAATGAGCTTTCATTTACATCCTAAGAACTTTTGTATAATTGAGAACCACAAGATGGTTATAGAGTTTTCTTGTCATTCTCCTTATTGAAGATTAATTTATCCTTTTCCTTTTCCTAATTCTCTTTTGTAATTGTAATAAAAATTTATCCGCTTTTATTATTAAATTTTATGCTATTTGAAATTATATGGATCATAATGCTTTAAAATTTCTCATAATCCAACATTTCATTTTATGCTTAATTTATTTGTTTTTAAAATTATATTTTTATGTTCTTCATTTCAGCCTCTTCCTAAAATAGATCTATGGCTTCTTATATTACAGATATCAACTTGCATTTATCTTATTTAGTGGCCAACTTTTTCTCTCTTATTAAATTATAATTTATAATTGAACTAATTATTAGATTCTGAATTCTGCAATTATTAAAGGCAGCTCTTAATAGCTTATTCATTTCTTTATCGTAGTTGTGGCTATTACACTGGATTACTTGCAAAAAACCTTAAATTACATTTAATCTGGTTCTTAATTCATGAGAAATGGAACGAATTACCTGACTTTTAAATTAATTCAGCTTCTTGTAATAAGAAGATTTAAAATTAGGAGATACATCATAGAGATTTAAGAGAATAGCGTTTTTATTAAAACCGTACTATAACTTAGTTTTAATTCTGGCCTCAACTATGATTGGATATTCTTCACCACAATTCTAATTCTCATACTAACATCTTAATGTATAGATGCTTCCTTAGGTTTACTATTCTAAGTTCATAATCAACGCAATAGCTTAATTTAGATTAATTGAGTGTTGATCAGTAGAGTCGAATTTAGATTCAGGTCTATTAGGATCAAATTATTCCTTCACCTCAGACTATGGCAAAGTTAGATTCTCAAAGAATGATACTATTTCATCCGAACTAGAGCTCAAAATCGATTCTTGTGAAGGAAATCCTTATTATTGTGCTAGATTGATAGATTTTGTCCCTCCAGAAAGTCCTCCATAATTCAAAGACTGTATCAATCTTTTAGTAAAATTATTAGTAAATAGAACATCTTAACAATTCTAATCTAATACACAAACAGCACTCGGAATACTTTTCAAAGTTTGGTCAGTAAATTGTGAAACTTTGCTTAAATTGATTAATTGCTAATCCCAGAAGTATAATATCAAGATTAAGAAAAATAGAATATTTACAGATTGAAAAGTCTTAAAATGGAATGTAATCCCTCTAGCTAAAAAATAAGCATAAAATTTCAGTAATATTATAATCCTTAATTTGATTGTTCTAACTATCACTAATACAAGTAATAAGTTTATAAACAACTAACAAATCGTTAATGGTCTATTCTCTTCCTCACTATCCAAATAAACTTCAATCAAAAATGTTTAAAATGATGTTTCAATCAAAATAAATGTGAATATCATAAGTGTCAATTTATAAGACTCCCTTATACAATTAATAATCCTTTCAATTGCAGCTACATATAAAACTATAGCAGCGAATTAGATATAAAAATAAAAAGTTGTGAATGGCTTATTAAAAGTGGAGAAATATAATGAGTTGTAAATAATTACGTATATAATTCCAATTATAGCATAAAATTTCACCAAAGCAATAAAAGTTGGCCATATTTTTTAACGAATCAATTAATTGTGTTAAGCACTGTATATCTCGTTTCTATAATCATCTATAGTTATTGATATTAAGTGTTTTAATTTTTTTATATACATATTAAAATTTATTCATTCAAACCTTGTAAGCTTGTTGCAAATAACAAAATTATTTTTACAAATTATTATTTATTATAGACATAGACAATTATTTAGTTAAGAGGGTTTTGTATATTGTGAAGTTCATACTTATATTTATTATAATAATATTCCTTCAATCATAATAGACTCTTCCAGTCATCATATTATAGAAATCATCGAAGGTAACAAAACCATCATCATCAAGATCAGCTTTTCTAAATATCTTTTTAACTTCCTCATCATTTAACTCATCCCCTAGATCAACTGAGACCCTTTTCAATTCATCCCAAGTAATCCTACCTATTGTCACTCAATATGATAACCTTCACGATTTAGATCAAACAAATTGAAAGTTCTCATCAAAGAACCTCTTGTCTCTTTTAAATTTTATTTAGCCGTGGCCAATTTGATAAAATTGTCAAATGAAAATCCTCCCTAATTGTCTTGATCAATCTCCCCTAACACTTAATAAATCATTTTATTTTGAGCTCTAAGTCCTAAATCTTCAAAAGCTCCCTTTAATTCAGCTGGATCAATTGTGCCACTTCCATCATCATCAAATAAATCAAAAGCTTTCTAAATTTAGATAAATTTCTATAATTACTAACCTTTAATTCAATAACTTCATCTCGACTTAAATTTTATCTCACATAATTATCTGGATTGAATTATTTATCTTCTTAAACTGGTTTTGATTGAGGAGGAGGCGGAGGAGGTTGTTACACATTTTTGGATTCTTTTTTTGATTGTTAACGAGGATTTGGTCTCATTTATCAGATTTATATTAAATATTTAATAATAATACTTAGTAAATAAATTTTATTCATTTTTCATTTTTAATAACAGATAAATATCTTTATATTATTACCTACTTTATATCGGAGTTCTCTACCATATCCATTATGATATTACTTCAATGATTAAATTACAAATATCTTAATACTTTGTTTAAATTAAAAGTAACTTTCTAATCAAAAATTCATAATTTAAGTGTTTCCTTCAATTTTACTTCTTAAATAGTATAAATTTCAATTATTTATGAAACTTATCAAAGCAATCCTTTTAATTTCTCAATAATTAGTTGATAAAAATATTGAGATATTAGTTTCTATCCTTAAAACCATAAATTTAAAGTAATATTATTATTCATCAACAAAATGATGTGAATCTTATTAATTATTTAATATCAAACAACTTTCTTAATATTCCTAATTATTGATAGATCTCATTGGATTAATGAAGCAATAGGACCATAAGCGACGATTTTTGCATAGTTAGTGGTTATGATGATTTTATTTTACAAGATATGTTTTTATTTAAATAGGTTTGAATAATTTAAAGAGTTATATAGATTGATGTTAAAAAAAATGAGATTTATTATCTTAAATGATTTAATATCATAAATAATAAATAAATTATCATAAACCTTTCTAAATCTTCAATCACTACTTGAGGATATGTTGATTTATAATAATATTTTAGTTTTCCACAGCTTAATACACTCTTGCAATGGAATTTCTGATTTCCAATCCCTTGTTATGAGTTGAAAAGATTTCAATCTTAATTAGCTTGGGGTAGGCTAATAAAATGAAGTTTAAGATTTGTAATCTTTTCTGATTTGGTCAACACTTCTACTCTCATGAATAAATTGACATCTAGCTCCATAAAAGCATACCTAAATGTATAATAAGTGTTAATAACATAATCCTAATGGAAAGATCGACACAGTTTTGATTTGTATTTCTGATTACACTATCGATTTATCATTTCATTTTAACCGTGTGCAAATTAACACTTATTTCCATAATTGCATTTACCCAAAATACTCCAGTTTTTGCACATTTCTGTTTTAAATTTTACATGGCTTTCGGATTCATCACTTGAAGAAGTCATTTCTTCAATTGGATAATCATCCTAAACATAAAAATCTGTGCTCATTGTTGCTAATGTGGCTACTGTACTTGTTGATCCCCTCTTTTCTTATTCATTCAGATCAGTAAAGGAATATCTGTTCATATTTTTAATGGTCTTTTCAGCCCATTTAGGTTACTTAGGTGTATAATTATTCATATCAACATTCAGACTACGTCTATATTTCAATGATATTTGATAATGAAAACCTTTCAGAATTAATCTTCTAATCTTTCTTATGAACTGAACTCCTCTGCTTACAAGTTCTATACTTATTTGAATCCTGCATGAACAATAAGTTGAATCGTAATCAGAAATATATAATAATAATATTGGATTGCAATAAATATTATTTCCCATACCAAAGTACTAAGGCAGGCTTCAAGAACTATTATTCAAAGTTATGTTATTTATATATATTGAATAGTAAGTATATTACTTCATTTTAGTTTAATCTTGAATCTATTAGTTCTATCTTAGAGAATATCCTTGGCGGTTTTCTCTTCTTGCACCATAGTACTGAGAAAAGGATTCGAAAATCTCTTTGATTCAGGAATTTTATGAATCTCAATCTTGTTTATTAATTATTATGAATTGTTGCGTCCATGTTTAAGATCAAGGTAGATTGGACTCTAAACTCTTTCAGTTTAACAACTCTAATCGGCTGTATGAGGCTATATCTATGAGATTATAGAGCTCTTATTGCTTAAATCACAGAACCTAACTTCTGATCCTCTATATGTAAATGACTTATCTTAGTTTTCTTTTTCAACTATAAGTCCTTTAATTTAGTTAATTATTAATTTCTACTTTCTCATATTTGATGCTATTTGCTACTCCACATTTTAAACAATAACCTTAGTTTCCTGCTCCTTTTAGACATTCTAATATAATGAATTTAAGTTTTTGTGCAACCCAGTATTTATTACAAAATAGCCATTCAATTACTATTCAAGATTCTAAATCTCAATTGATATTGATCTCTTTGGTTATTCAATCTAGATCTGAGTGATAGCTTAGGTCAATTGAGTTTTGATAGCACATGCTTATTGAGCATATTTCAAAGTATTTTCAGTTTCCTCACTAAATTATTTGCTTACGCATGCTATGAATAGAGTCATAGAATTTCCACTAAGAGATTACTTTAAAATTCTTGTCAATTTAGAATTTCTATAAGGAATGTGGGATTTACATTAATTTAACATCATAATACATTGACCCAAAGCCAAAAGAGATTTATTAATATTTTAACCTTCCTATTGAATCTTCTATGTGCCTCCATTTTTATAATTGTAACATCTTTCACTACCTGCCAAATCAGCAAGTATTAATTTGCCATCATATTTTATATTTTATTTCTCATCGTAATTCACCACTTGTATCTACACAATAGCATGAGATCTTGAAGAGTATTAATTACTAGCAGTTGAAGCTAATTATCTTCGTTTTTGTGCTTATTGAATCAATTAAACAAGATGATCTTCATCAATTATGCATTATTAGGATAACCCAGGGATCTAAGTGTCTCCATTCTTGTCTTCCTAAACCTGCAAATTCTATGCATTTTATTCTAACAAATCAATTATCTGTTCATTATATATTTCGTAAAAACTAATCTTTATAAATCCATTTTTCTTTAGCTGAAAAAGTTCCTTAACTGCTTAATAGACTATGCCATAGTGATCCTTTAATTTATTATTTCATTACATTTGAGTTCCCAAACATTGTATGCGTTTTGCCAGATCCTGTCATTCCATAACACAACACTGTCATATTGAACCCTTCAAATATTTTGCTTATAAATTTGGATAAAGTCTACTAAATTAAACATAAATACTCCTTCATAAACTGATAAATTGGAATCATTTTCAGTAAAGATTTTCTGAAAACTCATTTCTTTGTTGGATATTCTAAGCTAAATATTTAAATTTAAAAGTTACTATATTTTCATTAACAACTTCGATCGGATTGGTTGAATCTGAATGGGAGCGTATACGAACAAAAACCTAAAAAGGTTGGTTGATTTTCATATAAAATTTATTTAACGTATATATATAATATAATATTTATATAATTAAAACCCAATATTAGAAAATTGCAAGTAAGCATCCTCTCCTATGATCATACCCTTACAGTCCCAAACGACCTACTAGCATTTATTATTGTGAAACATAACTATTTTAAAATGATAATACAATAGTTAATTCACAAGATCTAAGCATCACCTTACGTCAAAATAACTGCGCAATCACTCTCTCCTCCTTCTTTTTCATTATTAAATTCGTATTATATTTGTGCTTCTGCTATCTTTCATTTTAATAACTTTCTAACGGTTTTTCTAAGAGATCACTCTTATGTTTTTGTTAAAGGCATTTACAAAATAAGTAAAAGCGCTCTTTGTCATGCAACTTCTATGAAAGCAGATCTAAATCAGATAGCAGTAGAAACAGGCAATCAATGTGTTTTACTGCTTTTTCGATTTAATCCAACTTCAGGGTTGCAGCAAATTGGAAGTTCAAATTCTTATCTTTAGCAAGCAATTATTGAATAAATTAATATATGCTAATCTCTATCTTTTAAGGATCCACCATTTTTGATATACATTGTACTAAAAATTAACACAGAAGTAATTTCTATAAATCATATTGATAAATACTAAATGCTATATAATTGGTTATTTTGTAGTTCTTTCAATATGGGTAAGTATGACATTTAAAGAATCTAAAATTAACCTAAAATTCAATCAATTTACTTACATGTTGTAATTTGGATCTAGGAGTGAAGAGTAATCAATAAAAAACACTTTAAAGAATTCTGGATAATCTAGAAATAGATTTTATTTCATCTTGATTTCCTTATTGATAGCATTCTCAATGATGAAATTGCTTGTGTGTCTTTTTACTAAAGAGAATAGAGCTTTAATGAGGAGTGGCTGAGCAAAGTTCAGATTATTGACAGTGAATTCTTAATTATCAAGTTTGATCATTTTTTGATTGACTAAAGAAGTGAATCTGCCCCATATTTTTTCATTAAAACTTTTAGTTTGTGTCCATTTCTCAAAAAATATATATTCTTCTTTGAATTAAACTTCTTCAGGAGATTTTAATATTCCTAAGTTCAGAACGGTGTCATTTTAAAAGTTCAACTAAATTAATATATCTACTATGCTTTTCTTATCATCGCATTCCAATAGGTAATTTAGGAGAGCCTCGATGCCTTTGTTAATTGTTTATGATCTTTTAATGGTAAACGCTATTAAATTTGTATCAAAGATGCTCAAATCTTCAAATTTTGGATTGATTCTTAAATGATAAGATACCAAGAGGCTCAATTTAGGATAGTATTGTAATATCAAATCGAGCTCATGTTATTGTATTTATTCATCAAAACTTAGTGAAACCGATAGCACTTCCTTTTTAGTTTAATAATTCATCAACACGATATCTAGGGATGAATTCAGGAATTAACTATTTTATGCACTAAAGATTAGATTAAGAAGAGGAAATTTAATTTAGGGATTCACTAAAAATGACATGAATTAGAAAGGAAATAAGTTAGGATCACTTCTGCTTATAAATTGTTGAGCTTCAACTTATGAGATTTCCTTTCTCAGATACCATAATAACACTATTTCTGAATATAGTTAATCGGGTGTTTGGAGCAATATTAAATTGGAAACATTCTGAGATAATAATCTTCCTTATAAAAATTCCTTTAGTATTATTTGTCTAAGTTTTTGTTGATCATAATTTTGAATTTGTGATTGTGTTTTGAGTTGAAATCCTCTATTTGGACTAATAATTGTATAATTATTCATAATATAAAAATAAATATAAAATGAGTTCAAGGCAAATAAACAAATTAAATCTGATTTGAATCGACTTCAATTTATTAGTTTTTAAATTCGATGACAAGTTTTGATGGTCTTGTTGCTTTGAGCAAACCTTTTTCTGATTGACTTAATTGAGTAAATTTAGGGAAATGCAAATTACCAATATTTGTGAGATACCCATAGAGAGATGTCAATAATTTGCGATGGACTTTGTTTTCATATGAAAAAAGGGCTTTCTAATATTTAAGTAGTAGATATATAAGGTTTCGTGATTGATTGATTCTAAAAACTCTGGGGGATTAACGTTTAACTATGGTTTCAACATTTGTATCAGTATATTGATATAAATTCAAATCGCCATCTTGATTTAATCTTGGTTTAAATGAAATTCCTAGAATTTACTATTAAGGTGGATATAATTTGTACCTAAAATATTTCACAAGCCTAAGCCATAAACGCTGGGATGAGTAGAAATTAACACACTAAAATATACAACATAATGATGACAGCGGCAAAATAATGGCCCTTTTATACAAATCCTTTAGATAAACTACCATCCCAATCATCTAAAGTGAGAGTTTACAAATAAATGAGCAAGGTATCTAATATATCAATTGATTCAAATGAATGATAGAAAGATTTAATAATTCCCATCACAATCAATGTTAGAATAAGCATAAGTATATATGGGGAGAGTGAAGAGGATAGAACTCTAATGGCAATATAACTAATATCTCTAATGCTTGGGTTTGTTAGGATTTTAAACATAATGAGGATTGGACTGTATTTGATTTATTGAGTAGTGATCAATTCAACGAGTGAATAGGAAAAAGCCACTGGTCCTGAAAGAACATGAAAGGTGAGTTAAATGTTTGAGTAATATGAGTTTTGTGCTTCGATGTCTTTCAACACTACTACTGCAATCCAATGCAAAGTATATATGAGAGATACAAAGATGTGAAAGCAAATGTAATGGAAATCATTAATGCTATTAAGTCTGTTCTACATATTTGCATACAACAATTGAATTATCCACACAAGGAGAACAATTCTTGATTGTTGCTTTCCAAAAATAATCGAATAGTATCTTTAAGGTAATAAATTCTGGGATCTATGGGATATAGACTTTTCATCTATATCTACTTTGCCTTGTTTTACTAATTCGTCTAGGATCATCACATCAATTTGAAATGCTTGAATTAGAAACCAAAAGAACATCGCCAAAATAGTTATAAAGGAGAATATCAAAACTATTACGGAAATCCCAGTTTTGGGCAATAATTGTTTAGTTATATCACCCCATCCATCAACTGTTAGTATCTATAATAGAGTGAAGGCACTAACTCCAATACTCTTAAAATAATGCTTATTCACATCGCAATATAAAATGGTACATAAGTATGTAAATACAAAATAAACTACTATTGAAGTGAATATTATTGGCAAACTATTGACAAAAGTATTATAAATGTCGGACAAATTTTACTTTTAAAAATTGGTTGCAAATAATTTTAACGATTTTAATATAATCGAAAACCAGCAAAATTAATGAAATTACATGAAATATGCAACATTCAAAAATAATTAGACTGGCCCACTTAGCAAATGCAATATTATATTTATATGAAATTCATTCTCCATCTTCTTAACTCTTAATTATTTAAGATATTTATTTACTTGTAATAACTATCATATATATAATAAAGACTCGTCAAAAAATCTACTAATAGTCCTATATACTTTTTATAATCGTGTTATCGAGGAGATAGCATATGTTCTAAATGAAGACAAATATTTATTATATAAGTGCCTATCATAATAAATAGCAGCGTCTCGTTTTCCCCTCTCAATCGATACTTCGATGACAAAGCTTCATTGATGACATCAATGGTCGGTCTCGATTGTTTATTATTTGATCCTACATTCGCACTGTTTTCTAATTCAAATTCCTTTATGATTGAATCAGCCATCCTGGATTTGGCTGGAGTTTCTATGTCTGACAAAATCTCTGAATCACATTATTGGATAGTCCATTAATTTTATTCAGTTACCTAGGTCGGCTGAGTTTGCTTATGATTGTGTTATCGAAAAATATCTTCCGTATCTGCAGAGGAACAATTCTTCTTCTTTAGTATGATTGTTTCTCTAATATAATTATTCATTAATATAAGTAATCAGTTATTATACAATTTATCTTTTAACTTTCCTGCTACAATTAATGAGATTGTGTTTTTCATTGCTGCTATGGTTTTTTAACTCCTTGTATTTTCTGGATTAGATATTCAGTCCCTCTTATTGTCTCTCCCAGATAAAAAGATAATAAACTCGCTTAACTTGTCATTCATACTTAATGGCATGTCTATATCTTTCCAAGGTCTTTCAAAGGCGAATTGCTGTTGGTTCTCAATATCGGAATTATCTAAAAAGAAGACTAATTGAAATTATACAGTTCTTTTGGAAAATACTGTTAAATTCCTTTTTTAACTTATTTAGAATCTCTCTTTTTGATTTAATATAGATATCAAAAATCAAAATTATAAAGCATAAGAAAATGAAAATGAAAATTGCCATGATCTCTAAGTATAACCTTATAAACATTTTAGATATCTTTTTTATTTAATTAGATATTTGTCCATAGTACTTTTAAGTATTATTTAGTTTTATTCAATTTATCTATCTAGCTGGAAATTTGTATCAATTCCTGTTCATAGATAATATAATTGACTATAAAATACATATCAAAAATTACGGAACATTAGAAACTTTACTTGATATTAATTCACTTTTTATTTTTTGATACAGATTTATTTAATTCTATTCCTCCTAAAATAGAAGGAAAAATTGATTAGTGTTTTTTATTGTAGAATTATTTTTGCTTTTTGCTTCTCTATTTATTAAATGAAAATCTTTGAGATTTATATTTAAGAAGTATTCTAGATGTTCAAAATGGCATCTAATAAATCAAAGGCGATTAATAAAATAAGAAATTTCAATTAAAAGGTTTATGATATAATTTAATTAAGATGAGAAAAGGTTAGTTATAAAAAGTTCATTCAAAACCATTGATTGATTGATAATTTTAATGAATATATTATTTATAAGTTTACGTTTGGCATATGATATATAATTTCTCAAAATAATAGCCATGACATCTCAGAATAGTTAAGAGAACTAGATCAAGAATTAATATATATAATTTATTTATTAAATTGCCTTTATATTTATTTCATGTCCAAAAAGGGCAAGAAAGGAAAAAAAGGAGAAGACAATGATGAATCCACAACCCAAATCATGAGGTTTTACAACAGGAAGATTTAAAGTCTTGGGGTGGCATAAAATAAAATATTTGTTTAAGCAGTTGCATAAGCAATAGAAAATCAAGAACATCTAACGACTGTAAATAATAATACAAAATTTAGCTTCACATCATTGAGGAAATAGGGCCTAATGCAATTAGAGGTATTTTCGAAGCATTAATGGATCTAAAGTATTTATTAAATTCAAAATTAGTTATAAGCATTTGGCCAATATTTGGTTAGTCAAAGCAGGTCTGGGACTCAATAATAATGAAGGTGTCAAATATTTGGCAAATTATATATAAAAAGCTCAAAATACTAAAGTCTTGGATTTGACAGAAAATGAAATCACTCCGCAAGGTTGCTCTTATCTCGGTTACGCCCTATCACCTGCTTTTAAAGTTCCCTTGTAGGAACTTATTCTTGACTTTAATTACATTGGTTGTGAAGGAATGAAAGAACTAAGCAAGGGATTGGAGATGAATAGTAATAACATAAGTTAATTATTTTTTAGCAACAATCAGAAAGCTTTCGCTCAATTATTGTAGATTGGATTTAGAAAGTGTTAAATATCTATAGGACATTCTCTCTTTTGTCGATTGCGATTTAAGATATTTATTTTTAGAGGGAAATTATTTAAGAAATCAAGGGTATTTAATTAATTCATTTTAAGTGTCTATTAATTGTTTCGGTCCTTGGAAACTAATGAATGGTTGGAGGAATTAAATATTGCAAATAATCAGTTTGGAGAATCTGAAGATGTCCCACTTATTGAAAAAATATGTGAAGTCTTAACCAAAAATAGTTCAATTTAGGTTTATGACTTTAGAGGAAATGCTTTATATGATGATTGTAATGATAGCCTTAATATAATAGCTGCTAAGAAATTCTTAGAGTGTATCAAAATGTACAAAACTGTTTGCAGACTAGAAGTTCCAATAGAAATATAAAATGCAATTCTTGAAGAAATCAAAAAAGTTACAAAAAAAAGAAAGAGAAGAAAGAATAAGAAAAAAAAATCGAAAAAGAAGAAAAAAGCAAAAAAATGATTACCATTATCATAATATTAAATTGCTATTCTATTTATTAAAATTGTTTTTCAGATAAAAGTAAATCATTCTAGATGAAACCTCTTTTATTTTATGAGAATGATATGGAATTTGTAGTGTATAGGTAGTAATTATTTTCACAATAAACTAATTTCTACTTGGATTGTCATTTATTTATGATTGAATTACTTTCAATAAAATATTAAATAAAAATATAAATCAAATAGCCTAGTTTATATCGATTATATGTAACTATTAGTTTTATTTATTTTATAGGCAATTAAATACCTTCATTAAATAAATAGTTTTAAATATTAAATGTATAAGTAAAAAATAATTAAAAGTAATATCCACAGGTATTGATGTTGGAATTCAAGAAATAATATATATGAAGCTCAGAGTTATTAATAATTGTGCTTATAAAATAATATCATTTTAGCTTTAATACAAACTTTTCATTTTGAGAATAGTTTTAGAAATTCTTAATACGAAATCTTTCCATCTTAATTATGATCAGTTTCCTATAAGAATAATTGCCAAACATCTTAGTTCAACGTTCCCATCACATCTTCGACTTCTTACTTTGTAATATACCCATCACCATCCAGATCAAATATGCGAAATGCTTATTCAATCTTCTTTTACGAAAGGATTTTCGATTGATTAATTGAGGCCATAATAAATTCTATTTATAACCCAACATAGTACCACTATAATCAATTTATCCTGAAAAATTTTTATCTATCTCTTCTAAAATTCTTTCAGCTTATTATTCAGCTTACTCTTAATTTTTCATTATTCTCTTATAACCTTAAATAAGTTCCTCTTTACTCAGAACGCCATCTCTATTTACATCTAAAGATTGGAAAGTATGTTATAAATCTTCAATCTCTTTATGATTAGTCATTTGAGATATTATATATTGAACAATGGCTGTTCTGAATTCACTGGTTGCTTGGAATTAAGATAAATTATCTAACACTTTTTTATTAATAGGTTGATTAGTGGCATGTTTTTAGAACCACGGATCATTCAAAGCTTAGGGTGCAGAATATCTTAGGTTGACATCCACTTGTATCATCTTCTAAATTAAATGTTTAGCCTCTTTTGAAACGAATTCCCATTCCTCATCTAAATTATTGATTGAAAAGTACTTGGAAACTTCAATCTTCCCAATTTAACTTTTTCGAAGATTTCTTATTCAGTCTTTCCTGTAAATGGTGGATAACCACATAACAGAATATATAGAATTACTCCACAAGACCAAATATCGCATTTTTCTGTATAATTGTGTCCTAAAACTTCAGGTGCAATATAATAAGGCTATAATAGGGATTAGAAATTATACAGTGCCCAATCTTTTGGTCATTTTTGAAGTATTAAACCTACGAGAACATCCGAAATCAATTATTTTAAGATTTAAATCAGGTTCAGGACCCGAGAAAAGAACATTCTCTGGTTTTAAATCTCTGTGAACAATTTTTTAGTCATGACAATAGTTAATAGCAAGTAATATTTAACGAATTAATTCACTTGCTCTTTTTTCTGTAAACACCTACATTTTCTTGATTCTTTCAAATAATTCGCCTCCTGATAAGTATTCAGTAATCATATAATAATTATTTTGATCTTGATACAATTCATACAATTTGACAATGTGAGGATGATCAAGATTCTTTAATATATGCATTTCTTAAAACAATTTTTATTCATCCTCTTTAATCAATTCGGATTTCTTTATCTGTTTCATTGCTCTTATCAAACCTATTTTAAATTATATTAATTTACCAGTTGTTTTATGTGTCACTTTCCATACTTTTCCGAAAGCTCCTTATCCAAGTACTTATCCAAATGTGTAAACCTTATTTATTGAAGCTTTCTTTAGGTTTACAAATAGCTCAATACCCATACGAACTGTTAAGGAACTCATTGAGCCTATTGATTTTTTAGTGGGACTAGCACTCTGATCTTAAATTTATCTATTAGTTGTTTTGATCCTAGGAGAAGTGAAAGTTGTATTATTGTATTATTCTACAGTCAAGGATTCTTTTCTCTAACCATTTTTTTTTAAAGGAGATGGAGATTGTTAGGGTAAATTCATAGCTGAGTCAAGTTAAATTGGACTTAGTTGTAGTAAGTTAGTTTCTTATTGATTTGTGCTTCGAATATCCTTATTATTAATATTTAGTTATTCACTTTCAATTGAAATATTTCTGCTAAGTTTAATTTCACCATTTGGTGTATTTACTTACTCCTCCATCTAGTCACTTCCAGCTTTGATAGACTCCAATTATAAGATTTGAATCTATTGTTTCATAGCTTCTAGTTTTGAGGGTGTCTGAGATTCCTTTCCCAGCAGCGGAAGTGGAAGAGGTGCTACCATCTGACTTTACTCTTATTATGAAACACTCTATTTCTGTAATACTAGCGCACTTGATCCTTATTCCAAGCACAATTCTGCTATCGATAACTTCATCATCTTACCGTAAGAGGAACTTTAGAATTTGGTGTGGCAACAAGTTGATCCCATTTTTGGATATGTTAGTAACTTATTTAATTATTATCATTTTATAACAATGTTATTAACATGTATCATATAACCACTATTAATTGAATCTTTTTTGAATTACGATCTTAATTAATTAATACTTTGTTTAAGAATTTTATATATATTTCTAACATCACTGTGCGGATGAAAATAATCATTCTCTCTCATTATAAACACAACATCTGCTTTTAACTATTTTATTTCATTTTTTAATTGTTTAAAATTCTTGAAACAAATTAAGTATAATTATTGCAACACCCGAAATCTTACTTTGCTATTTTTCGCATGGTTAATTAAAATCTAATGCTTTTCCTGTATGCAGACAAGAGTGACTATTTAATATACTTATTTTTTAAATGTAAATTAAATTGTATACATTTATTTGACATTAATAATTTGCATTCCATTTATTAATTAAATATGTTGAGCATTTCAAAATAAAAATAATACCCGAATATACAAGATCGATTATCAGGAATGTTGATAACGAAGAATGCCCCAATTAGAAATTATTCAACTTGTAAGACCATTATTAATACCACTTCAGCCACCAGACATTCAAGGATTTCCTATTAGTCAAAATAAAAATACTCCTAAAATAAAAGTGAAGTAAAAGGAATCTCTAGTAGAACCTTTTCGGTAAATGAGGTCACAGAATTGCCATAAATATCAAAACCAACAAAAATAATAATCAAAAGGCCAAATTTCATTCCTAGACCAAAATAACAATTTAGGAAATTAATGCATGTTTAAACTTCACCGTCCAATTTGGAATCCGAAAGAAAGTAAAGTTGTTGAATTAGATAGAGTAATTCAAATTGCCTTTAATTTGAGACTATTAATTTGAATATAGAGGCTGAGGATGTTTACATTTTATATAAAGGTTTCAGAAATTTGAATTAATTCAATAAGATTTGCATATTAAGTTATAATCTTGTATACTTAAATATTATGATAGTTATTTGGGGAATACAATAGTCATTACTTTATTAACCCCCTCTAAAATCCTTAAATTAAACCCTAAAACAACAAGCAATTGATTATGAAAATTAGGACTGAATCCATATTAATTCTACAATTGAATCCAAATCAGAAGCTCAATTCTTTGCACAATACTTAAATCGATTGGTTTGATTGTATATATTCAACCAGAAACTATCATTCCAAAGAAACACTTAGCAGTGCGTTAAACAGAAATAATTTATGGGTCAACATTTCGAAGATTCCAAATCTCTTTAAAGTCTAAAATAAAATAATGAATTACTACTATGTCGATGTCATATATTCTGATCCATCAAATATCTATGAAATTGATAATTACATCAACAAGATATTATTAATTGATGATGAAAACACTAGATTGTTTCATTTATTTATTAATGCTCCTGCAGATCTTCAAATTGTATATCAAAGATTGCAGGAGATCTTTAGAAACAATCAGACTCAAGATTTACAAAAAGTGAATTTGAAGGAGATGATTGAAAAATCTAATTTGGATATGTAATTGATTTAGACGAGAATTAAACAATTGAAATATTTAAATGATCAAAAGATTAAATCCAAGCAACACTTTAAAAAATAACATTTAAGTGTTTGTCCAGTCAGTCCTGAAGAAAGAGCAGAGAAGTAAGATGATGTAATGATATATGATTAGAATGAGAAATGAAATCGTGGAGTACATCAAAAGCAATTCAAAAATTAAGATTGCGAATATGCATTTTGTTGTGGGTGATACTATAATGAGAAACATTGAAATGTTTAGAAATCATGAAAATGATAAGTTTTACAGGCATTAAGAAACTGTTCAACTAATTGATCATTTTATGAAAAATAGTTTACCGAACTTTTAGAATAATATCAATAAAGCAAATTATGCATTCTATTGTTTATGATAATTACTTGATAAATTAAATCTTTTTTTAAAATATAAACAAAATGGTTAAAAACTCTGCTCAAGATCCATAAGATAACTCACTCCAAATGAAGGTACAATATTAAAGCAATTTTTGTGTAGACCAGATAATATTTGGTTTCTGGAAGAAGACTCCCATCAAAGGAAGATCCAAATCCAAAGGTTATCAGCATGAGAATCTTTGCTAGAAATACAGTTGCTGCAAAAAGCAGATTCTGGTATATTGCATAAAACAATGGTTAGGTGGAATTTGAGAAGATTGAATAAGCTTAGACCATCACATGGTTAGATCTTAGCAGTTTAAGAATTGTTTGAAAGAAGAGACACAAATGTCAAGACCTACGGAATTGTACTCAAATACTAATCAAGAACAACTATCCACAATATGTATAAAGAATTCAGAGACACAACATTAAATGGAGCAGTCTCACAATTATGTAAATTATAGCATAATATCCTCCTTTAGATCAAGAAATGGCCGGAAATCACAGAGCCCAACCATAAACTATTCACATCCTCAGAACTTCAGTATTAACTAAGAGTGCTGATATCAAGAGAGGAAAAACCAACCAATATAGAGTATCATATGATAATAAGGTTAGGGTGATTCAATCAAATTCCCAATTGTCAAAACCGTTCCAAGAGCCAGCCACAAAAAATTCAGAACAGTATTCAAAGCTAAAAGACCCAACCTCTACAGATCATGATCATCTTATTTTAGTACAATATTCATCATATAATAATATTTAATTATATCTAATCATCTAAAATTGTATGTTAACATTTTGCATTACAATATCAAAATTATTAAGTTTATAATCTAAATCAGAGATTCTAAAGACACACTTTTGAAATAAATTAGTAAACTTCCTAGAAATTGTTTCTTTCCTCCTAATCAGAAAAGTCCACAAACGAATCATCGCCGAATTCCATGTCCTTTATAAAGTTTTAGGCTTATTATGCTGATATTCTAAGCTTGGGATCAGGTTCTAGCATTCTATCTAATAATTTTCGAAGTCCAAATTTCCTTCTTAAAGTCGACATAGTATTCTAACTAGACTGGAAGATAGTATATTTATCAAAGATTGTTTTTTAGAGACTCTTACCAGTTAACCTAATACATATAAAAATGGTGTTACATTTCATGAAGAAGTTCACCTAAACAATACACATCTTAAGCAAACCAAAATTATCTATCAAACTCCTCGTTATTTTAATTGCCTTCTAAATTATTGGGGAACATATATTCATTCAATAAATCAATATCTTTTGTACCTCTTTTAGTTCTCAGAATTTCCCCCAATTTTGTAATTTGTCCAAATTCAGTTACAACTATTCGACCATCCTTTTAGATAAATATGTTATCTTAAGATAGGTCTCTACATATGAACCCTCTTCTATGCAATGCAATTAGCAGACTCAGAAGTTGCTTTGGTAATTTAGATAATATTATTACTTTTAAGACAACTATTACTTCCTCCTTTTTCATCTTGTATTGTGAGTTCATTCTCTCCCTTAAACTCCTTCCTTCCAGGTACTCAAAAATAATGTAAAATTTATCGTTTTCAACAAAATACTCCGAAATTGCTATCATGTTTTTGTGTTTAAGGTTTAAGACTTCCAATTCTATCATAAAATCCTTAGTTATGATTTAAATTGATACAAGCATGTTGTAATTAATGCTATTTGGTGTCACTTTCATTTGGTAAGGTCTCTAATCTATACAACTATGAACTAGTATAATCTACAAGTACGTTTATAACTATCATATATGTTACTGTGTTTTGAGAGTGCTATCGAATTTATTTTACTTTATTAAACATTTTGACAAGATTGCTATAGGAGACTTTTCCATCGAATATGCTTTTCAGTCGTAAACAATTTTGATAATTCACAACCATTGTTTTCATTTTCTACTTCCATTTAAACTTGAATCCGATGAATTAATTTCTGTCACCATAAACCCATGTAATTATCGTTGTCAATTCTAATTAGATTTTGTATTTTATTTATTGTTCATTCTAATGATTTTAGTTGATGCTTACCTTCCCTATTTGAATAGAGTTCTCTTTTTCGTATATGAAATATTCAGTATCTCTGAAAAAATGCTTACTTTTGCACATCATGATATAAATTAATATAAACTATATAATTCTCAATTATTTTCAATTTAATAATAAATTAACATCCATCGAATTTGAAATGATATTGACTTCATTTGCATTCAAAACAACACCCCAAATAAATAGAAAGTTGAGAAGAAATTAGTTTAAGAAAATTTCATATGTACATAGAGCTTCAAATTTATAATTATTAATATCATAAATAGAAAATTATTTTAAACTCATCATCAACTCCAATTGTTAATAAATGATTAACATGAAATTTATGTCCATAAGCTTAAGAGTAAAGTAACTTAATTTGGAATTTAACCTTGAATGTAGTTACAGAAATATAATTAATAATTAGATTTTATAGTCAATTTTTTGCAATCAATTTTTTAAAGTTTGGTAACTCTTGAATATGATCTTGGGAAGATTGCAATGAAATAGAAAGGGAAGTGTTTGTTGGGATGCTCATTAATTTTAAATAATTTAAAGCTTGTCTTGCATCAATTCTTTAATCTGGATCTTCAGTGATCATTTTTGATAATAAATCCCTGAAATTTTTTTACTTTACATTTTAAAGAATTTGATAATTTAAAGTATAAACCTTATTGTTTTAACATAGTTCTTACTAGTTTATTCCAAATATTAATTTTGCTCCTGTTAACCTTACTAATAAATATCACACTTACATGTAATAAATTATGGCTCCACAGCTAAAAACATCTATTTTTTGTGATATCTTTCTTCTATTTTTTCTCTATAGAATCTCAGGTGCTATATAACCAGGAGTTCCAAAAGTCATTTATAAATCCTCTGATAAATCCTTAATCTTGCATGAGATTCCAAAATCAATAAGCTTAAGATGGCAAAATTATCCCAATTCACAAAAAAGTATGTTTTCAGGCTTTATGTCCCTATGAACAAACCCTCTTTCGTGTAAATAACAAAGTGCCTCTAAAATTTACTAAATTCATTAAAACAATTGTACTCTCGTTATTATTTCTATTTCCATTATAGACATCCTACAATATTTCAGGCATTGGCTAAGAGTTCCGCCTTTTAAAAATTCTAATACTATTAAATATGAAGTTTCTTTGGTATAGGCTTCTATCAATTTTACGATGTTTTGATGGGTCAATTGTCCCAAAGTTTCAACTTCATTTTGAAATAACTAAGATTTGAATATAATCGTACTTCGTAGGAGTACAATTTCTATCGATTCAACTCTTTGCACACGTAAACAACATTATTATCCAATCCTTAGATAGTATATACCTATCAACTAATAAATAAGATTAAATTACCGAACTTAATTCTCTGGTCTCTATTTTTCCTACTTATTTGTAGAAATAATCTATGTTTTTAAAAATTACTCTTCCAGCCAGATAATTCTTGACTCTGAGAAGGACACTTTGGTCAGCATAAAAGTATTTCTGTTTATTTTTCCAGTCTATACAAAATGCTACCAATTAGAAATCTTCTTAGGAGATCTTCCAATCAATTACAGTTTATAGTTTCAAAGCAATTGTATACTTCGTATGTTAGGTAGACTGAGTTAATAATCATTAAATTACTTCTCCTATATTCATGCTATCTTGATTTAATGTGATAATATAGCTTTTATCAAAAAGGAGATGTTTTCTTGTACAATACATCAGAATGTTTATTAATGAAAAAAAGAAGGAAAGATTTTCTTTTTAAAAATGAAAAATTATCAAATAACGCAAAATTTAGTAGAGCAAGTTTTACCGCCTATCATGTATAGTGAAAATTCATTTTTTAAGAAGAAGAATCATATTCAATCAAAGACATTTTAACTTAATAAGATGACCTGAAATTAATTATTAATAATTTTATAAATCAAATAACAATAAATAAGAAAGGCAAATATTAAATAATTTATAATTCATATGATATTCGAAAATATGGATTTTCGTTTTTTAAAAATGTGTTTAAAAAATTACAACTTATCACTTGGTAGCAGCTTATTTAAAATTCGATGTATAATTAAAATTATTAATTAATTTCTTACACATATAATTTATTTAATAATTAAATTCATTGAAAATTAAAATTTATTTTTTCATTAAAACCATTAATAATTTTATATTATTTTGCTTACTTTTCTAAAGACAATTTCGTTATTTAATCTTAGATAAGATAACTATTATATCAAATGTAAATTTCCTTTATCTAAAAATAGCATTAACTCCTTTAGTTATAGAAAACTTAGCATCCAAATTTAAGTGCATAAAAAGAAAAAGAACATAAGAAAAAAAGTTAAATTATCTAAATCATAAAAAATTTAATAAAATTGTAACATGGGGGGTTCAATATCTTCACCCTTCTAAAATATATAAATTGAAAATGAACAAATAAGAGTAAAATATATGGAAGACTTTAATTATAGAAGTTTATTTTAGTTTTTAAAGGCTTACTTATTTATTTCTATGTTAAATTGAAAAATCAAATACGAATATCTCAAAAAATTTCTTAAATCTCCTAAGATTCTTATTGCTAAATTCTTTTGGACATAGTTTCACCTCCTCGAAATGTAAAAGCAAGGTTTTCAAGGGTATGAAATATTGGCAATTTATTTTTTTACATAAATTAATATCCTTATTGAATTTTTCCTTCCAACAGCAAGATTTAAGTCTTTAAGGAATAAATCCAAAAAATCAATAATATAACTACACAATATAGATATAATACTTACTTCCAAAAAAAGAGATTATTGAAAATAAAATAGCTAAAACTTAGTTCATCTGATCTTCTATTGATGTTTAAAACTCTATTGTAAATTTCAAATACATCATCTTCGTCTTATCTCTAAAATTAATCCCATAATCATATATTAAAGGGCAATCTTCATTATCATCACAAAAGCAGAGAATCTTAGGGTGAGTTCTCGATAGCTACAATTTGATTAATTTAGTATTTGTAATAATGTAAATCAACGAAGAATTTACTACTGAGATTTATTATAATCCCATTATTTGTATATTTTAGATTTAGTTAGAATTATAGAGATACACCTTATGGTTATTTTTGGATTAAATAAACATCATTTCTCCAACATTTATAATTTTAATTATTTTATTTTCTTCCTCTAATATTTCCCTAATTTATATACTATTATCCAGGAAATTGATTCTGAAATTCAAAATCTTATACACATTGTTATAGTATAATCCAAAGCAACTATAATATTCATTACAAAAAAAGGATTTTGGATTTTATAAAGGATTTGCTTCTGAGTATATTATTTTAGAATTGATATTATTTTATCTGAACAATAGCTTTAATACATTTAATCCAAAATGTTAATCCATCAAATACAAATAGTATTTAAAATCATCAATCTTTTTTATATCATACTCGATAATATTTTGAAATTTACTTATATCTATTGATCCAAAATATTTGTTTGTATTATTTTAAAGATCATAAACATATATGAATTTGTTTATTACGAACAAAAATCCATCATAAGTTTTTATAGCTCCATGATAAAATGTAATTTAAGTGTCATTTAATAACTGATAATCAACCAAAAAAATAGGGTCTTCGCTTTTTTCATCATAAAAACCTTTGAACTGGCTGTAATTCCCCTAAATTTTTTTCTAATTGATTATTGTTCCATCATGTGTTATTTAAGTTAAAATCATATCGTTCATAAGAACCCAAAGACCACTTTATGTTGCTAACAAAAAATAGTATTTATTCATTATATCTAGATCTTGATAGTTCATAAGAGATGTTGTTTGTAAAAGAACTTTTTCGTCTTCAATCCAACAAAATTCTTTATTGCTTTCATCAGTCAAAGTTACATTTGTAGCATTATTTAATTCCAGCACAGCCTTTAACTAACCAATTTCTATCTTAAATTCATATTAGTTGCACGTGACTCTCAAGCTCAGTATAAGTGCGAATAGGAATTATTCAATCATTAATTAATATTTGCAATTCAAATTTTAATTTCAATTTTATTTAAATTCATAGGCATAAGGCAATTTTAGATGACTGAGACATAAATTATATTAGCAGCAAATTAAACATATCAACCAAGCATTTTGTTATTTATTATATTAAATTATAAAACATTAAAAATTGAGCCTATTTTTCATTTATTTCTAAGAAATTCTCTTCATATAGCACATATGTAGCCACTCCTTATCTTGGAGATCTACTAAGTATGTGAAAAATTGAAAAAAATTTAAAAATTAGTTTACAAATTCTAAAAATTGAATTAGTTTATTGATAAATCTTAATGATATTTAATAAATATTATTCTTCAAAAACTAAAACATTTACATTTAATTCATAAAACTATTTTTATCTATGAAATTAATAACGTTATCAATGTTCAGAATAGAATCTTATTTAGTTCATTTCTTTGAAATTAAAAAAACAAAATGAGATTCATTCCAACAACAAAAAAAATTGAAAACTAATAAGAATATTTAATATCAGTAAAATAATAATATATTACAAAATAATTTCTTTATGCCAAAAATTCATAAATGATTATTCTAATTGAGACTATATAAATTTCATATTTATAGTCCAAAAGTAAAATAATTAAGATAGACTCCCTCAAATTTGAGAAAATTTAATGAAGATAATTTTTATATCATGTTCTGGAAAGCTTGGATCATCTTTGGTATCAATACAGTATTTTGCAACTATCTATCAAAATAGCTGTGATTCTAAAAGAGTCTTTAAGCCAAACATTTAATTGCCATCGCATAAGGATCTAATCACTTAATAATAACTAAATTTAAAGAAATCAAAATTTGAATATAAGTAAAAAATTATATTAAAAAAAAACAATAATTCTCTCTTAATTTAATTTCATAAAATAAACCATTGAAATTAAATGTATTCACTAGATTATCAAATTGATCACCTTTAATTTATTATAAAATTTAATGTTTCAAAGTTTATTAGTGATTTTATGTAAAACATATGAAAGTTGTGATGAATGTATTTAATAGATCTGAATAATCAACTTTGGATTATGTATTAATTGAATTCTAGAATAAAGGTAGTAATTCGATGTAATAATAAATTAAGGCTTATAAAATACATAATTAAATTACAAAGAATTTTATAAAATAAAAACAATGTAATAGGAATTCAAATTGCCATAAAAGATTATCGAGTTGTATGCTAAATATTAGAATAAATCATAAAAAGTGAAAAAATTCTAACTTTAAGAGCATACTTTTATGCTTGAAGATCATTATGCTCCTGTTGAAATAAGTAATAATCTTCATAAATAAATAAAGTTGGAAGTGGTGCCTATGGATGTGTTATATAAGCTGATGACAAGAATGCCAAAACAGAGAAAGATAGATAGGTGGCCATAAAAAAAATTGAGAGGGCTTTTGAACATAGACTCTATGCAAAAAGAACTTTGAGAGAATTAAAAATTCTTAGATTGATGAAACATGAGAATGTAAGATTTGTTAGATTAAGTTAGATTGTCGAATTAAAAACTCTCCTTCTTCCAAAATCAAGAGAAGAATTTGAAGATGTTTACATGGTTACTGAATTATTAGAAACAGACTTAGCACAAGTAATTAAGAGTGACTAGGTCTTAACAGATGAGCATATCTAGTTATTCTTATATCAAATTTTGAGAGGATTGAAGTATTTGCATACTGCAGGAATTTTGCATAGAGATTTAGTACCTATTTATTAAAAATTAATTTAGAAACCAAGAAATTTATTATTAAATAGAAATTGTGATCTGAAAATCTGCGATTTCGGTTTAGGCAGAGCAATGGCTGATCCTACATCATCCAATAATGCTAATATCATGACTTATTATGTTGAAACTAGATGGTATAGAGCCCCAGAATTGCTGGTGAGTTTCAAGAATTATACCCCTGCAGTGGATATGTGGTCAGTTGGGTGCATTTTGGCAGAACTATTATTGAGAAAGCCATTTTTAAGAGGAGATTCAAGTATTAATTAATAATATCAATTAAGCTAAGAGATAAGTGAAATTGATTTTTGAATTATTGGGTACACCAAATGAAGCCTACATTTAATCATTCCAAGATGAAAAAGTTTAAAATAATTTAAGGAAAGTCATTAAGGAAACTGGCCCAAAATAAGGCATTCCATTAGAATAATTATTTAAAAATGCTTCTAAAAATGGTATTATTTTGTAATTATAAAATAAAGCTTTGGATTTATTAAGGAAACTTCTTACATTTGATTACCAACAAAGAATTACAGTTTAACAAGCCTTAGAACATCCTTATTTGGCTTAATTGCATTTTGAAGCAGATGAACCAAGTGCTTAACTTGTCAATTAATTAGAGTTCGAATTTGAAAAATATGAAATGACCAGAGAATAAATCAAAGGTAAAAACTCAACCCTATTTTATTAGATCTTCTCTATGAAGAGATTCTATTGTATCATTTTCCAGAATTCTAAACATCATATGAGTAAAAGAAAAAATCTGGATAAAGTTTAATATCTCATATCGTGAACAATGAAAATGCAAAAATAGTAAATTATTTCACTAAAATAGTTTGATCCAACAGCAGACGATGATTTAGATAGAGATTGAATGTATTATTATGTTAAATTCAAAATTATGTATAGTGATGATTTAACCCTATTCCTTTTCTTGTTATTAATTATTGATTTATAGCAATCTTTATTAGGCTATTTATTATTCAATCTATATTGAATTTTTGATAAAATAGTGATTGTCTGGGTCTATTTCTCATAATTTTGATCAAGAATGATTTTATAATTAAACGTAAGAAATTTAATCGTAATTATCTATTAGTAGTTGAAATTTAATCAGTTTCAAAAATTAATGAAAAAATATGAAAAAATTTATCACACATTCAATTCAAGGAGAAAATTACAAAAATAGAATCCTATAACTGAATTGATAAGGTTATTCAGAGTTTAACTCGCCTTATACTAGGTTTGAGATGCTTGTGACTGATGGATTCTAAAGTTAAATATGAAGTCTAATTATGGTCTTTTAGTCAATAAAATTTTGAATTGAATAATAAAAATTGAGATCCATTATTAAAGAAATTTGCCATAATATTTAGATCCTAATTATCATAAATTCCCATTTAAAAGAAAAGCTTAAAGAGGGTAACAGCTAAAGATTATTATAACTATTGTTAGTAGTCTTATTGATTAATAAAACAATTATAAAATATTCACTTTTACACCTATCTAAATAGCAAAACCATTGGTTCTTAATTAATAAGAAATTTTAATTACTAATTTGACAATTAGATGTGGTGATATCTTGAAAAATCTTTAGTAGAATATAAAGATTTGTAATTTTTGTGGAAGTTGGGTTTAATTTGAAGGATGAGATGAAATGATAACCAATTTAGATGATAGGTGGAATGATAATGTTACAGGTTTTGTTTTCAATAGTGAAAAGAATAAGAGTAGAATTTACATTATTAAAGAATTAATCTAAAATAACACTGATTTATTGTTGTGAATCTAGTAAGCAATTTTTGTAGAGAAATATGAGATTATATAGCATGGAGAACAATAATAGTTGAATCTGTAATATTATTACATTATGAGATTTGACAGTTATTTCATCTGTGTGGTTGACGTGTTTTGATTTATAGATATATTTATGATCAAAGGAACTAAGGACATGGGATGTCTAGACATTTAGGACCAGCTATGAAGTTGCTCATTGCATAGGTCTCTTGGTCACTGAACTTTCGTGATTTTCTCCTACTCCTTGTTTAGGATATCACTTAGATCAGACCCCCATCAAGGACAACCTAAAGTTCACCACAAGGTTCTTTGCCTTTTGGGCAATAGTAGGCCGGACTTAGATTCTCTAAGCGTTGACTGCTGTCCGTAGAACAATTAGAATCAATATTCAATTCTTCAATATTGGAAAGCGGATTCTAAAATAAATCAAATCAATAAGACCTTGCGTTTCTAAGGCGGCGTGACGTAGAATTGATCTCGTTCCTGGTTCTTAGGAACGAAGAGACACTTAGAGCTGTTTGCAGTCTAAGACTTTTTATACACTCTATTTTTGGTATTACTCACTAGAAGGATGTATATTCAAAACCATACTTGTTGTATCTGGAAGAAGTCTTGTGATTTAAAAAGCTAAAAGGGCTTTTTTTAAATTTATATTTAATTATTAATTTGACATTGCCGGCTGCTTTAATAAATATATTTATCATTCATCCCCCATTCTAGGTTGTGTGTCCATTCCATTAAGTCTATCCTTATATACTTCTAGCAAGAATTTATAATCAATGCGTCCATTTTTCTTGGACCAAGAAATTAATTGTGGCCATTGCTCTTCTCGAACAACAATTCCTTAAGATCTTAACATTTTATCCATTTCTTATTTAATCAACTAAAAGATATATATATCTCAATAATTACATCTTCAGTAAGTGGAATTTGGCCATTTTAAGTCAAATGTTTGAATATTTCAAGAAGATACTTCCTGTTCTTACCAATAGCATTAATAGTTTTATCAAATTCTTTAGAGCTTTCCCAAATCCCATTTTCTATTATATAATAAATTATTACCAACATACTGAAGTGCTGTTTGTTTAGCTGGAGGTTTTCTTAAGAAGGTCTTGAACTTGTTAGTTGCATTCATCAATCCATCATCTGTTAATCCTTCAAATTACTAAGGAGATTGAACACTTTGTTTTGTCATCCATCCTTTATCAGTTTAAGCCATTAATGATTTTTGAGATGACTTTTTCACTCTGACATTAGCACTCATTGGTCTAAATAGATAACAATAAATTATACCTTTTCTTTTCATTTGGATTCGAAAACTTAGAGAAAGCATCCATCCATTCTGTTAAATCTAGTAGGCCATCCCTTCTTTTATCTATGAATTCGAATAGATCTTTAATAATAGCAAATGGAGGTATATCTTCTGTAGCCAATCTGTACAACATTTCAATCATATCCTTAAATTTATCAAAACTCAAAAATCCAGTATGTTGAGCATCAATCTATCTAAATGCATCTTTAGGAGATAACAGATAATGATAAATATGATCATTCACTTTCTATAAATGAATTCCTGCTCTTTCTAATATTTTATTATCTGCTTATCTGAAATCCAATCTCTTAGCAAAATCTCTCCAATTTACCATGCTATTTCTGTCTGTATCAAGCATGGCTGACAATATATCAATATCTTAAAATGTCAATCCCATATTAAGATTTCTTATCACTTAGCGAAATTCCAAATTAGTTATGTATCCAGTATTATCTGAATCATATGACTTGAATAATTCGCTTATATTTTTGTTTGAATTCCTCAAAAATCTTCTAATTTTGTCTAACAAACTAATGTTCACTTGATTTCTCTCATCCAAAGGCAATTCGCATAAACCTCTAAAAACTATGAATAAATAATTACCCTTAAGTCATAGGTCTAATATTGGATAATGATTATTGGCCTTCAGGTGGTTCATAGACTTTTGCACCTTTTCCAAATATAAGTGCAAAGGCCTGATTACTTAAAGATCCATTTTTTTGAACCCTTGTCCATAAGGTTTCTATGTCACCTTCAACAAATCTTTTTGGGAATAAAGCTTACAAAGCCTTTGCAAAGCTCTCTTTGGTTATAACATGGCTGTGTTCCATCTAAAAATAATGGATTGCATTTTAAATGCTTGAAAAATAAGTAGAAAGGGCATCTTAGATTTCTTTAATCATTTAATCTTACCAATTATATTGAGCAAATGCATTCAGCCAATCAGATTCTACTAAATATCCTTTTTTATGGGAATCAAGATCAGAAAAGATCTCATATACTAATTTTTCAGTTAAATCAAATCCTGAAAGCACATTCTTCTCATCAATCCATTTCTTAAATTTCTAGAATACTAATTTCTTACGATATCCTGATACAATATCAAAAGATTCCTTTACACTAGGATAATGTCTACTAATTATTAACCCTATTTATTATCTAGCATTCATTTTCCAATCAAAAGAGGATCTTGATTCTTATTATTACTTCGAGGATGGATTTGTAGTTTATCCAAACACTTATTTATTCTTACCATAGAAAAATCCTTCTTCAACAAATCTTCTAAAATCCATTAGTGTAATTTTTCCCCTTTTATATTAATCCATCAATTTAAATAATCTATTGATTTTAGCTTCAGTAATCTCTTTTTCTTCAATTTTCAATATATCCTTTAGGAAAGTTCTTAAATCTGCCTTGTTTATCTAGCCATCGAAATCCTTATCAAAAGTTCTAAATGCATCCTCTATTGTGATATTCTCTCTTTAACACCAATTCCTTATTTTGAATAGGATTTCCAATTCCCAATCCCAGTCATCTTCAGATAAAGATGGCATCTATTAAATAATGGATTTGCCCATAAATTTAATAAAAGTATTTAGATCAATCAAACCAATTCTCTATTTATCCATAAATGCAAAGAAACCATCTTTTGCAGGCTAGCTTAGCGTCATGATTTTATCAATGTTATAGAATTCACTGATGGATAAGAACCCATTATGATCAGTGTCTAAGAATGTAAATAGTTCTTCGTATGACATTCCCTTTCTATTTAATTTAATTCTTAAATCCTTAAGTATTTAATCAAATTTGGATTCTGGTAATTCTTCAACTGGGAATAAGCTTTTTGATTGATTCATTCCATCAACCAAAGATTAGAACATTTTCTTCTATCCCATAGTAACTAAATCAATAGATTTAGATTAAACACAAGTTTTCTCAATTGCTGATAGATTATCTCCAAATGAAGGTTTAATCTTCAAGCTTTCAACAATTTATTCGATTTAGGATTAATCCTTTCTGACATTGAAATATGAATATCTTTTTATGAATGTATTCATATCTTCATCACTAACAACACCATTTCCATCAACATCCATTTCTCTACAATATTCTAAGCATTCATCATGAGACAACTAAGTAAAGAGATTCTTTTCTAGATATTAGGCATTAGATTCAATATTGCAGGATCCATAGCCTGATTTTACTTATTATAAAAATTGTATAACAGTATATTTTTTTTAAGCTAAATACTTACTGATTTTTTATGCGAAATCAACAAGATCTTTAGCAGTATCCTTCTAATCCATTTATTTGTTAACATCCATAATCATTTAAATAAAGTCATAGTAATTTATTAATGAATCTCTGTTCTTAGGAAGATAACGAACTAATCTATTGATATCTTAAACATTCAATCCCAACTAACTTTCCATTAAGACAGTCTTAAAATTGGCAGTATCTAGATTACCTTCTTGATGTTCATCGAAATATTCAAAAGATGATCTCAAGACCTTCATTTTCTAAGGATCAACTAAGTGATCTCTCATTTTATGTAAGATATCTTTAAACCAGGACAAATCATACATTTTGTCATCTTCTTCAACAGTGTTAAATAATGCTAATATATCACTCATACTAATGGTTTCTTTTCCATCCAAAATTTCTTTAGCCACTTTAAGTGCTTTGTGCTAGTTTAGAGATTCATCTAAATGCATGAGAGCAAATTTTAGTTATTACAAATTAATTGGAGGATGATCTCTATTCAAATTCATTCTCTATAACAAATCATCTGTATGAATTTAGAATTTATACACGACATCCTTAATATAATTTACATGAGTTTCTATTGAGTTTATATGATGATGCTTACTTTTATCAACAATAGCTTTGAGCCAATCGAATTTATCAACAAAACCATCATTATTAACATCTAAAGTCTAAAACAAAGTGATTATTTGTATTTCATTAAGAGGCAAATCTACTTTAAGAACTGCTCTCTTAAAATCATCAAAATTCATTCTAATTTTTCTTTCACTAGTCTTGCCAAATGCTTATTAACAGAGATCTAAAAAAGACTAATTAATATAATTAATTCAATCATTACATCTTCAATATTAAGTGCATGATCCCTTATGTAATATTTTAATCTTTCCAACGCATATACTTTATCATTAACCGATCTTTGGAATCCCATTCTAGAAATCTGTTAAGTAGATGGTCTTAATTCTATCTAAAATATTATTGATCATAATATGATACAGTTTTACTCATAAGTCCTCCCTTTTTAGACTGATTTTATGAACTTTTGGCAGTTTTAGGTCTAGTGTCAGGTAATTCGATTCCAAGAGAATTAGTTAAATAATTTCTAGCACCTTCATCAATCATCAGATTGTTTTCTTCAGGAAACTGACTCTTACTCAATTACTGCAGGTATTACTATGTCAAGCGCATATCTCCTTTAGATTTTCTCTCTGACAATGGTCTCTTGGTAATTTCCTATAAACAAATATTGATCCCATATTTTACTTTACAACTATCCATCAGTGAATCCATAAATTATACAGCAGCACAATGGGATTTAACAAAGAATGTACCAACACATGGAATTTCAACTTCAACAACATCCCTCTAAAATCATCGATAAGAATGTATACATTGCGAACTACATCAGATAATGATTTAATCACTCTCTCAACAGCCATTTTAGCTGAATCCTTATTTTGAGATGCATACAATGCTATTTCTGCCCAATTCACAATTGCATGCTAAATCTTACCAGATGTCTGCACTTTATAAGGTCTCAACTATCGACCTATTGCTATGGCAGTTTTTAGATTGAATCCATTAACAAATTCCTTACATTAAATCAATCGAGTACCTTCGCAACAAGGAATACTGGTTAACGTGGCTATTTGTCTCTTTCCACTGGATTGGTAACTCCATCTAATATAACATCTGGAGCACTAAAAGAAAATGTTCCAAATTTGTTCACTGCTACTCCTCTTCCCATTCGTAATTATCTTGAAACATGAAGGCCTTCACATTACTAACTTTATATTTACCGAATGCATTCCAAGCAGCAGAGACAGTTTCCTCATCCAAAGCCGCTATCAATGAGCCATTGCTAACATATAACCCTACTTGCTTACTCTGCTTATCCATTTCGAGTGGCTATTTTAGAGATTATTGACTATGCATTCATGGTTGCCTTGCTTTGATAACTATCAATGCTATTCATTTTTAATTAATTTATTAATAATGTTATCTCAAATATGAATTTATATCTAATCTCAATTCTCTCCGATCTAACTATTCAATTCAAACAAACTTCTTCCTGTTCCAAAATGCATCAGACATTAGAATACTAATTTTAAATCAATTTCTTAAATAATATTTTTTATCTGAATTACATTTTAATAAATATTCATTTTAAATTTTATCTTATTTCATAATTATTAATATATATACCCTTTACTCCAGTAACAATTACAATTTTCATTTTTCTTGTTTCCAAGATTTATCATAAGTGTTGTTTCAAAAATAAGAGTACTGAATATTTAATCAAAGTGTTTTAAAAGAGATATTAAATCAGTTTTTGCCTTATTTCTATGATATAATCAAAAGTTTTCTATAATTATAAATGACATAAATATTTGATAAATTTAAGAATACTTTTCTTACAATTAAGGTATACTTTTTGAAATAAAATTATGTTGATGTCAAAATAGTTTTGCTATTAATTGATTTAATCCTACATAAAGATTGAATACCTTTAAAGCAAAACGTGTAAAAGTCGTGAATATAAAAAAAAAGATTCATATTGAACAAAATCTATGTTTTTCTCAATAATTTTTTTTATTTCTTTCCAAATACTTCTAAAATTTAATAATATTCAAAAATGCATTCTGAAAGGAATCTTTAAGTTTAATCAAAAATATATTTAATATTTTATCAATTTATTAAAATACTTTTAGATTCTTCCCGAAAATTAAATTAAATTATTAATTCTGGGCTGGCTGTTGTACATTTGAAAGAAATGTAAAATTATTCAATTTTATAATTGGTTTATCAATAATCATATAATTCATAATCTTTGAATTATTAATAATAACTCAATTTATCTTCAATATTGACTTAATAATATCTAGTGCTTTCTATTTCTCAATATATATTAACCACCAAAGATAGTTATTTAATAATCAGAGATCAGTATTAAATTAAATACATCAATTTTATTTTTAATAATCGATTTATATAAAAGAATTATGAAATTAAGAGTAATTAAAATTCATTTATGATGAAATGAATAATTCTAAAATTTACTTTTGATGGAAATCGTTCATTCTTTTAAATTGTAAAATAATTTAATATTTAAGTAAAACTAAAATAGTTTGTTAATAGTTCACATTCAGTATTACATTTAGTTCTAATTTTAAGATCTACACCGTAAACTTTTAATAACCATATGTAAAATAGTTTTTCTATTTTTCAATAATTTAGAAAGATTAGACTGGAAAAAGAAAATAACCTTTTTAAATCATCCCAAAATATTAATCTAGATTGAACATTTATTTTATTTGAAATTCTTAAGCAGATTTAAAAACGAGATACATATCTTTTTTATATTTAATTTATTTAATGCCTTTAAAGAATTTTATTGATTTAACTGATGGAGTTATCTCACTAATCCCATGCATTGCAACCGAATCTAGATTAGATATAAATATAATAATTGGAATGATTTGCAGATTAACAATTTTTACACTTTTAATACTATTTAAGGATATAAAATAATATTCTATTGGCGAAGTTGTTGCTTGGATAATAGCGGGACTAGTCTAACATCTCTATATATTATTGATTGAATGGCAATATACTAAGCTAGGGATATGCACAACTCTGAGAAGAGAAATATAATATAAAATTATGGATTCTCTGCAACTATTGGTGGGAATAATATTTTTAGTACTAAATTTAAAGTCATCTCTGGAAATATTGGTCTTGGTATTATTTTCAATCAACTTTATATTGAATTTAATTGTTATCATTTATAAACGTAAAATAAAAGAAGGCTATACAATGGATTATATAAAGAAAGGTGGTAATTATTAACTTTATTTTGGATTTTTATTTGGGGCTGTTGGCATTATTATAGTAGTCTTGTATTATGGTCCGCTATTTTTAGAATAAGTGGACTCTGAGAGTTTTTATCGTTTTGCTTGGATTTTATCATTTGTTGGTTAATCTACAGTAATAGTATTATCATTCTCGTATTTTTGTCGTAATTGTTCAAGATTTAGCTGGAGTTATGATTGGGCTAAAGGTATCTTACATTTTTTCTATGGAATTAAAGTAGGGATTTTTAGTATCATCTATGGGTTAATAACTGGCTTTGTTTTACTGGGATGGTTTATATGGGGATTTGGTTTCAAACCTAGATGCGACAGGCACCGAAAGAGAAAGTAGGAAAGTGAATAAATAGCCACAGCATGATTTATAATTAATAGACTTATTTTTCAAGTAGTTTTTGAATTATAGAATCCTCAATATAAATAAGTATTTTATTTTTTGTTAGATAACTGTTAAATGTCCTGATTCTATTAAATATTTTATCCATATTAGTTTACAGATGTGGATATTTGTACATGAAATCATAAGATTATTAAGATTATAATCTTAAATGCTAATAATGATTTTAACGGCGTTGTATAATTATCTAGATAAATAAAATATAGTAGAACATTTAAGTATATGAAATAAAAATTAAGAAACAATGCTTAAAAATTTAATTTATTAATATTTTTAAATATCTTGTATTTAATATTTCAAATCTTGCCTTAATCCTCTGCAATTTGCACAACTGGTTATAATTATACAAAATTATGGTTGTTACAATTAGTGCACTTAATAACAGAAGATACTTTAGAATTATGATAGTTATTTACTTCCTTTTTGGTATTTAACTGTCACTTTGCAATGAGAACATTTAAAAAATTCATAATTTGCCTATTAAATTTATCTACATTGATAACACATGAAGGGCTTTTTATCATCAGCAATGCTTTATGGAGACCTGCAAAAAATACAAACTGCGTAATGCGTTCTAAGAATGTAAAACTAATAACTACAACATGTTTTATTTTTTTCCCTTGCACTAGTTGTTATATTATTAGTAATTTTAAAGTGTATTTTGAGGAACAGCAAATTATTATTAATTCTAATTTAATTACTAATGTCAAAATAAGTTAATGATACTTAGAATTGATAATATTATTGTGGATTGCAATTGAACATTTATGGTTATGCATATTTATTCATGTTCTATTATTGGTGGGCTTAGTTAAAAGTTTCTTGAAAAATAAATTTAAATTACATTCATTGGTTAGTTAAACGTAGCCCTATTGATCTGTCATATCTTACATTTCAATAGCATGATCCTTTTGTGGTTCTTAGTATTTTTTGCTTGATTTATTTGATAAAAGTCCTGTTTGATTTTAAGAAAAGCCTTGGTCCATATTAATAAATTAATTAGTTTATTATAAGATTATATTTTAGAATATAATAATTTAAATCATTTTTTCCCTTGTTGAGGCATTAAGTACTCTGATAAAAAATCTTATTCTTATTGTTTTGTTAAATTTAATTTTGATTAGCCTGACTAATTTTAATGTCCTTAAGGTTATTAAAACTATTATCTTTATTATTCTTAAAAATGATATTATTAATTTTAGTAATCCTATTCCTAATAATCTTATCCTAAATATTGATCAAATTTTTATTAATCATTATAATCGTATTATTCATTTTCAAGATTTTGTAATTCTTACAATGGAACATTGCTAACTTATTACCTAAATCCCTATTGTATTTTAATTTAAAATTATACTTATAATTATTGCATAAGTCGTTAATTTTCTTCCCTGAGTTTTCTTTTTTCATCTGTAAAATAATTTGGATACACCTTAATTAAATACTCATTATAATTAATTTTTTCAATGTTAGTTTTTTGAATTGCTTATTTTAATCTGACACTTCCATCCTCATATCTCTTAAATAAATTTGCTATTTGCTCTCTAAACTCCAAATTTCTTGTTTCAGCTAAAGGTCTATTACTATTGCAAAACCGAATACCTGGTTCTTTTTATAGTTTCAACTTCTCTTTACAAACTTGATAAATAGTTTTAGGATGCTTTCTAATATAATTAATTTCTTTCTGCCATTTTATCCCTAATATTTTATCTATCTCTTCTACTAATAATGATAATAAATGATCTATTACAATCTTTCAAGGGATTCATCAATAGACTCTTATATCATTATGAATTTATCGTATATTTAATAATTAAAATTAAATTTCAATTATCAAATAAATTTCATTCAAAATAATCTCTGAATAATAAAACTGATCTGATGAAGTAAATAAATAAATCACAAACTTTAATTATGTATTTAAAATTGCCTTCAAGCCTATTTATCTTAAACATTATGAATTGAAAAGAATTCATCAGATTGGTTCAATTTTGTTAATTCTATATTTATAAAATCTACTAACTTGTTCACTTCTCTATATTATTAAGTAGCATACAATTCATTATCATTATTAAATAATGGTGAATGAATTAAACTATTTAAAAATAATAATTGATTTTTTTTAGCACATTCTAAATGGTGAGATTATCCTTTGTTTTGGAATTTAATTAAACTTCAAGTTTAATAGACTTTTAGAAATACGAACTTCAAAAGAGATCTAATTTTATGGAATTCCTATTTGAAATATCTTAGATTATTATGGGTTTTAATATAATTTGAGTTATATAATATTTTTTACAGATAGAAAGAAAACTATTTATACTTCTTAAATTGAAATATTCAAACATATAAAAGATATAGGTTAATTTAGAAAAACATATCTAAAAAAAAGTTTAGTCTTTTTTATCATAGAATCTTTCCTTATAAATTATTTAATGAACATATTAAAGATAACTTTTAAGTGTTTATTTTAATTATTTAATTTACGTTAGTTTTGTCACTATTTCAGCAATAGCCCAATAAAGACATCAATATGAAATTACGTCTAACAGATTTGGTTTTTGAGTATCTTTAATAAGGAATAGTCTTAAGAAATTAAAAAATTTGAATTATTATTATAAAATTGTTGTCTTTTAGAGTTGAAAATTGTTGTATCGGTTTCGATGGCAGGGTTCAAATTAGTAACTGGAGAGATTGAAGAAGTATATGTTCCATTTTGATTGATTAATGAGTTGAACCATATTATTTAATTAAATTAATGAACTAAGATCATGTTAGCTTATAAACACAGAGCCAAACTCCTAATAATAAAGATATCAACCCTTAGTTGTCAAGTAATTAATAATTGCATATAATGGTAGAATATTAATAAATAAAATGAAGAACCCAGAACAATTATAACTAATTTAAGAAATGGATGAGGAATAATAATAACCCTAGAAATAGAGAGAAAGTCTTAGCATAGATTCAGACAAAGATGCAACTGGAAATCATCAGATTAAATAACGACCATCGAGTTCTAGCCCATCAGATTAAAAGACAGTGAAAAATAAAACCAATCATAGTGGCAGTCAAGCTATAAATAGTGGCAATGGACGGTCCAGCAAAACTCCTCAAGATTTTTAGGAAGAAATAATCCCTCAAGTGAGAAGCATTTTGAAATAAGGAACTTATATCAGTCATGCTTCCTTACCAAGAAGTAAAGGTATTAGACCCAGCAGATTATAAAGGTAGTTTATAAATAGTATAGTTTTAAGTTTACAGAGTCTATAATAATCGATAAGGAGGAATAGAGTATATCCAGAGGAAATCCGAGACAATTCAGGATCTAATTAAAATGATTCAATATCAGATGATTCATTTTTTGAAGAAACTGAATAAAATTTAGTAGAGGATGAAACAAGATATAGATTTGATAAACGGTATTAAGTTTATTTATTGAAGTTATGCTCATCTTTCTTACATTGTATTCCCTGACGATCCAATAAAATTGTCATGGGATATTTTAATTATAATAGCATTATTGTATGTTTGCTTGTTAGTTCCTTATGAAATCTCTTTTAAGAATGACGACTCAGCAGAATCAGCAGTTTAGCTTGGTTTTAACATAACAATAGATATTCTTTACGGGATAGACATAGTTATAAATTTCTTTAGTGCTTATGTTGATGATTAGGATGAGTTGATTGTGGACAGAAAGATAATAATTAAACATTATTTGACTGGTTGGTTTATACTGGACATAATATGTGTATTGCCCATGGATTATGTCGTTGATGATTACAATACAAATGGTTTTCAGAAAATTGCAAAACTGCCAAAAGCGTACAAAATGGTGAAGCTCATCAAGATGTCAAGAATGCTGAAGTTTTTCATATAAAAGAAGAAATACGGAGAAATGTTGAATCAATTTTCAAATATCAGTGTAATTCTGTTTAGTTATCATAGTAAAATATTAGGGTTATGATTATCTCATTATTATCTGTAATCCTAGTAAGTCATTTGTTCTCTTGTTTTTGGTATTTCGTTGGAACTATTTCATCTGAGACTTAAACTTGGATTGACCAATACGTCGGAAATGAATCTAACTTTGAAAGATATATCATGAGTATGTATTGGGTCTTCTAAACTATGGCAACTACTGGATATGGGGATATATCAGCTACAAATAGTACTGAATAGATGATTGCAATATTCATAATGATTATCGGAGTGATCTTCTTCTCTGTGACTATCGGTTCAGTTAGTTCATTGCTGACTTAATTGGATTCTTAGAATTTGAAATATAAGGAAAAAATTGACACTTTGAATGAAATTGCTAAGCACCATAAAATTGATAATACTTTATATGCTAAGATTTGTAAAGTGTTGAAGTAAGGATACAAAAATAATTAGAATGAAGTTGTTGAATTTCTACATCTTCTACCTTAAAATTTAAGGACTGAATTATCATAGGCTATGTATAAAAATGTATTTTTGGGAATTGATCTCTTTAAACATAAACCATTAAGATTTACAGCCTATATTGGCCCATTGTTAACAATCCTTAGGATTCCAGAAGGGGATGTCATTTATAATGAAGGAGATTATGCCAGCGAAATCTATTTTATTCGTGAGGGCAGCGTTTCCTTGTGTATAAAAGAATGTGATTACCATCCCTTTGTAACTATAGATGTAGGACAATACTTTGGAGAAATTGAACTAATCAAAGAAACTCAAAGGAAATATACTGCCATTGCGTAAAAGTAATGTGAACTCTTGTCTCTATCTAAATCAAACTTTTATAAAATATTCTTCTCAGAATTCAGAGAAATAGGCGAGGAAGTGCATGAGGATGCAAGAAGGAAGAAAAGAGATTATGAAGACAAATTTACTAAAACAAAGGCATATTTACAAGGTTTGGAATAGAAGGCTGAATAACAATTAACTGAAAATAATACTGAAACTAAAATTAAACATGGCTTTGAAAAATTCAAGCGAAATTTAATGTTCTAAGCTTAAACCAAGAAAGGCATTTTAGACAAAGCAATCAAAGATGCTGAGTAATAGACATCAAATGAACTAAAAAGGAGGATGACCTACTTGAAAACTGTGCTGTTGTAAAAGGGTATCATCAATAAAATGGATGAGAGGAGTCCAAGCAGAATATCTCCTAAACTGATCAAAACAAATACTCTAAATAGTGAAACTTAAACCAGAAAATTTGATAAAAAAAATACATTTTTACCGATGGATATCATCAAATAGGCTTAGCAATTAAGCTCAGATGAAGAGAACCATGTTAAAGACAAATAACAGTAAGACCAAAATAATCATCGAATTACCAAAAAGGCTATGACTACTTTTCTCTAACCTGATACAAGGGAACATTAACCTGAATTTCTATTATCTCAAGATGGGATGTTGAATTCCCATACTCCATCATCTTATAATACAAATATACAATTTTTGAAAAATAGAAAAAAATAATTGTACCTCTGATATTATTTATTTTTTATAATTGCTAAAATCTCATTATTGAATATATAATAATATTAAATTGTGCATTATAAGATATATAATATATTAATTCATTGTTCTACCATTTCCTTCTCTTCAGTTTGATACTAGTTTGGCATCTTAATTTCCAACTCCTGTTTGCATATCGGACAATGCTTTTCTTTTCCCAGCCATAACTTTATGCATTTAGAGTGATAGAGATGTTAACACGGGAGAGCTCTGCATTTGTCAGTACTTTCAAACTCAATTTAGCATATAGAGCATCTAAAATTAAAATCAATTTCACTTACAATTATTCATCTGTTTTGCATTAATCAAAGCTTACTTTAGGGATAGTCTTTATTTGTTCCTTGCTCAAACCTCTATTAACATATCCAATTGTATCTTCAAGTTGGAGAAGTTATTCGTAAGTCAGATTGTCAACATCAACAAAAACTGGAATGTCCTCATTACTATGACGAATCTAATATAGGAAGTGTCTCAAATTATTTAAATTAGTCATATGTTGTTGATACCCATCTTGAGAATCTTTGTGCATTAGATTTATATATCATACATGCTTCCTCTTCCTCTTGAAGATTGAGTTAGCTTTCCAATTGAGTGATGTGTTCTATTAAAATTTGTCTCTCTTCCATCAGTTTGTGCGATTGCATTTACAATTCTTTGCAACAATTTTCTCTTTGTTTAAGTAATTGAAGTAAGAGTTAAATTTTAGTTTCTTTCTCATCTATTATCTACTCTTATCCATAAGAACTTTTACCTTTTTCGACTTCTTAACTAATTCCTCTAAGAGTTTACATTATCTCAATAAATCCTCAATAATGGGAGAATTGACAGGGTGATCCTACGGCCTACGCCTCTAAATCACTGTAGATCTGGTCATCTTTATTTCTGGGGATTAAGATTATTTGGAGACAAAAGGATACTTTTCATTTTTTAATAATTTTAATGCTAACTCTTTTCTTAATTCAGGAGAATGGCTTTTTCTTTACATGTTCATTTTTATGATAATATTTTATATAAAATTATTACAAAATTTGTAAATTTTATTTTGTTTTATCTCATTAGGAATTGGTGAAATATGTCTTTACAAATGTTATACAACCTTATACAATTATATCTTAGTTAGATAAGAATTAAATTTTAAAATTATTTCTACAGGAGTATTTGCTATTCATATTTATTAATATAGTCAAAAGAATAAATGAATAAAGGATATATATTTCAAATTAGCCAGTTTCAATTAAGATTTCAAGTCTAATTAATATATTATATATAAACATTCTACTGTTTGGTAATGACTTAGAATGGTTCATCTATTATGTTAAATATTTTATTAAATTGAGTAGCATGATAAGTTAAATTAATAAAAATTATCGCAGTTTAAATATAAACTTAATTGAAATAAATAATCAAATAATTTAATTACTTAGGGTAAGCAAATTCTATTCTATATTTATTAAACTAAAATCAAAAACTTTAGGTTTAGGTGGAAGTAAGAATCAGTTTAAACAGTACATATTAATTTTGGGAAAAACTCCTAAAATTTATTATTGTGTTGGTAGAAAACTACATTTAAAAAATGATTGCTATTATATTATTTTCAGAATTAATAATAATTTCTGTTATTTTTTAATGTCTGATGATTAATTCTATTTCAATTTTTCTGAATAATAAATTGAATCTAAATTTTCATATTTAATGTTAATAGTCCGTTTAAAGGTTGGATTAAAAAGATTAATGTGACTCCAAAATTCGCTTTGTACTTAACGCAAAGTGTATTTAAATATGATAAAGAATTGAAATACATATGGATAATTAAACCATAGTATTTCGAATTAGATGATGGCAATGGATGCAAATCTATTGACACAGATATTTTAGTTAGGAAAAATAATGATTTTATACTTATCAAATACTCGCGAACTTAATTATTTTTATCAGATTTTAATTATGTTCAATAAGGTGTAACCAAAATAGGGTGCTTAGGAAACACAGAAAGTTTAATCTATTACAGAAGCTATGCAAAATTATGATGTTAGATTCGCTGTTCCAGGGAGTCAGAATCAAACAGGATCAATTTTGGCTATAGATTGTGAAATGGTTGAATGTGAGAATGAGATTGGAGCCAGCGTTTAGATGTTGGCCCGAATAACAGTCGTCAATTATAATGGCTATGTTGTTTTGGATCAATACTACAAACCAAGATTTAAGGTGATCAATTACATTACACGAATTTCTGGAATCACACCATAAATAATTAAGGATAAACCAGTTTACAATGACTTTGAGAAATTGAAGCTTTAGTTGTTATTCAAGGGTAGAAAATGCAACTATTTATAGATAAAACCATCATTGGACATACGCTAAAGAGTGATTTTGATGCAATGGAATTTAATTTGGAGGATTACCAAACCAGAGATTTGATGAAGGTAGACTTTTTAAAATTGGATGAAGGATCAAGTAATAGTATGAATAATATAAGGGTTTAAAAAAGATGTGTTTGAAGTATTTAGGCCAACACATTTAATAAGGACAGCATAGTTCTGAGGTTGATGCAAGAGCTGCCTTATTTATATTCCGAAAATTTAGAAATGAAATAAATTTGTATTACAAACTATTAGGTTGGGAAAAGGACAAATAAGAAAAATAAAATTCAAAAAGTGCATAAAAGAATTAAAAAAAATAATTAAAAGTGCCTTTGAAGCAGTAGAGAAATTAGAAGACTTAAAATTCTAAATAACAAAATGAAAAATTTAAGGAGGGGTTAGACACAAGGACGGTTTAAATTTAAAAGAAGGCAATATCAAAAAAGAAAAGTTAATGATGCAAACATTAAAAAATTAATATTAATTTAAAAAATATGTATAACATTAAAATTTCTCCCAAACTGAAATCAGATGACAGGTCGATTATGAATTAAATATTGAAAGAAGAGGCCTTTTTCCTAAATCAAAAGCAAGGCGATATACATTCATTTGTCTTAGATGATGATTAAGATTAGCTTCTTAATAAATTATTAAATGTTCATAAGATGACCAACATTGACAAGGAGAACTATACTAAGCATATTAGCTATTGTGTAAGAAATTTAGGACAAAAATCAACCGATAAGTTGCCAATGATTATGGAAAAATATGTAAAATTGTTGTAATATTTAATTTAGAAAAATGAAGATGAAAGATTTTAAATAATGTTTATCGAATAACTTAATTTGATATATGAGGCATCTTTATAAGCTCAGTAACCTGTCATACAAATTTTGAGCTTTTTCTTGTTGAATAGCATTTTGAAAATCAAAGAGTTGGCAGGTTCATAATTGACTAAGATTGCTCTTCATTTATAAGGAGATGAGAAAGGAAATTAGTTGTTACCAATCATAATAAAGATGGCGCATGATGATCTCAATCAGGATAATAGAATAGTGGCATTGTAATTAATGGGGAAGCTCTCATCAATGTTTGGGATATAATTAAGCGAGTCTTTTATAGCTTTTGAAGTGATGTCTCTTGGAGAGGATTCAAAATAAGATGTGAGAAAAGAGGCAGTTAATCAATTGCCCTTGGTTGCAAAAGTGGTTGGTAAAGACTTTTTTAATAAGAAATTGTTCCCATTCTACATGAAAAGATGTAAGGAAACAAATACAAAAGTAAAGACTGCATGTGTGGAACATTTTTTGTAAATTGTAGAATTGTCATCTCAAAATTAAAAAACTGCTGATCTCACAGCTTAATTATTATAATTCTAAAAGTAATGAGATAATTACATTTTTAGCGATTCTAATAAATATGTTAAGGGAGTAGCATATAGATGTTTGGCTAGATTTATTGCAGCTATTGAAAAAGACAAAATTGAACCAAGACTAATTGAAAATTATTTGAAAATGGCTGATTCCGATATAAGAGAATTGTTACCTGAACAGTAAGTAATGTTTGCATGTGCGTATGGTTTTCCCGCAGTGTTATAAACAGTTGGAGTCGCAAGATGGTAATAATTGCATAAATTATTTAATCATCTATGGAAACAAAAGAATGAAAGAATCTGTAAGACTTTGGCAGCTAGTCTCCATGAAATTGCTAAAATCATAGGAGCAGAGAAAGCTGAAATAGACTTGTTTCCTGTTTTAGAGACCATTTTTGTAAAAGAACCAAATGATAATGTGCTAATGGGTTGTGTTAAGAATTTATCACAGTTTTTGAAAATATTTTCAGATGAAAAGAAGGAGGCATTTTTAGAAATATTTTTTTTCATTTAGAGGGATTTAAAAAAGTGGAGAATCAGAGAATCAATTGCAAATCAATTAGATGAGATGGCTCTCATCTTTCCAGCAGAAATCATATTTAGAATGATTCTTCCTATTGCTTTCAAGCTTTGTACTGACAATGTGGCATAAGTTAGAAAAATAGCATCTTCTAAAATCTATGCATTTTTTTAAGGTATCAAAGATTCGCCATTGTCTGAATAATATCAAACCTTCATTATTGAAAGCATGATAGGTTTTTAAAAGTCATCAGTGTTTTATCAAAGATAATCGTACAATTTCCTATAATATATAGATTTATTTAAATGTGTTCTAAAATCATGCAATTTGAGGATGCCATCTTTTAATAGCATCTTCTAAGACCTTTACTAGAATTAGCATAAGACAAAGTTTAGAGTGTCAGATATATGTTATACATGGCTTTAGAGAATTATTTAAAAATCTAGGGTATCTATCTATCTTATAATTAAAAGGACGACAGCAAGAAAATCCATAATTATTAGAGGTGTTCAATTAACTATCAAATGACAAGACTATTAAATCTCTTGTAAAATATAAACCAACTTTGGAAGTTTAAGCCAAGGAGCCTGAATCAAAATAATAGGAAAATCTACTGCCTAATTCAGAAATGATTAGTTAGGAACCATAGTTAGAAGAAATTGATGATGATGAAATTCCACAAAGAATAGTATAAGAAGAACCAGATATCTTGAAATAGTTGAGACAAGAAAAATAAGAATTTATCAAAAAATAGGAGGAAATCTAGAAGGAATAATTAGAGAAGGAATCAGATGAAAAATTAATTGAACAAGTTAGTTAAATAACTATTAATGAAAATACAGAAGCAAATGAATTTAATGATTAACCTACTCAATCTGTTGATGATTCTTCAGATTAAAGCATTAAAAATAATGAGTCTCAAGAATTATAATAGTTTGAATAATTGTAAGGATAAGGTGAATAATAATAAAAGGAGAATGATGGATTATAATAAAATGAAGAATATGAATAAGGATCATAAAATGATTAAAAAGAGATAAATACTGAAGAAGATGCTTCATAACTTTGAGAATTTTCTGTGATCATAATTAATTATAAATATTAAAAATAATCAGTATACTGGTTTAATATATACAATTACATTCTATATCTATTAATAATTTATCTAAAGGTTTATGATGTACGTGTTCAAAGTTTATAATTTTTAATTATTAAATAGACAGCCATAATTTTTGTTCATACTGTTTCTATCATTTAAAAATGTGTAGGTCTTAGAAGTCTATCCTATGAGTCACTAAGTCTAATTATTTTATTTACACATTCAATTTTTACAACTTTAGATATTATTAATCGGTAATTATGAATATCTAATAGCTTATAATTTGATGATTTTTTATTTCCTTGCCAATAAATAATATGATTCTGTGGATAGTTTTGAAATTTCAAGATTCTTTTAAATATTAATATTGAAATTTAATATTAAGTATCTATTTATCAATATTAGAGCCAATAAATAAGACAATAATTCTATATAACATAAAAGTATAAGATTTATAAGATTCTCAAGTTTTTTATCATCATGGTTTAGAATAAAATACATTTGCTATTATAGAACTGCCAATTATTGAAACAGGTGGAGTAGTTAGGAATTACAGAAATGTTTAGAGTTTAACAAATAAGGGCTTGAATTATTGTGAATATATATATAAGTGTTTGAGTGTAATTTATGAAAAATTCAAATCTTTTTAATAATTAATGGCATTTGTTAAGCTTGTTAAAGGAACACCCTATTTCAAAAGATTCTAAACTAAATTCAGAAGACGAAGAGAAGGAAAGACTGACTATTATGCAAGAAGCAGATTGATAGTCTAAGACAAGGATAAATACAATTCCCCAAAATACAGATTTGTTGTTAGACACACAAATACTAAGATCATCTGCTAAGTCATTTACGCTACTTTGAAGGGTGACAAGGTAGTGGCTGCTGCTGAATCAACTGAATTAAAGAGATTCGGTTTGACAAGTGGTTTGACAAATTATGCTGCTGCCTATGCCACAGGTTTATTATTGGCCAGAAGAACACTCAAGACATTGAAGATGGATAAATTCTATGAAGGCAATAAAACCATTGATGGAAACTTGTATGATGTAGCTGAAAAGGAAAACCCAGAGAGAAGACCATTCTTTGCTGTTCTTGATATTGGTTTGGTTAGATCAACTCTTGGTAACAGAGTCTTCGCAGCCTTAAAGGGAGCTGCTGATGGTGGTATTCACATCCCCCACAACAACAGAAGATTCCCAGGATTCTCTGTCGATAATGACAAGAAAGAAAAATATGATGCCAATGTTCACAAGGACAGAATCTTTGGTGTTCATGTTGATAAATATATGGCTCTCTTATAAAAGGAGAAGAAGACAAACAAAGATGGAAGATCTAAGTTTGATGTCTAATTCCACAATTGGGAATAAACCTTGAAGACTGTAATTTAATAAATTAATATTAATAGGCTGGTGTCAAATCAGTTTAAGAATTGTTCAAGAAGATTCACGATGAAATCAGAAAGAATAGCGACAGAGTCAAGAGAGGTGCTAAATAAAATCCAAAGAGAGATCACACCAAATACAGAGCCAAGAGATTAAATGCTAAATAAAGAAGAGCTAATGCTTTAAAAAAGATCGACATCGCCACCAAATAAGCTGCTAAATTAAAGAAGAAGGCATGATTTCATATATATTTGGTACATTACAAAATATCCCCTTATCTATTCTATTATTTGTATGAATTTTAATAAAATAATTAATTATGATCCAAACTCATAATGAATAATGTGATCACTTCTAAAAAGAGGAACTAAATGCATTATCTTCTATCTATTTATCAGACTATGAGCAATTAAAAGATGTGCATCCTTATTCATTTTAAGTAATTGTTGCCCCATTCGTACCAGCTGATTAATTTTATCATGATAATGTAGTCTATTGCAAAATTTTCATTGCCTTTCCAGACGATTACCCATTAAAATCATAAAGATTTCATTTTGAGATTTAAGGATTGAGTAGAAATTTCACCTAGGATAATTTAATTAGAGCCAGAAAGGTTTGTGAATAAGTAATTGATCATCATGAAAAAGAAGCAGATTCTCAACCAATAGTCTTTGCAGTTGTTGAAGCATTGAGGGTATTTATATAAATGACAAATTAGGATTATGTGTTTGATCAATCAATGTACTTATAAGAATTATATGATCAATAAAACTCAAAGCCTGACGATAACTACATTTATATACCCCCCATGCCTAAATTTGCAACAAATACTCCTGTTACACTTGAAAGTTTTACAGAATGGAAGAAGAAGTTCGATTAAGAGATTTATGAAATTAAGAAGAGAGAAAAGAATTTTAATTAAGTAGAGGAAATGATGAAGAAGATTAGTGGAAAGCAATATTTTGATAGGAAATAAAACAAAGAAGATGATGTCGATGTCTAGGATATTATTAATGAGGATGATGATATTGTTGAATTGGAAGATGAAGATTATCAAGGAGAAGAATATTATGAAGAGGATCAAGATAGACCTGTAATTATTTTATATATGCTTTTTAGTTGTATGAAAGAGAATAACTTGAATGATTTATATAATTATGTAATTATCTATAAATATTCAAATACTTCATTGTTGAAATAATTATCATTTCTATTGAACCAGTTATAAAGATTATTTTTTTTGATATTCCTAATAAAATTTAATTATATTTTTCATTCAAGAGTATTATTTCTATATAAAGCTCTATGATTTAATTGAGTATCCCAAAAATATTAAATGTTCAAGTATAAACTTATTTGTTAAACATTTAAATTATATTTATTTATTATTATTCAAAATGAATTTAAATTTAAAATCAAAAATCTCTTTATTCAACATCTATTAATCATATCTTAACTACATTTCTAGTTTATGATTCAAAAATTATCTAACACCAATTTTTTATCGTTATAAAAAATATTATAGTAGTAGTTTGCAAGTTGTATAATTTAATCTTAAAAATAATACTTAACATTTAGTCTTAACTATTTTTGTTTGGTTCATAAACAATATTTGATATAAAACCTTACGAAATTTATGAATGCAACAATACAACAATTTTGTTATCTTTCAAGAATCATAAATGCAGCTTTAATCATGTTCCATTCTATTTCGGTGAATGAAATTCCTCTTCAAAATTTCATAAGGGAATCTAACTACTAGTTTATCTTGTTTTTTGCTAAATCAATAAGATGATAAACTTTCGTTACTTCATTCTCAGTAACTCTATTATTGGAGATCGCTTAGACTCTAGGACGTAGAGGGGAACATTAAATATTTTGAGAATTGAAATGCTTTTGGTTCTTAAATGAAAAACAATTTATGATAATTATTATTTATATTTGATGTCAACTTAGTATAGAGTTCCGTCTAATGACAATTACATTCGTGACTTAGAAAATATCTCTCAAAGGTACTTATGATGTATAATGAAAGAGAGCGCCACGGATTATTTAATTAACCACCACCTTTATCATTGGGGGATTAATATAACGATGCTTTGAAAAGTATACAATGTTTTCTAAATATTAAGGCCAAGGCAAAGAGAAAGCAATCCTTATCAATAAGAAACTCTAAAAAAAGCACGAGCCTGTTTTGTTTTCAGAACCTGGCTATACAACATTAAATGATCCATATAAAGACTAATTTAAAGCCAAATAAATTTACGACAAAGAGAGAGAATTGGCCATTAAAAATCCCAATAGCTTTAAACCCAACGACCATTAGAAATCTGTGTATATAATTCAACTTATTCAGCAAACATTCTGAATTCGAACACATGAAGGAGTATAATGATAAAGTCTTTAAAACTCGAAATTCAGCAGGAAATGTAGTTACTTAAGCTAGGAACTTTTTGACAAACCCAGCTAAGAAAGGATTAGGCAGGACAACAATAAACAATTTGTTTAGTTAGATTGAATATATTCCTGATCCTTATGATAGATAGGAGGAAATGGATAGAAAGGAGAGAATCCAGCATAAAAGCAAGCAATTACCTGGAACAACAAGATTTGTCACAACCAGCCATGGAAATAGACCCTTTACTGCAGAAGGTATCTTATTAGATGGAGCAGGATATACAATATGTAATATATATCAATAACCCTTTAGAGAAAAAACCACCTATTTATAAAGGGAATCCATTTAGACCATCCAACTAAACCAAAAAAGGCTTTTAAGGAACTTTTGAAGTGCTTCAATATATGGAGGAAGGGGCTCCAAATATAAAAACAAAATAGAATACATTCGAAAAATTGAGTGCGACTTAAACTTATGAAAGACCTTGGAGACCGAATTCAAACGGAACATTTGCGAGACCTTGTCCTAGTGTGTCCTAATAATTACGAAATAGAAGTGCAGGATCTAATTAAAGATCGTGAAATGCTTATGATAATATTTTCATATGAAATACATTGATTCTATTTGACATTTTAATTAAATTAATAAGGTAAACAATATTAATGCAATTTTCTATGACAATATAAAAAAAGATATTTTATAAATTTTGTGATGTTATTGTCTAAAGCAAAATAGATAGTGTGTATTTCTAAAACAGGAGAGAGATTTAAATTTGCTAATCCTGACTTGTGTGTTTTGGAGAATTCATCCGTAGCCATTAATGAGTAGGGAGTGATTGTGGATATAGGAGATATTGATGAAAAATATTAAAATTATAAGATCATAGATTGCAGAGGCAGATGTGTCTTACCAGGATTGATAGATGCTCACACTCACCCTTGTTATGCAGGAGATAGATCTGGAGAATTTAAGATGAAATTGGAAGGAGCAACATATATGGAAATTCACAACAAGGGAGGAGGTATTATGTATACATCCAGATGTGTGAATTAAGCAAGTTAAGAGGAGTTGGAATAGATTTTAGAGAGTGGAATCAAGAGAGCCATTAGAAATGGAACAACTACCATGGAAGCAAAATCTGGATTCGGATTATCTACAGAAGGGGAAGTCAAACAATTATTGACAATCGAGGCTGTGAGTAAGAGGAGCCCAATCGAAATAGTTTAAACTTATTTGGGAGCTCATGCTTTACCACCTGGATTGAGTGAGAAGTAGGCAGAATAAGATGTCATCCAGAATCAAATTCCACAAATCAAAAAATTGATGGATGAAAATAAGATCCATCCTGAATTTGTAGATGTGTTTTGTGAGAAGGGAATTTATGAAATAGAAACTACTAAAAACATACTGTAGGAAGGTGCAAAAATAGGATTGATCCCTTCATTTCATGGGGAGGAATTGAATCACTTGGAATCTGCCAAGTTGGGAGCAGATCTAGGAGCAATAGCCATATCTCATTTGGAACATGTAATTTATTTGCTTATGATTTTTAGTTATCATAAGAGGGAATCAAGGCAATGGCTGAAAAAAAGGTGGTTGGGGTTATTCTACCAACTACTCAATTCATTTTGAAACTGTAACCTCCTCCTGTTAGGGAAATGATTGACAGTGGAGTCCCAACTGCTTTGGCCACTGATTATTGTCCCAATGCTTATTGCATGTCATTGCCTTTTACTATGAGTTTAGCATGTTTGAATTTGAAAATGAGACCAAATGAGGCCTTGTGTGCTGTTACACTTAACGCTGCTGCTGCTTTAAATAGACACAAGACAATCGGATCTATTGAGGTTGGAAAGTAGGGAGATTTCGTGATTCTAGATGCTCCAACTTGGGAACATCTGATTTATTAAATTGCTGATTCTCCAATTTGGAAGGTTATCAAGAAAGGGAATATCGTCTATGAATATTTATGATGATTAATAATAATAAATGAAATTTATAAATATGAAATAAAATTTATAAAACATTTATCTGTTATAAATTAAAATTAAATTATAAATAATTAAAATTTTGGAACACTTTTTTTAGTAATTATTTGAGATAGCACAAATTGATGCTATGAAATTTGTTCGATTTTTAATTTATTTTTAATGTCTAAGGAGAATAAATGTTCCCGTTTCAAAAAATCAAAAAAGCAAATTGACACTCTTAATGACTTTTACCAAAAGCAATAAATCTGGGGATAAAACACAATCAAAGAAATAGCAAACCTTACCAATTTACCAAAAGAAAAGATATATAAATGGTATTGGGATCAAAACAAGAAGTTCAAGTAGGAGGTGCCCTTAGATGATGTTGAAGGAGAGATCGTAGTCAAATAGGATCAATTGAGTTCGAAAACCCATGAAATACTATTGTGTAGTGGCCTTTAATTAAATTAAAGATTAGATGAAAATTTAAAAAATAGGCTCATCAAATTAGCCAGAGATTTGATTTTAATGAAATGAAGATTATTTATAATCAAATCAAGTGTATTTTCATTATTTTATCAATTAAATTCTGGGCAATGTTTATTCCATCCTTCACTCTCTTACTTAAAGTCAATTTCTTAAGATAAGTCAAGTATGAGATTGGGCATGATAAAATGGAAAGGGAAGTGACATTGGTGGGAAGTTAATTGTATAATTTCTAATAATTGCTTACTAAAAAAGTAAAGGATAATTTTTATATTTTATATTAATAATGAGATATGATAATTCCCCTGTTAATTAATAAACTAAAGGTAATGTGAGTAATCAGAATTAATCTCCAAGAAAACAACACACACCTTAAGATACAATGTAATAAGTCTTACAATTCAATCCTTAATTATTAAATCTAAAATCCTGTTCGCCTCACAGACCAAAAGATTAACCAAAGGACAGCTTCTACTTTGTGTAGGATGATGGCTAAAGATAATAAGAAACATAGCTTAAGTTTAATAAAGTCAAGAATAATTACCAAATTACTAAGCAGTTAACAAATAGAAGCGATAAACAACGAAAGCGAGTTGATCTGTCGAGCAATGTATTTGAGAATACTCAAAATGTGGATGTGATTTCTAAATCCCCTGAGAATTAACAATTAATTAATACATCAGTCTAATGGACAAATGTGCATTATGGTAAAGTGCTTACTTCTGTGAATGAGAAGGCAGAGTTTGGAAAAGATTATGCAAAACAAAGGAAACACCAAGATTTGCAGCAATAATATCAGGATAGTACAAAACATAAAAGCCCTTCAAAAATAATAGAGAATGAGATTAATATTTAGTCTAAGAAATAAAATTAATAATTCTCCGATGTTTTTGGACAGGAATTGGGGAACAAGGAAAGAAAGTGGTTAAGACCATAACGTAGTCTCTCCCCTTAAATAAAATGGACAGCATTCGATAGTACTCGAGATTACAAAGATTTCGGTGATATGAGTATTAAAGTATAATACTATATTACAATTTATAGGAGTCAAAGCTACGCAATATAAACACTGATAATCAGAAAGACACTCATAAATTGAATCACCCTTTGACTTCACCATTTTTTGATGTAACCATATAATAGCAATATTGATAGTGTCAAATATCCTATGAGAAGATCAAAGGGTAATATAAACAATAGACGTAATTAAAACCCACTGAGAACGGGTCTTCAAAGCAATTTGGACAAGAGAAAAAGATCGAATAGAGTAGCAGTAATAAAAAGTATGAAGGGATCTACTCCTGGAAAAACAACTATTAAAAATGAAATTATTTATTTATTTTTGTAATGTAATAATTAAAGAATAATTACATTGGATTTCTAAGAGATGGTCTGTAGATGAATAAAGTGGAAATGGAGGATTACGGTGGGATGTTTGGAATCAAAGCCATTGATAATATTAAATCAGGAGAATATGTCATAAAGGTTTCCCATAATTATGCGATAAGTGCATTCACAGTATTCTAAAATGAATAATGTGTAGACATTATGAAGAAGAGTCCTCATATCTATCCATCCTTGCAATAAATTGGGAATAAGAAAAGTGATTTTCAGACTTTGATCCTTTATCTCACAATTCAAAGAAATGGAAAATTAAAGCCAATATTTGATCTCTCAACAAATCCTACTTGCTTACTTGACTGCGATCAACCAATCCCATTTGATTATTTAAGAGAATTGAAGCAAGAATTTGAGGAAGAATATAAGGCAGCCAAAGATGAGGTAATGGAAGTAGGATTAAATTCTGAGGATTATGATTGGGCATATAGATATTGCATGAATAGAAGACTGAGTGTTAATAATGATTATCCCTTTTCATTTTTAGTACCTATGGTAGATATGATAAATCATGGGAAGAATAAAGCAATATTTGGTCTGGAATAAGAGCATTATTAACCTGAAGAATACATTTAAAATAATTACATGAAATTTAAATACATTTCTCAAAACAAGTATTGGTTTAGTTAGGAAGATTAAGAAGTAATAGAGAGTCTAAATGTAAATGAGAGCGAAAGGTGTTCTAAAATATTGAATAAATTGCTGGAGAAACTATTTTAGGAACTACTTAGAACAGGATCCTCAGATATATGGGTTACAAAATTGATGATGCCTGATGATTCAGAAGATGAAGATGAACCCACTACTGAAAAAAGCAATGACTAATCATAACAATTGAATACTAAAGATTCAAAGGTCTAAGCTGCAGTCAATGATGATTACCTTAGAGATTACTATGAATAAACCTTAGATTAAAGCGAACATGATTGGTACACAGATATCCAGCAATAGACTCTCAAATGTCCAGCTTATCTTACAGCAAGAGCAGTAGATGATATTGAAAAAGGAGAGTAGGTCTTGAATTTGTATGGATGTTTAGGTAATGAGCATCTATTGATGTATTATGGATTTGCACTCAGTAAGAATAAGTATGACCGAGTTAAATTCAGAATATTTATGGATTGCAGTACAAAATATGATTTCCTTACAAACATAGAAAAATTGGTTTAATTACATTATGTCCCTTATAAAGAACTCCTAAATTTAAACACTAGAGGGATTAGTCTTAATTAGTTAACCTCTGAATTTAAAATAAAGAAAAGTTAATTTAATTTAGATTTGATGAAATTCCTAAGGACTTATCTCCAATTACTAGATGGAGAGGAGTTAATCAATGAAGAAACTATCATAGTGCTATATAGAAGGATTATTAATTCTTTATACAAAAAGATTTCAACTCCAACCGTTCCTAAAGACTCATATTGGGGAGAGCAAATTTTTAACTATTAAAATTCAAAAGCAAGAATCTTGAAGGCCCACTTAGAAATGATAGACAACTTGACTACTAAGCCAGAGAAGATGGGAATCAAAGTGTTTATGAGATTAAGAGCATATTTACTTAAATAAAACTGAAATATTAATTCATATTATCAAGCATAATTCTCTTCTAATAATTCTGGATACTCTTTGTCTATCTTTAACACTAATTCTCCAAACAATCCATTTGCCCATGCAAACCAAGATCTTGTGAAACTCGAGGGGTTATCTTTGAAAAAGCTTTCATGCATAAACCATTTGCCTCCAGTGGTTGTCACTAACATCCTCAAGCATTCTCTGATTTCCTATTTGTCATTAGTAGTCAATCCTTAAGTTACAATAGCCATTGGCCATATGTAATTAGCCCCAATATGAGGACCACCTATACCTTTAGCTGCTGTTCCCACAAAAATAATAGGGATTGGCTGAACTGAGAGCCTTCTTTCTAGTTGCTTGATACAAGGGATCATCAATTTCAATAAATCCATAAATTGGAAGAGAAAGCAAACTTGGTTGGTTTGAATCATCCATAAACACTTGCTTTCCCATTCCATCGACTTCATACACAAATGCTCCGTCCTTTATTCCATATTTGTAAATGGCATCTTTAATTTCTGAAGATAATGCAAAAGCCTCTTAAATTAAAGGATCAGCAGCCTTTCTTAAAGACCAACTTAAGTTTGCTTCACTCAACATCTCTGCTGTTTATTTTAAGATTGCCGAAGCCATAGCATTTTCTGGGATATTAAATTAATGGACTGTGGAATCATCAGAGGCTCTGAAGAATGTTCTTAATAACCCAGTTCTTTTAACTGGTTCCCCTATTCCATTAATAACTGTATCGGTTGATCTGGCATTCCTCTAAAAAGTATAGGGAAATCTGAATGTTGCAAATTGTTCTGTTTGGTCTGCTTGTTAATCCTTGAATGTTCTCAGTATTCTTTGGACAGCCTTTAAGTATTTAAAATCTATGATTGATGCATCTTTAGTTTCTTTATAATAACCAACAGCTAGTCTTAAGACAGCCACTAATGAGTCAATTTCAAATTTCCTTTCATGGAGATGTTGTGACATTGCATGGGCATTGACACCTAAAAAGCATCTAGTCGTGTTGTCATTGCTCCATTCTGACGATTTCTTTTGATAATTGAATGCGTTTGCATATGGATCAATTAGGACTTAATTAACTTGGCGATTGATTGCTCCTTTTACCAAGTTTTGTAATTTGCTATCCTAATTCACAAACTCCATATAGGTCCATAATTAATTAGTACTATCTCTTAACCACATAGCTGTAATATCGCCTGTGATCACAAAGGCATCTGGAATACTTGGATCATAGTTGGTTACCGTTGTATCAAGTGTATTAGGAAATGAATTGATGAAAGTGTATTTAAGCTTATTATCCTTCATTTTTTCTGAAATCTATTAATTAGATCTAAAAATACTCTCTCGATGGTCTTTTCTACTGCTTCTGATACGAATTTCTTTTAGGATGGTCTCTAATTTGACTATGCTAAAAGATTGACTATGAGCAAGGAAAAAGCAATTAATATGAAATTCATAATATTAATTTAATGAAGCTTATATTGTTATTAAATTAAACAAGTACCTATGAAGAACTTTTAAAAATATGATATAGTTTTATTTCATATTCATATTCATATTCATTTTTCTAGGTTAAATTACATCAGAATATCTTTTGACATGAGAGTTCTTTAACAAGTTGAATGATAAATGACATCAGCATTCAGATATCCTATAGTTCTTGAATTTTAGTATTTGATCAATATTTCATTTTAAACCTTTTTGATAGATAAAAATCTTGAAATCTTGAAATCTTGTATCTTTAATCTTGAATCTCTCAGAATATCGTCATATTAAAATTATCTTAACTTAGTTATACATTCACAAATGTGTGTTCAAGAAATACAGATATGGTCAATTGAGACTGAATACTGATGGGAGTGTGGAGGAATGGGATGAAGTAATTGATAAAAGAAAAAATAATAAAAATTTACATACGTGGTATGAGTATACAATTATTTAATTGATTCATATATTTATGTTTCCAATATTATTGAGTCTAATCACGCTCTCTTGGTGCAGCATTGAGGAAACCAAAGAAATCATGCAAGATTGGGATAAATATATGCGAGGCTTTCTACCTGATGATATGATCTCATTCTAAATTGAAAAGGGAGGCGAGGAGATATTTATTGAGACAATCAAGAAAATTCCCACCAACATCAGAGGCACCTTCTTTATCCCAATCTACACTATGGACACTATTGATTTTAAGGTGATCGATCCTTCTGGTTCCATGATCTATGCGAAAATGATGAAAAAGGAAGCAGTGTTCAATTTCAATGCCACTGAAAAGGGGGATTATCAATTGATATTTCAAAACAAGAGAGCAAAGGAGGCTAAGGTTGTTCAATTTGCCATTGACGTGGCCAAATCCGACAAGGGTACAAATTCCATTAATATCGTTTTTTTTAGAGGAAATCGAATAGAATGATATAGATCCCATTGAGGATGGCGTACAAGGGGTTCTGCAGAAGATCAGAGATGTCTTCTATAGTACCAAATTGAATGAATTGAAATCTAAAGGAGCTTTGGCTGATGTACAGAAGATTAATAAGCAATTGATGGTGTTGACATTTATTGAGACTGTCGCCATTTGCGGAGTGACAGCATGGTAAGTATATTACATAAAGAAATTACTCAATGACAGAAGATTAGTGTGATTATGTAAATATATTTATTCTTCGAATTCAATTCAATTAAATGTCTGATACTAATTCCAGGGCTGCTAGATTGAATATCAACCCGATCTCCACAGCCAATCAGAACGTCTAGATACTAAAAGTACATTCCCAATTCACTAATCCTAGAAATTGGCATTAAGTATCAATAGCGGATAACCCTCCTCTATCAGAGCTCTCAGTGCTCCCAACGCCGCTTAAAACAATAGAATGCAACTGGAGATTGAATCCAAAGAATCCAAATATAGCAGTATGTACGAAGAGCTGGCTAAAATCGGACAAGGGAATTTCGCTATTGTATTTAAATGTAGGAACACTCTTGATCAGTCGATTTATGCTATCAAAAAGACGAAGGCTTAACCTAAACAAAACTTGGAAACAAGCGATGCGAGGTAAGAAGCCTGTATTTTGGCGAATTTATTCAGCAAAAGTGACACAAAACACATCGTCCAATATTACAATTGCTGGATAGAGTAGAATCAATTTTATTTGGTTATGGAATACTGCGATTATAGTTTAAAGCATCAAAAGCAATATTAGGAGTGGGAAATCAAGATCATTTTAAAACATATTTTGGAAGGACTAAGGTTTTTACATAGTAAGAATTTGGTTCACATGGACATTAAACCTGAGAACATACTGTTCAAGAAGAAGGATTTGAGTTTCAAGATAGCAGACTTTGGATTGTCAAGGCTTTAATTTGTGAAGGAGGACGAGGATATCAGGGATGGCGATTAAAGATATACAGCTCCTGAAATCATGGAATATGTATTAAAAACTATATCTAGATGAATTTTGGTACTCCAATAGATTTATAAAAAGTTGATATTTTTGCTTTTGGATGCACTATTTTCGAATTGATGATTTAGGAGGAACTGCCAAAATCAGATGCTCAATATCATGAATTGAGGAAAGGCATTAGTAAACGAAATTTCAAAGATGTGGGTAAACTATTCATCCATTAATTTATTTAGGAATTCAATATTCTGATTCTTTGATTGAGATTGTTTGTCAAATGATGGCTCCCAAACAAAAGGATAGACCTACTGCTGAATAGTTGTTGAATAACACTTATCTATTTGTGCCTGAGGAGAACGAGTTAAGATTTTTGGAGAACTCTAATTAATTGCTGTTCCAAGAGAAGTAGTGGAACCAACAAAAGGAATTGAGGGAAAGTCAGAGAAGGAAAACGTTTGGGTCTAACTGGGAGTTCAGAGGAAAGCAGGGGGTCAAGAATAGAGTGCAAGTGAAGAACGAGAGAATAAGGCAGGAGACGGAGAGGAGGTAAAGGATGTCGAGGATGGATTGTTTTCAGACGGAGGAGGAGTAGAACAGCAAAATTTTGAGATCGGGTTATGAGGTGTGCGAGAAGCAGGATTCTGTGGAGTAGTGTATAAAATATGAGTGCTAGAATTCTAGAAATAAGAGTGCTTGATGTCTAATTATATATTAAATTAAATATTATAAAAGGGAACAAATATTCTTATTTTGTATTTTTAAAAACAACATCTAAATATGGATCCCGAAGAAAAATAATTAATTGGTTCAATACTAAGTGGTATGTGAATATAATGATAGTGTGTTAGATGAAAGCGAAGTGTAAATGTACGAAAGGAAATAGCCTCGAAAAAAGAGTAAATTATCACTGAACGCCAAAGAGTTTTAACCTACTTTGATTAATTCCATTGAATAAATTGAAATTCTTGGAGAAAATTATGGGAATGACACTATGACTTACAATTCTACAAACTCTTAACCTTATATGTACATATTCTAATTTTACATGTTAGAATTAACGAAAGACAAAAAGAGAAGAAACCCTCTATAAAAATTCATCATGATTTGAAGTAACTATAATTTTCCCCTAAAAAACACTAAACTATGCAACCTATAACGGAAGTTTAAACCTTCTTTTTGACATTTAATAGCCATCCTACTCTGTAAGAAGATAATTAAGTTCAGCTATAATTGAGGCAGGATGATTATCAATTTAGAGTGAGTCTGGTAACTCATGTAAATATATGTTAGGAATAAATATGTGGGAATTAGAATGCGTCAAGAAACCTTCAAAAGATTTTCGACAATGGTACTCCATTATAAAGAGGAATGATCTTCGAGACGATTGAAAAAAATTTAATTAAGACATCAAAAGATTTATTTGGAAATTATTTGGTTTAAAAAGTGTATTTGTCAGGTATTGTAACAAAATAATTGATTTAGGTGAAAAATAGTGGAAGTTCAGTTTATTTTATCAATTGAAAGGTCATTTTGTTGAATTATCGAAGAATCAATATGCTTCAAGAGTGATCAATAGAATGATAGAATTTTTAAAAGATGAAGACTATCATTTTTAAACCGAATTTATGGATGAGATAAAATACTAAGTCCGTCAGCTAATAAATGACAACAATGGTTGTTTTGTATTGTTGAGTTGTTTGGAGAATTTTGACTACAAACTCTGTGAGTACATGAAGAAACACATAGAGTAATCAGTGTATTCGATGTCTTAACACACATATGGATGCCGGATTATATAATTTATGCTGTAGAAGCAACACAATTAATCATTATTGGATTAAATTATGGATGTGTCATAATAGCTCTGTATATGTGAGTTTGGTAACTACATAATCTAGTTCATATTGAAGAGTAATTTTAAATAGCAGAAAATGGAACTGTTCAGGATTATTAAGAGTAACTTCCAAACACTATCTTACAACAAATACGGGAGCAACGTCGTTGAAGTTTTCCTCGAAGTCATCGAATAGGAAGACATAAAGTTTGTTACCAATATTATGTTGACTGCAGATCAGGAGAGCAAGTAAAAATGTGGTTTAACTTTGTAGTTATTTGTTTGTTGCTTTTGCTACTCATCCTTTTGGGAATTATGTCTTCAAAAAATACTTATAGTTAGATTAGCAATGTATCCTTCCAGTTCTTGGGATAATGAAGAGACATCCTGAATTACTATAATAAATCAATACTTCTGAGTATGGATAGAAGATATTCTCGGTTGTAGAAAGATCCATTCAATTTGTATGAATAAAAATGTTTGTGAATTGTATTAAGTTTGTATTATGCAGTATATTAATATCAATGAAATAGTATACACTTCCACATTAAATTGTTCAATATTACTCTCCGTTTCGATCGAATGCTTAAAAAACAGTCATTTAGGATGGCGAAAATACTTTTCTGATCGACCCTCAATATCAATACTTGAGCATAAGTAAGTAAATGCATTCTAATAATTAAAGTTGGATAAGGGTCGTATGGGGTAGTTTTTGCTGCCAAAGACACTAAAAAGGATTCAGGAAGAGACTTAGTTGCAATCAAGAAGATAGTTAAGGCTTTCGAATAAAGGCTCTTTGCTAAAAGAACACTCAGAGAATTAAGACTTTAAAGGTTATTCAGCCATGAAAATGTATCATTCTCATCTATCTGTGCAGGTGATATCTATTGAGAAAATAATGCTTCCAAAGTCCAGAGAAGAATTTGACGATATGTATAGAAAACCTGGTAGATTTTAGATACATTGTCTAAGAATTAATGGAAACAGATTTATCTACAATCATCCGATAATAAACCCAATTGGATTAGGAATAAATCTGCTTCCTCGTATATCAATTATTGAGAGGGTTGAAATATATTCATTCAGCCAATGTAGTTCATCGAGATTTGAAGCCCAAAAATTTATTGATAAACGGAAACTGCGATTTGAAAATATGCGATTTTGGCCTTGCCAGAGCCCTCGATCCACAAATCAAAGTATTCAAATTAAATTTCAAATTTAGCTCAAACCAAAAGTGTATAGTCCCTACGTTTAAACCAGATGGTACAGAGCTCCTGAATTGCTTCTGCAATGGAGAGATTATAATTAAAGCATAGATATGTGGTCTGTAGGTTGTATATTTGCTGAGATGCTTAGGAAGAAAATCTTCCTCCCAGGAGCTTCAGCAAAAAATTAAATTGAATTAATTTTTGATGTGCTGGGATCTCCCAATGAATAAGTCTTATAAATGGCTCCCAAATCCCCTCTCTCCATCAGTGTCAATCAAATGCAGAAGAAGAGAGGCAGAGATTTTGAGAAACTGTTCCCAAATGGATCCAAAGAAGCCATTGATCTATTGCGACAACTCTTTGAATATGACCCAACGAAAAGAATAACTGCAGAACAGGCTCTAAAACACCCGTATCTCTCCAAATACCATATTCCAGAAGATGAAGTACTTATTTAATCAACATAGCCCATAGCTGTTCCTGTTAGATACTTGGACTTCGAATTCGAAGAGTATAATCTGACTATTGAACAGTGGAAAGGTATGTATCATACCATATATATTGCAGATTGCATTTACGAGGAAATTCTACTCTACCACTATCCTGAGTTCTCAAAGGATTATGAATCAAACATTAAAAAAGGCTATTCAATAATGAAGCACATTGTTAACAATGACAATGCTAAATAGCTGGATTAAATACAAGATGAAGATGAGGAGGATGAAGAGGACGATGTGCCATAAAATTAATAAAATTAATAAATATAATGAGTTTGAAAATATTAGGTTGTTAAATGAAAAAATAATATATATTTCCATCTATAATTACACTCATACAATTCATTTATTCAAGTGAACGTGTAAATCTATGAAGACTAATGCAGTATGACTGTAGGAGTGTTTAAATTTATGGCATTTATAGTAAAATTATGTTATATTAATGCATGGTTTAAATAAGTATTGTATCAAAAAATAAAAAATTAATATTATAAAGAGAATGAAAACTTGTCAACTTCCAGACGATATAATATAGCATTATTCGAATTTCCGCAATAAAAAAAGCAAATTGAAGGTGAGCACAATTTTGGGTTCGAGATTCGAGATTGATGATAAATATGAAATCTTGGACAATAGTATGAATTTATTATTTAACCTCTCTAGTTGGTTAAGGAGCATACGGTATAGTTGTGGCAGCCAGAGATAACACACTGGACCCTGAGGATAATTTAGTTGCAATAAAAAAGATTGAAAAAGCTTTCGAACATAAAATATTTACAAAGAGAACTTTGAGAGAATTGAGACTACTGAGATTGCTATAACATGAAAATGTAAGTATTGCTCATATTTAGATTATCGGAATCAATACAATACTACTTCCAAAATCAAGAGAAGAATTCGAAGATATGTATAAATTACAATGACTTAGTTACGTGGTTCAAGAACTGATGGAAACAGACCTAGCCCAGATCATTAAGTCGGACTAAAACCTTGCGGATGAACATTGCCAATTCTTCCTCTATCAACTATTGAGAGGTCTCAAATACGTACATTCTGCAAATGTAGTCCACAGAGACTTGAAACCACGGAATTTATTAGTTAACAGCAATTGCGATCTCAAGATCTGCGATTTCGGATTGGCAAGAGCCTTGATTCCAGATTTAAAGGTAGAAATTCTAATGTTAACTCTAGGCCAAAGCTGGTGTGTTGACTGATTACGTTGCAACCAGATGGTATAGAGCTCCAGAATTACTACTTTCATGGAGGAATTACACATAAAGTGTCGATGTTTGGTCAGTGGGTTGTATTTTCGCTGAATTGTTAAGACGAAAACCCTTCTTGCCTGGGATGGACACAAAGAATCAAATAGAATTGACTTTCGAAGTAATAGGTACTCCATCTGAATAAGAATTGAACATGATCCCTAAAGAAAAATATAGAACCATTGCAAAGGGACTCCCTAAACGACCAGGAAAGGATTTTAACAAATTGTTTCCAAATGCTTCCAATCTTGCTATTGATTTATTGAAGAGCTTGCTTACTTTTGATGCCAAGAAGAGAATTACAGTTGAGGATGCTCTAAGACATCCTTATTTATCCGCCCTACATTGTCCTGATGACGAAGTATTAGTTTTGATGTTATCCTTTATAGCCCATTGCAGTTCCTGTACAAAGGATAGATTTCGAATTTGAAGAGTATAACATGACACTCCAATAACTCAAAGGTATTTGATTACCAAATCATAGATTGCATTTATGAGGAAATATTGATATACCACTACAAAGACTTCAAGGATGAGTATGAAACCAAAAAGCGAAATTCTTCATCCATCATCAATCACATTATCAAAAATGAAAACTCTAAAATAATTGACCCAGATGCTGATGATGATGACAACGATTCCGATGAAGAACCAATTTGATAAATATAATTAAATATATGGCAAAAAAATCCTAACCATAAGTGGATTTATCGTGGGTAGTCCCCAATGCCTTGTGCTGGCAAGATCTCGACAATAAGGATCCTATGTTTTCACCAGCTCTCGTAATAAGTTCGGATGGCAAAATAATCACGATTAAGTTGGAATCTGGCGGGTAGATATAATGCAAACCAACACAAGTGCTAGAAAGAGCAGATCCAACCATATTAGGAAACAAAGGCTTTGATGACATGGTAAATATGGAAATTCTTAATGATGCAGAATTACTAAATAATTTAATTTATAGATTTGGGAAGGATATAATTTTCACCTATGTGGGTCCTACATTGTTAGTCATAAATCCATTCAAATCGATTCAAGGTCTAATGAGTGCAGATATTAGAAATTAATATATAGATGATATCGTTAAAAAGAATCGGCTTATTAAAGATCTACCTCCTCATGTTTATGCAATTGCAGCACAGGCCTATAGACAATTATTTGAGAATGAAAAGAATTAAGCAATTGTTATATCTGGAGAAAGTGGTGCTGGTAAAACTGAGAATGCCAAGTTTTCTATGAATTTGCTAACTTCTATTGCGTCAGATGGCTCATCAAAAGATAAGATAGAAGATTAAATTCTAGGATGCAATCCCATTTTAGAAGCATTTGGTAATGCAAAGACTGTGAGGAATAACAATTCATCAAGATTCGGAAAGTACGTTAGAATCATTGTTGACAGTAAAAGCAAATAAATTAAGGGGGCAGAAATTATCAATTATTTGATGGAGAAGTCAAGAATTAATCAATAAGGTAAAAATGAAAGAAATTTTCATATTTTTTATTTCTTTTTACAAGGATTACCAGAAGAATTATTGAATAAATTTGGAGTAACTATGAAGATGGAAGAATTCAATTATCTCAATTCCTCAAAAACATATACAATCCCAAATGTTGACGACGCTGAAATGTTCAAGGAAATATAAGAAAGCTTTTCCATCTTAGGAATGCAGGCTGATTTTGAAAACATCGTCTAAACAGTACTTGCAGTGTTACATCTTGGAAATCTTGAATTTAACGCAAGCACTCTTACAGACACTTAGCCAGCTTCAGTCACTGAGAGCTTAGCAGAACGATTACTCGAGTTGTCTAATTAACAACTATCTTAGGCTTTGACTCTTAAATCAAGAGTAATCAATAAACAGACCATCTTGTCTCCATTGACACTTGATGAATGTTAATTCACTAGAGATTCATTGGCAAAGGACATTTATGATAGATTATTTAATTGGTTAGTTATTCAATTAAATAAAGTCTTAAAACCTAAAGTTGAGTCAAAGACATCTGTGGGATTGCTTGATATTTATGGGTTTGAAGTTTTTGATAAAAATGGGTTCGAATAGATCATGATCAATTATACAAATGAAAAGTTACATTAACTTTATATTCAATATGTATTTAAGGAAGAGGAGAAGATCTTCATAGAGGAAGGTCTAAAGGACCACTTGGGATAATTGGAGTTTTAGGATAATACTTAAGTAATTGAATTGATTGATAAATAACCTGGAGGAATATTCAGTATTTTAGATGAATCTTGTTCTGTGAAATCATCTGATGATGGGTTTCTATAAAAAATAAGAACTGTCCATAAATCAAATCCATTAGTAAAAACACCTAAGATGCCAAGTGATCCTGCATTTATATTAGTGCATACAGCAAAGGATGTATGTTATACAGTAACAGGATTTAGAGAAAAAAACAAAGATGAAATGAGTGCTTAAACTATTTCAATGATTAGTCAAACTTAGAATCCTCTATTAAAATAGTTGTATATAATGGAGGGAATGAAAGAAAAGTTTATATCATAGAAGATAAAGAAAGAGATGATTGAATTGATGACTGAATTGCACTAATGTGATGTTCATTTCATAAGGTGTATAAAACCAAATGAAAGCAAGTTGCCTAATTAAGTATTTTCTGAAATGACCCTTAAATAAATTAGATATCTAGGTGTTTTAGATTCCTTAAAGGTTCGGAAAGAATCTTACAGTATTCGGAGGCCATATTAATTTTTTTATAAAAGATATGCTGACATGACAAGAAACGAAATTTATGGTAAATTGATAAAAAAGCCAGATATTAATTTTAGACAATTGGTCGTAGATATGTTTAAACAACACATGCCTCATATTGATTCAAAGTAAGTATTGTTTGGAAGGACAAAGATCTTCATTCGTAATACAGGATTACAAATGATAGAAGATTCATATAATAAAATTGTGACTCTCAAACATTAAAGAGCAGCTAAGTTGTAAAGATCATATAAAATCTATAAGATGAATCAGCATCTCAAAAAGATGATGAGAATTGCTTTGACACTTCGCACTTTAGCATAAAGAATTCGTTTTAAGGTATTAGTCAGAAAAAGAGTAAAAGCAGCTTCAATCATATAAGCTTGGTATAAGAAATTGCATGAGAGAAGATTAAGATAAAAATATGAGAAATCAGCATTACATTTGAAGTTGTATTTTGAAAGATATAATGTACTTAGAGAAGTAGCAAGAAAGAAATTAGCTATTAGTAAAATACAGAAATTTGGTAGATATGTAGTACAATCAAAGCAAGAGAGGAAAGTGAGGGAAATCAAAAATGTATTTTAAAAAATCATAGATGATGCTTGGTAAATGATCTTGATCAAGAAGGCTGTTATGATATAATCTAATTTTAGGGGAAACTAAGTTAGAAAAAAAAATAAGAAGTAAGTTCATCAAATAAAGAATGCAGGGAGAAAAATTAAAATGGAAGGTTCAGTTATAAAAGTGTAAGCAGCAATCAGAAGATTCATAGCTAGAAGCCAATTTAGAAGAGCTCATGATGCTGCTTATTTAATCCAAGGTTATTTCAGAATGAAATTGCTCTCAACAATGTTTCAAAGAATGAGAGCAGCTGCAAGAAGTGTTTAAAAGTTTGCCAGAATCTATCTTTAGAAGTAAATGGCCTATAAAAAGAATTATGAATCTTTTGTGTTGCCTTGGGAAAAAAATGTTTAGCAGTAAAAGCATGACGCTTCCAATTTATGGAATTTAACTAATGAAAACATTGAGAATGAGGATATTCAACCGTTATTAGAGACATGTCTCATACAATGGAGACCAAGATTACCAAAGATTGCATTATTTTCTGTGCCTATTGATATTGATATACTTTCTGATATCTATTAGTGTTACAATCCAAATTATTCCTATTCAAGAACATTGCTAAATATTATTATTCAATAATTTAGAAAGGATCATCCAATTTAAACATACTTCACTACTGAAGAGAGTACTTTATGTGTCACTTTGGGTGGAACTGCTATTTTTGAATTTGGTAGTGGACAATTGATTTTAAATAAAGATACTTTTGAAACTGTGGAGAAGAACATATTTCCAGATTTCATTCGAATCAAGTCCATTAGTTGTAGTGATCAATTCATTTTAGTAACTACTGCAGATGGTTCTTTACTGTAATATGGCGATTAATATAAACAGATAAAATACAAACCACATTATGTTAATAAAGAATGCTCAATGTCATCCAAGAAATATATTATAAGTGATAACAAAGTGTTTTCATTATCTAATCTAAATGTTCATATACCAATCAAATAGAAAGCTAAAATGATATCATGTGGAAATCAATTTGTTGTTACATTATGTGAAAGTGGGCAATTGTATTCATGGGGAGAAAATTATGAGGGAGAATTAGGATTGGGCGATCGTAGATATAGACATGAGCCTTGTTTGATCAACGTGGAAAAGGTTTTGTAGGTTTGTTGTGGTTTTAAGCATGTTATTGCAAAGACCAGAAGTAAAATTTACACTTGGGGATGGGGTGAGCGAGGTCAACTTGGTAATTCTGAATTGAAAAATGAGGTAATTTAATATTCATTACAATAGATTTTGCCAAAACCATTGAATATTTCAGCATTGTGGGTTTCTGCAGGAAGGACTAGTTCTAGCATTATTACAAATGATCGGATAATAATGTAATGTGGTACTAATTCTCTATTAAATCACCAAGAGAAGTTTGAACCCGTAACATTGGTAATTCTTTCATTAATTATTAGAGTTTCGCATTAAATTCAATGATTCCTATAAGAATAATATCAACTTGGTCAAAAACCATTGAAATAACTTATGTTACTTTTGCTAATACAATTTCATTGCCAGAAAATTAGTTGTCTAAATCCTTAAAAATTCTAAATCACTTAAACTAGATCTGGTCAGAAAGCAGCGATCCGCATTCCATCGATCCACCATTTAATTAATCTATCAGCAATTATTTATATGAAGCATCGATGAGAAAGTCGAATCAATTCAATAAATAATAGATTAAAAATCATTTCAAATTATAAAAAGAAATGCTTTACATTGAAGACGATAGAGATTGGGCGATGAGAAAGAAAGTTTTAGTAGAAGACATTATATCTCATTAAAGGACTGTTACTAAAACAGACAAACTAAAAGCAGTCAGATAACGATTCCTCGATTTGATGACGAAAAGCGAGGATTAATTGACAAACGATGATAAAGCCTTTATTAATTAGATTTAGAATAATGAGAAAATTTAAGCTTTACTAAAGAGTATAGAATAATGATTGTTTATTTCATTCAAACATTTTATAATCAATTACCAAATTTTTCAATCTATTCTGTATTTACTCTGGGTATTTATATAATTTTTCAGTGTTTTCTAATATTTCCCTTATTAAATCTGATGAAAATCCTTTGCCAACATAAAATAGTTCACTTGATTCCTACTTAGAACTTAAAGGCTTTTCTCTATAAAATTCTTTGAAAAATAATCTAAAAAAGTCCTATTGAAAATACTACTGGATATATTACATAATTAAGTTTCTCCTCACTACCAACAAAGGTTTTCATTACTAAGTTACCATTAGTTTTTAATGTAAAAGTGCTCACTTTGATTAATCAAAAAATTCATTTACAAAGCAATGCTGTTTAATTTAATGCAGTTATTCCTTAATGATCTGCTTCATGTTCTCCAGAAACATTGGGTGCCATATCTGAAAGCACAACATCAAATTTATGCTGTCTAATTTAATTCATTATTTGTTTGTCCATGATATCTCCTTAAATAAATTTAACATTTTATATGGGTGACACTTCCAATAGATCTATTGCCATCACTTTGCCTTTTTCAGACACCACTTAAGACCAACTACCAGGAGCTGCTCCCAAATCTAAAACATATTAATTGGGTTTATAGATTGCATATTTCTCATTGATCTGCATCAGTTTAAAGGCAGCCCTGCTTCTTAATTATAACTATTTTAATAGTTGCAAATACTCTTTTAGATTCCTTAACGTAGAAATCGTTAATGTGTTCCATATACCATCTTTTGGTTTTTTTTTAAGAACTCACAGATAGTGAATATAAATTCCTAAATTTGAACATAAATTATTATTAGATTGAATTCGCTACAATCTAGAAGGATCATAATATGAATTAAATAATCATTTTTGTTTATTTTTGATTTCGTTTTTACAACCTTCAATGATCTTTTTAAAATCATTTAAATTTTAGACTATCTATTTTAATTTAATTGAGGCTTATTGACCTAAAGCCTATTAATGCATAATTTACATTTGACATCAAAGTTCTCCTCATCTTACGGTTATTTAATTGGTTTCTTTTCCTCCCTTACTTATTTCATTGCTTTATCCTTTTCTTTATTTTAATCTTCATAATCTTATTTAATCTTTTGATATCCATCCAAACATCTTTGGTTTATATTATCAATGGCCATGAATATTCTACCTAGATTCAAATTCTCCTCTGTGATTCTATTTTCTTCTTCTTCCTTCTCAGTTAATAATGAATTTCTCTCAATCATTTTTTCTTCTATTAATTTTTGATATTCTTTGATGTCATTATTCAATTGTAAGACTTCGTGATTTTTCTCCTTTTCATATTGCGTGAAAGTGAACTTCATTTTTTCACAATCAGTTTCCATTTTTTCATGTTCTTATTTTAAAATTTAATGTGATATCACAAGTCTTTTATATCTATCAGTTATTGAATCGAGATCAGAATATTTATCAGGATAGGCTTTAATAATACTATTTAAATATTCTACATATTTTTTAAGTCTCTCAGCTATTCTTATAAATTTGAATTATTGTACCCTTTCTTTCCACATTTTCGAATATCTATTGATCTTGACTCAAGTCATGTTATAATTTGGCAATTTCCTTAATTTTTTTATCTTTCTCTGTTCTTTCACTCTAGTATAAGCTAATGGCTTTTTTCTTTTTGGTTTCATTGACTTGCAATTCTTTACAAAACTTAAGCAATTCCGTTTGAATTTCTTCGTCTTTTTATTTAATTTCATTTTCCTTAAGTTTGAAGTCCTCCTCTAATGAATAAGGGGAGATATCATACCTTGTTATTTAAATTAGAAGAGTTAATTCTCATAGGCTTCATGAACTTCAAACATCAGCCTTCTTTTCTCAAGTAACTTCATGGCAGGATTGGTGGAGTTGACACTGGAGGCTCGTTTCCTGACTTTTCTGTCCATCGAGTGAATAAATATTTATAATTAAAGTATGTACGATATATCAAATATATTCAAGAGATGCATAGAAGAGAAAATCACGATTCTCACAGGGAGATCCAGTAGAGCAGACAGATCCTAACTGAATTCAAGCATGATGATGTCTCGTGTGAAGACCAAGGACAATCACTTCCAATTCAATGAGTCCAACTCACTCAACAAATATGATGTGGAATTGTCCTACCAAACAGAATTGGAATACAATCCTAAATTCCTAATTAAAAATAAAGAAAAAAAGGAAGTGATGTCTGATTGTTCCGATTGTTATGAACTGCCCAAGATATCCCTCTTGGATCAACAGCCAATTAAAAAATATTCGATGTGCAATAGTTAGCATGATTCGTCAGGAATGACTACACGAAAAAACACTTATAATAAATATCGATCCTTTTCGAATCGGTTGAAAGCAATGAAAGTTGGCTATCTCTCCTTGGATCCAGACAGTCCGTACACCCAAGAGATATTCAAACAGCTGTCCAATTCCAGCATCTACCAAGAAATCACTAAACCATAAGTATGCCCTCTATCAATACTTAGTTAGTCAAATACCTAACCAAATCATTAGGTTGTTAGGCCAGCATTCAAAGATTAATCAACTTGATGTAGTTGCCTTATTCAATTACTTAAGCAGTCTATCGATCTTTCTTGCTTTAGATCAGAGAGATGAGTCAGCAATGTAATAAATATTCAAGATAATAGAGATAATCTAACTAGTATTTTGTTGTTATGACTTGATGTCTAAAACCTATTTAAATACGAGAGATCTGTTTGAGCTATTTAAATCAGGAGGTGCAGCACAGAAAGATGCTGACATCATCTTTAAATATTTACGATTTCAGGCTATCAGAAATCCATTTGAGCTCAGTCCCAAAATTTCAACGAAAAAGAAGGGCAAACAGAAACCTCAAAAACAAGTTGTCATTACCATGATGAAAGAAAAGGCGAGACGCTTGTCTGAATTATATGCTCGAAAATCTAATTAGGATAAGAATGTTGTCACTGAAACGACCTTCTTAGAAATATATTAAAACACTATTCCTGAATTCTTTAAATGTCTTGTCTACGTATTGGCCAATTATAATTGTGATTGATGATGAAAGATTTACTTTATATTTAATATTTTATTTTGATTGTCTCATCTATAAGGAACATCTCAATAATTTCATTAAATAAAATAAAATTCTTAATCAATTAAGTTTTTTGTCTACTCCTTAACTTATTTTAGATCAGGAATTGCCTCACTCTACTTCACATTCCTTTGTAACTAATTGTAGTCCTATAAAACATTGATATATTCAGTTGGGAACACTAAGGTATATCTAGGATCATCATTCACTTCATTTTGTTACTAAATCTATTCTAATACTTGTTTCTTCTCTTTCAGTTAATCAATCATTTAATTCACTTTCTTCATTTTATTGATATAATTTTATTTCATTTTTTCATTTATGTTACCTAGCTCTTTTGGTTGATCCTCCTCACCCAATCGTTCATTTATTTTCGTCAAGTCCTGTTCTTAGAGGTCTAAAATATCATTAATGTCGCTTTCCACTTATTGAAATCTCTCAGCATCGACAAACTCATCTTCCTTTGGTAAAGTCTAGACAAAGGGATCGTAGGTAGTGTTTATTAATTAATATGGTAATTAGAGGCAGTCTCTGAGTATGGCTATATTAGTTTCTTAATTTAGTGAATTATTGTAAATGCATTTCGTCAATTTATAAATAAAGGATAAGGAGGAATCAAATGAACAGATTCCTTAAATCAATTTATTAAGATCAACATTCTTTCCATGTTTGGATTAACCCCAAATGCCTGTGGTTAGTAATTAACATTTTATTGATTTTATTCTGCTTGCTAAATCACTATGATCAATTTGAAAGTATTAGAATAAGGTTTCCGAATGCAATTTCATTAAATGCTCTATGTAATTTAATCTCTACTCAGTATTTAGCAGTAATTCCTCGCTATAAGGATAATCAAGTTTTTTTAGAAGAAATTCAAATTTTTATAATTTCATAACAAGTTGGTAATTAATATAATAATAAAGAGAAATCAAATTTTGAATGGATGAATAGTCATCGTTGACATTTCTTTACTCTACTTATCATTTTTGAGTTTTTGCTAATCTGAGATGATTTTTACAGGAGAATTGGAGAAATCTTCTACATAGATTGAGTTCATTTAAGTCAGATTCGATTTAAGTGCTTATTGTCTCTTAGAGTAACTCTAAGTATTCGGAACTGAAGTTTATTGTTTCTTGGGAGCTGAGTATTGTTGAGACACCTTTGACACGTTAAATAAATCCCAATTTCCCTTTAAACAGGCGTGATATTCAGAATACTTTTCAGCTCTCATCCTTTTGATATAACTTCTAATCAATTTTCCATTTTGAACAGGATTAACATCAAAAACTGAACATGGCTTTATTGAATTTCTTCTCGAATTCAATAAACTACCATCCTACGATTAATCAAGAATAGGTGTTTTATATTGTTTCGATTTGATTATCCCCTACCCTGGCGATGCTCCTGCATCTCTAGTCAGTTATTCCAAATTCCATCTCGGCAATTCAGACAAATCCTTTGACCAATATAAATTGTAAAAACTATTCTTTTCTTCAGAATTGTTTAATTGTTATTGCTAGGACACACTCCCTTTAGAAACCTAAGGCATTTAAGTTTATCTATTGGTTATTGACACTTATTTTTTCTACCTTAGAATTTATTAAATCATAAGGTTTCTTGCCTTTGCTAGTTTCTCTAATTGCATTATATTAAAATAGTTTAAACTATCAACTACATAACAACAAAATTAAGCTGAAATACATTTGACTGTGTATTTTCTTAGAGAGTCTCTCAAGAATTCTTCAAATCCAAATATTTGGAGTGCTCCCAAATTATAAATATTTGTGTTATTGTTGATAAAATTGACTTCCCCTGAAATAATCATGTAAATCCACTTTCTTTGATCTTCTTGTTTAAATATATAATCTCCATATTTAAATTGTTTCTCTTTCAGACATACACTTAGTAATTGTAAATCGCTGGCTACGTTCAACTTTTCTAGAAATGAATGTCGAGTTTCAAAGCTTCTCCAATACTTTTCATCAAATTACAACTCTATCATAATACTGTCCTTCTCAGCAATTACAGTGTAGGAACGCTTGCCTTTTGCTTCCCCAAAAGTGTCTCCTGGGTATATTTGTGCAAAAGGAATGTTTTGATTGGATTGGAAATATTATTTACTCAATATAGTGATATTCGGTACCAATTATAGAACCTATTGGACAAAAATATCATTCGATTGTAATCTCATGAACTTTTATTTTGATGGTGTGCAATCTTCCTCTTTGAAAAGACAAGTCAGTTAGCCACATAAAACGTGATATAAATTTTTCCCAACTTCGCCTTATTAAAACACTACAGAATTCGCTTTGCACATAATCATTCTGCATTAGATATTTTAAATTTACGGATTTACATATTAGAGTTTGCATTTCTAAGTTTACATGATTTAGTAGCAATCTAAAACATCATTAATATTATTGATTAAAATCATTTTATTTATAATTTATAATGAATCCTTTAAACTACAACGACGATGATAAACCTAAATTTCCACAATGTAACTAACTTACTTTAACATCATAGTTATCCCTAACCAAAACATAGAAAATATAGGCTCAAGGACACAAAGAAGTCATACACTCACGAATAACTCAACTTAAGACGGCCTGTAATATATTCAATATAATTTAAAGTATTCAATATCAAAACTTGTTTCCAAACAAAGCAAAGTAAGCCTAGATCAATTTTTTCAAAAGGGCACACCTATAAAAGGGATCAAATAATGAACAAAACTAAGAAAAAAATGTACCAAAGTATTAAAATATCAATATCATCTCTAATACTACACAACAAAATGGCAATAACGTTAAAAAATAGACGAACTTTTCTCAAACAATATTTCCTCTACCTCCACCTCAATATCAATCCAATAATTCGATTACTTCCTAAGCTATACTTCCTAAAATAAAAATTTTAGAAATCTAATAATAATAATAGTTTAAGAAAAGCCATACATTAGAAGTTTGCAGCTAGTGTTTTTAACCTAAAAATGCAGATCATTAATGTAATGATGAATATGGACTAATCAATTGTCCATATTGTCATGAACCCATAGTGAGAAACTTTTTGGATGAACACCTTGTTGATTGTATTCCATACATAGAATATTAATTCTAAAACTTGGATAAAAAAGAAGAATGCTCCATTTGCATGGAAGAATTGGGGAAAGATAAAAAATCATTAAAATGTTCTCATTCTTTTCACGGAAATTGTATTGATGGTTGGAATAAGAAAAGTCCTGATTGTCCTGTTTGTAGGAAACCAATATGATAGTATATAATTATTAGTATTCACTTTGATTGTGATTTCTATAGTTGTTTTTGAGTATTAGATATACAAATTCTATTATCAAAATCTGACTATTAAGTAATTATTTCTGTTTTTATACTATTTTTTTTCAAACCCACTCTCTATTTGCCAATGTATGAGTTCATTCCAAAATCTACTTAAATTCAAACAAAGAGAATAAGGTTGATAAATCATTTATTTAAATTTCAAAAATACTGAATTCCATAATCTATTTTAACGGAAACCATTAATATAGGATTTTCTAAAGATTTTTGTTAATATAAATTTTGTTTATTAATCAATAATACCACTGTCTTTTTTAGGAAGAATTAGATTTTATAATAAATTTTATAATTCTGATAACAATACTCCATAAGTATAAAGTTCCTAATTATTAAAACAATTCTCATTGTCTGTTTTATTGTCCCTTCTAATTTAGAAAAAACCTTAATTTTTTCAAGAATATGCTTAAGATATTTCCAATTAATCAGATTATTTAATTATTATAAAGTATATTTTAAATAAAGTAAAAGAAGAGAAAATGAACAAATACACATTAAGGTTTAAATCTTAAAAAATAGAGGATGAGTATTAACAATCAAGGGTACATACTATCAGTATACCTGTGTTTAAATTTGGCTCAGCATGCTTATTTATAATAGCTACTTTGAAACTCATATTAGTGGCCCAAGAAAATAATATAGGAGTGATGCCAGTATTGATTGTTTGCCAAATATTTTCGATACTGTCGTTTATTTTTTTGGTTTTTAAAATGCACAAAATTAACATATAGCTAATTTTTCTTGCTTACTTATTGATAGCCTATGAGTTAATTATTAAGACTGATACTAATGCTTAAGCATTATCCCTAATGTAAAGTAATTTTACAATTTGCGGAGTAATTATAATACTGATTTCAGAATTTAGAGAATCCGTACTTATAATAGTTACAACGTTTTTCTTCAGGATAATTTATGTAATGATGTAGGAAACCAATAAATCCTACGTCATTTATAGCACAACTATCATACTGATGTGTTTTATGTGTTATTTTTCCTATAAATTTAATATCCTGTTTAGAGCTAGATTTCTTTTGAGCTAATATGATTACATGTGGGGTATAATATCGGATTATTTTAGAAAGTGTTTTTCCAAAAATTGTGGACAATCCTTACTTAATATTTACATTCAATGAAGATAAGTTAGAATTTGTATTAAAATCCCAAAGCAAGATTCCCTTTGAGTGCAATAACACTTAGCAATTAAAGGAGTTTTTGCGAGATTGGCATTTAAATCAAGATTCACTAGAAAATACTTTATATCAGTTATATTAAAATGAGGATATAAGTGAATTTCATTCGAAAAAAATCGAAATAGTTAAAGACAAAAAGGCTAAATAATACATTCATTATTCAATGATGAAATCATTATCATCAACATTTATTATAAAATTTGATGATTCTGTAATAAAGGTTGAGGATTGCAAAATTTTATTATAAAAAACATTTAAAAAATAGGAACATCTAAGGATGAAATTGATAAAAAGCATTTATAAGAACTTACATGTCTCTTTGAACCTAAGACAATTAAATAATTTATGGTCAATTAGAAATAGTTGCATGAAATAAATTATGAATTCTAAAATTCTTAAATAGCAATTGAAAATAGAATCATTTGATATCAAAAATTTCTTATATTTAAATGATTACTTTGCTTACAAATTCAACAAATTAACATTTTATAATCCTTAAAATGAGGATATTATGACTATAGCAATACAATTGAAAAGACTTCTCTTTGAAATACTTGAAGCCACCTTTCAATAGGGTCAAGTCTATGTGGAAGTTTGGGAAAGAACTACAATAATTCAATATGAAGGCAAAGAAATAATGTGTCAAAAGGATCCAGTCTTAAAATTAGTCTGGAGTACCTTAGTGGAAAGAGTGGAGATGCAGAATAACATATGGGTATTGTAACTATGTAGAGAACCCTGTGTCAATTTTACAAATAAATAAACTTCCAAATGAAATATAATTATTAGGTGGTTATACATTTTTATGCTACTCAAAAGTCAAGCTCAGCTAAACTTAATAATTCATCAGTTGTTAATTCATCATCAGCCTACTTTTCTCCATAATCATATTCTGGATTTTAATATTATAAAGCCTAATTAGATTAAAAAATTCATTACTTTAACAGCCTAATTGTAGAGTCCTAAGCAATTATTGATTCTCTCTCCATAAGCTTCTTAAGGAGCCTTGGTTCCGTAAAGATCATTGGTTTCTTTGGTTATAACTATTTAATTCTCGTGATCGATGACTGCTGCTAAAGTGCCATCTCTTATAGCTTTGGCAACAACTTATTCTGCATTGCATTATCTTGGAAGATTTAATTTTTCATGAATATCATTCAAGGAAATTCTAGAATAGGATAAGTTAATCCTTCTTAGACCAGCCTTAATGACTATTTATGGCAATCTAAAGTTAAATGATTCAATACCTTTAGATTAAATTAAATAGTTTGTCTCTTCTCAATATATTTTCTGATCTTGCCACTTCTTGTTGGAATTCCCCCAAATTACCTTTGATAACAGTTGAAACAATCCTATAGTAAGGATACAGAGCCTATTGATATTCAGGGGAGGTGAAAGTATCTCTATTTGGAACGTTACCTAGTAACAATTCGACTAAAGCAATCACTTTGATGGCTTAGACTTTGAATCCAAAGGCTGTATTATCTGGAGCCTTATGACTTGCTTATGTAAGATTCTTATAGGCTTCTTAGTATTCACCTCTTATCGCATGGATGAGTCCAGTATAGTATAAGAATCTTGCCTGCTGATTTCCGAAAGCATGTTCAGGGAATTCAGTCTTTTTTAAGAAATTATAACTCTATTCATACTAATTGTAATGAATAAAGTTTCTCAAAATTAAGTTTATTAAAATGGCTTAACCATTTTCATCTCTATTTTAGCAAGCATTTCTATAGCCTTCAAATAGGACACTATAATATATTGACATATCATTACTCTCTGATTTAATCTAGTTTGCCTAATTTCTCATGTGATTTTGATAAATATTCATAGATGACTCCTAATAGAGTATCTAAATATCTTTTGTTATTTTATTGAACTTATTATAATAATTATTTTCCAATAACATTCAACTATTCGTATGCTTCAACTTATTTTTATTAAAACAGCCAAATGAGATAAAGGCATTGAATAAATACATTCACTTCAATTATTTTACTTAACTTGGACACCACTTAAGTACTCAAACCTAAATCTTCGTTGAAATTGGCATCGAAATCATTTCCTTATTATGCTGCTACATTGGGAAAGAATGCGGTGTAGAGTTTGGCCAAATGATGAGACTTTACAGTCTAAAAATCAAATAAAGGGTATTACATTTCTGAACTTTTTCACAAAGATCGATACTTTTTGAATTGCTTTGATGTCTTTAGAACTGACTGCCTTTTCTAATAATAAAATTTGGAGTTTGATTTCAGATAAGACTGTCTTTGGTTTTTATGCTTGAGCCTAAGGTTATTAAGCAGATGATGCTTGTGTTTAATTTTGGGTTTTCTCTTGAGTTGCTGCAGCTTACTATTCCATTAATTTAAATTATTGAAATTAAATATAAGACATTGGGATAAATTATTGCAAATTAAATAATTACAAAATAATTTAGAGTAGATGATTCAATTTAGTAAAACCATTGTTTGATACGAATGCCTTAGAAAATGTCCCCCTAAAATATTAAAGTAATAATTAAATAGAAAAGTAAGAAATCTTATATAATATAATTAGAACTATTAAAAACATTCTAAAGAAATGTAAGGAATAACAATACAATCTTAAGACCTTTATATAGAAGTTATGAAATTATTAGATAGATTTTCATTATAGATACATAATGGATATATAAAATATAAAGATTTGATACTCTATAAATTAGAATTATGCTCTCCAATTTAAATAGGTTAGTCATCAATAAAACCATATTGAGAAAATTAAATTCTTATGAAATAATTATAGAAACAAACTTAAAATTAAGAAAACTGCAAACAACATGAGTTTCAGCTTTAAGATAAAACTAGACACCTGGGTTTCTAACATTGATGATTATAATATTGAACTATATTTTTAAATGAAATTATTTCATTCCATAGGGTTTTTAATTTAACCATAAGCTTAAGATTGACTTATAGGAGGATATTAATGATTTGGTATTTAACTATTCTGCATTTAACCTTGTGGCTATTATTAGTAAGGTGCTTACTATAGGTTGCAACTTTACCTGTTATTTAAGTTAGGCTGTCCATATTATTATTACATGAAGTTAGATGGATTGATTTATTCAGAAGCTCTACCTTATTGATAAGATTAATTTATTGGTTATTAATATGGATATCCTTATTATGTAGGTGGTGGATATGGTTAATTTTATTACTAGAATTATGAAGAGTAACCTGGAATTTGTGATTACATTTGTTATTAGTAGGGAGGTGGTTAAAATGGTGGTTGCATGTTGGGTTATATATTGGGTTATTAAATTTATGGTTAAATATTAGGAGGTACATATTGTTGTTGAGATTCTTGTTATCTCATTTGTTAATTTGCCATAGTCATGCCCAATTAGTTGATATCTACAATCAAAGGTGCGTTTGGCTTCTTGCCTATCAATTAATGATATTTGACTATTTATTCTGGGATTTCAGCTAAGACATGTCTTGCTAGATTAACCTAATTTCCACCAAAATTACGAAAAGGAACAAATTAAACCAGATCTCTCTCAGCCCTTCTGTTACCCGAAAATAGACCTAAAAAAATAATGGATTGAGTTTACCTTGATCTCCATCTAATTCTTCCATCATTGAAAAGTTTTCATTGCCAACTCCAATGATAATAATGGACAATGGTAATCTGGCACTGTTGACAATCAATTATTTGGTTTATTCCATATCATGAATGATACCATCTGTTAAAATCAATAATATTGTGTATATCTAAACATTTAAATATAAATTACGTTTTGTTCAGTTTATTGTTGAGCGTATATTTATCTGAGTGCCTCTGATATGATTGGTCCAAAGTATGTGGGACCTGAAAAAGTGACATTTGCGAGTGCATAATTGTAAAGATTTGCAATTCCTTATAATTCAAAGGCATTAAGTTAATTAGGATCTCCAGATAAGGGAAAGCAATGAGAGACTTGGGTTGATCTCATAGTTGGATAATTCAAATTGGCGCCAAAACCGAAACAAGGTACCATCTTATCATAATCATAAGCAAGAAGAATCTCTCCCACTGCATTAATGGCAAGTTGATATTGATTTAAGCCATTTGGAGATCGAAAATGCAAGCTCCCTGGTTGATGAGGTGCTCCATTAGAACCAGTAAAATCGATTGCAGTCATTAAGTTTAATTACAAGCCTCCTCGTATCTTAAGGATATATAAATGATTATACATAATCTTAAAAACTTGGTCTAATGTATGTACTAAATTATTCTAATCTCAATTTTCCTGGATTCTTGTGCTTGGGATTTGTTAATTAATATTCTCTTGTCTGTTATAATTCTGGGATTGTTGTCAATAATTCTCCTATAAATTGATGTTTTCCACTTTTTTCCCAATCCCAACATTCAATTTTAATCTTTTTATCATTTGAAATAGCTAATTTAACGCCTTGTATCTCAAAGGTTTTCCAAAGAGGATTCAAATTATCCATGACAACTTCACTCTCGTAAGTTTGAATATATGTAGAATCTTCCCTTTATCTATAAAACCTGAGAAAGGGATCAGATTTATCAAACCACCCATCTGTATTCATTAATTTGATTCCACTCCATTTCATTATCATAAATTCATTTCCCTCTTATATTTTATCACATCTAATAATCAATTTGCCACCTCTTTATCCAAGTTCTAAAATCGATGTCTAATTCCTTGCTCCAAATAAAGTACCTATTGTTGTTTCTACTTAACCAATCAACTCTGAGTTGCTGCCATCATCATCTCTCACCTCGAATCTAATTGGTTAAACTGTCTCGAACACATAATCAAGTTGGAAGGTTTTCTTAAAGTTTGGATTTAAATTGTTTTGAATAGTTTCCGTATTTCCTATCTTAATCCATTAATTATTTGTTTTGATGTACACTATTACAAAAGGATCCGACTTACTAAAATAATCCAAGTCTTTCAATTATCTTCCAGAAATGAAAATCTCAATTTACTAATAACAATTACTATCCATTATATTTAATTATATAAAATAACACACTCATCCATATTTTTAATATTCCCAATTTCGATTATCCAATGGGCAAGTCTACCTATTCTTTAACCATCTCTCAATACAATGAAAATGATATGCCTAAAATAAAATTCTTTGATACATGATTACATGTTCCCCAAGCTACAATGCATTCTCCTTATCCCTCCTATGCATCGCATTCAATACATTTTTCCATTATATGATTTTTGCATATGGCGCAATTGTCAACTTTTATATCCCAACTCCACAAAGCAACAGCATTCCATTTCTTTATTTCAAACACTCTTTCTGGCTTTTAATCCATTTGATTTTATTATACTTTATATTTTATTTTTAATCAAAGCGAAAAGGACTAAAGATAAATATTTAAATCATTTCATCGTCATATCAAATGCAAAACCAGAAGAAAATAACAAAATACTTTTGGATTTGAGCTTAAGATCATGAATTTAGATATTATTTATTATATATCAATACTGTTCAGATTTGTTTTTGAAATGACAAAATCATCCAAATATTTGAAATATATGCTTAATAAATGGAATATTATGCCTTACAACAAATAAATCAAATAATATATAGGTAGAAAAAGAAGGGATGAATGAAAATTAGCTTAAGAACTTGCTATAAAAACTAAGAAATCTGCAAGTCAATCTAACCTTATATATAATGAATAAATTGGAATTATGACCAGTATTATTAAAAAGGAGATGACTTTAATAAATATAAATAAACTATACACAAATATTAAGGAATAGTGAACAATTACATCATTGAACTAAATTCATGAATATTATAAATTTTGTAAATGGACTTCTCTTCGACAAATTGGGGTTATTTCCATAAAATATATATCAAAAATACTTCAATATTAAAATAATAACAGTATTTTTTATCACTAATTTTAATCATTATTATCTTATAATAATTACCCATATTTTCTCTTCCTTAAATTTGATGAATGAAATGATATTAAACACCTATTACATTATTGAAATTAAGATCAGCAAATAAAACTTAAGTATTACAAATTATAAATCAAATAATTATCCAAATACTCTTATAATGTGATAAGTTTATAAATTTCAAGTTTTTTCTGACATAAATTAATATTAATGCTAACTTTACATCATAAAATAGCATCCTAGCCTGATTTAAAAGTTGAATATCCACATTAACCTAATCCTTAAATTTTAAGGTCTTTAAAACCTGCTCAATTTCTTAATAATCTAGAACAACTTAAGGAAACTGAAAGCTAATTCTTTGCCCCTCTTAAAGCACAAGAAATATACCAATAAGGTGCATAAACCGACAGAATTTAAGAAGTCACCATTCGTTTCCCTAAAATCTAATAAAACTCATCATAACTCATAAATAAACCATTAACACTGATGCCTGAATCAAAACACAATCAACTTAAAGTCTAATTGTAGAATATTTTTTCTCAGTAAAATTCTCTTGGTGATTCTCACATTATTTTGCCTGGTCTTCATAAATAAAGAAAAGAATCACATATGTTTATCAAAATGATAGAGGATCAATTGAGTTTCCCAAATCAGGAGACCCAGTCCTAAAGAATAATTTAAAATAGATTCACCAGGAGAGGCAAGAATCAAACTTAAAGTTAAACTAATCTAGAAACTCCATTTTTACATGATTCAGAGAATTCATAATAGGATGACTTAAATACTTAAAGAAAAGTTGAATTTTAAAAGCGTGTTAAGGTAATTAATCTACAAAATGGAAGAATAGCAACAGAAGTAATAAAAGAAGAAGATGAAATACCACCTCCTGTAAAAGTTAAAAGAAAATTTGTTTCTTAAAAAACGAAATTTTTCCCTGAGAATTAAAATAAATGATTTTCCAATTTGTATTTTCTTTATCAATAATTATTAATCCTAATAATTAAATTATATTGAAGTAATTATAATATATATAGTGTGTGTCTCATGAAAATTATTAAACTAAGGATCGGACATACTTTTTACATAATGGGCATGATCCTTTGGATGCCAACCAGGAATCAACGCAACCTGAATGAAATCAATAATCAATTAATATTAATACCTATGTAAACAGGGCAAAAATCTGATCTTTTCATTCTCCTCAAAGTTTGAAATGCAAATACTACATCTCTTGTTTTCATCATCCCAACATGAAGCCCTGCTCTACCTATACACAATCTCACTCAAAGCTGCTATCTCGTTTTAATCCAATCCATATTTTGGTTGTTACTGCTGCCTTCTTCTTCCTTATTCTTATCTCCTCATTTAATGGCCATAATATTCTTATTCCATTCTATAATTTTATTGGTTCCTTCTATGCTAATGGTATTGATGCTAATCGTAATGATAATTTTAGAATTAATTAAATTGTCTCTGATGATAATAGACATTTTATTGAGGATGTCTCATTTGATTATTTTAATATTATTGATCCTACTAATAATTGGCTTACTATATTTATTATTGATTTCGGTTTCTTTATTCTCTTTCTTAAGAACTAATTTCTTAAATGATTTGCTCATTTCTTTAATTCTATTGTTGTTAACTACTTTGCCTTGTTCCTGCAAATGGCCTTTCTTATGTTTCCTTTGATTCTTCTATTAATCGAATTGGCATCAAAGAACAGTCCTTCAGGTATTTATCATAAATAGATTAGGCAGCTAAATCGTTGTCATAAAGCGGTTATGAAATCACGAGATTCTCTGAAATTACATGATTTGGTTAGTTCATTCTATTAGCAGTTAAATAAATAAATTTATAAATTAATAACAGTATACTCATTATTATTATCTCAATAATTTCTTTGCTTAATTCTCTTAATTAGAAAAACCCTTCCACAAAAAACCAATAGCTGCCACACTTCCAATTGCTAAAATGTAAAATTTATAATCCTTAAATATGCTGTAATTTGCTTTCTACTTCATTTTCCTTAATTCACAAATAGTTTTATTAATAATGACTTTGACTTGTCCGTATCTTTTCAATTCATAGAATGCCATATTTTATTATGTGATTGTTTGGCTGGTAATGTTGTTTGATATGCAAAAATTGGAAGAGAGTCTGTTAGCCGAAATATAACACACCTTTAAATAGATAATAAATAATACTTTCAATTTGATTAAAAATTTTTTCTATCCTACAAGTAATTCCTTTAAATCGAAATATTTTTCGTAATCAAAATTAATATCTCCATTAACAAACAGTAGAACTGTAATTGTTTTTAACTAATAATAATCATTAAATGTTTAAAAGAAACTAAATTACAATATATTGATACTTTTCATCAGTGCTCGTTTGATATAGTAATTATTTCAATATGTGGGATCTTATTTTATACAGTTCTTCTTTTAATTATGAGTTTGTAATACGAAACTTTACATCTATATAAATTAATTCTCCTTTATTAAGTTCGCCAATTTCTTTGAAATATTCGTTTTCATATAATTCTATAAATTCTGAATTCTGGAAAAATCCACTTTTGTTTATCTTCAAAATTGATTAACTTAAAGTGCTGCTAGTATTATTGATATTTTCTTCTGGAACTAATAATTGTCTAAATTATTAGATTAATTTTTTCAGAGAAACAACTGATTTTGCAAAAAAGTATTTGGAATGAATCTTTTAGCGTTGTTGCAAATCAATTTATTCCTATATGTATCTAGTTAATATTGTTTCTAAAGTTTTCTTATCTGATTTCTACTCAATTAAGGTTCTGTATAGGGTGTTTGTTAATATTTGATCACAATTATCGGTAATTAAGTCATAAAAGTACTTTTCTAAGAAATGAGATTAATTTTCAGGCCCGAGATCCTGCTCCCAACAACTCTTTGAACTAGAAATTTCGTCCAGCATTTTAATTTTCTAATGATATTTAATAAATACAAAATCACAAAATTAATTTGCTTGAAATTGGCATATTATTCATAATTCTTTTTCAATATCTTTAAAATCTAAAACGAAAGAGGAGAATGAAGAATATACTAATTTAAAAAGTTAATCAAATAATCAATTATACATTTGGATAAGAATAATGTAAATTATCTAACCTGTCTTTCTTTTTGAATAGATGGACTTAATGGAAGATTGATTAATCAATTATGAATCTTAATTAATTAATTACAAATATCGCTTGAATTTAAGTATTTATATTCTTAATTTAATCACCTAGCTCTCATCATATAGAATGAATGAAAAAATTATGAAAAAAATATTATTTTGCTATAGTGTGGCATGCTATTTAAGCATTCTACTAGTCTAAAGATCATTTCTAATATTAATAGAAATTGTAAATATTTGAATTTATTTTAAATAGAATACCATTCTGTCATTTCAATTAATTAGAGTTCTTCCAATTCAAATGGGATATATCTAATCAAAAAAATATGTTCTTTTTTTTGAAAAACATAAATGTTGATTTATTCGGATAATCCATAATTTTCTATTAAAGAGAAAAAGCTAATAAGAAGCACAAAATTTAAAAATTACAAAGGTTAAGCTTAATTTAATCAAATAAAATATGAAGAAGGCATAATCTCTATGAGATATGCAAGATATTTTATTGGTATTTCAAAATAAAGGTTATCTAAAAAACATCTAGTATTCCTCAAATTTATTTATTTTCATTAGTACTAATCTTAATAATATTAGAATATTCAGATATAAAGAGTAGAGAATTAGAAAAATACAGAAAGCATCACTATAATGATAGAATATTCTTCTTGTTTAAAATAAATGTATCAATTGTCGTTATTGATTGGTTCATCATTAAATGATCTCTCTATAGAATTGACTATTGCAAAAACAGCTCCATTTAGAATTACATTATATTATCGATGTGAATCTAATGATTTATATAATAATAACTTGTATAATCATATTCTTTTGGTTATAGTTGTGCTTAAAATTTAGTTGAGCGATATAATAGAATAGTTTGTTTATCTTAAGTTATCATAAAATCTTAGACTTTTGATTAAGACGATGTAGCATAATTACAGGATTTATTTTTCTTTTACTTTGAAACACAAACTCCCATTTTTTAAAATTAATTTATTTATGTATTAATTTTATGGATACTAATATTGATAATATTTATTCATTTATGCAATTTTTCGGGTAATGCCAGCTAATTTTTCAAAATAATTAAGAAATTAAATTGCACATTTAAAACGTGTATAAAATGGTATGATGAACAATTATATGTCTAAAGCCAAATTTTTTTAGTTAAATACCCATATTACAATTGTTTAAAAATAAACAATCTCTTTCTAAGAAATCAACAATTCTCTTTATATGCGCTTAAGATGTCATTATTATTTTTCATATTACATAATATATTAACAAGTTAAGAAGGCATCATAGTAAACAAGCCATGAACCCCCATAATAAATTATCAAGAATTATGGATTTAGTATTAATAGAACAAGTTCCAATAATATTGATTATTTTGATTCTTCAAAGCCTAAATGAAGTTCCATATAATACAAATTGTTGATTTTTATTTGAGAAATACTTTCTTTCCTTAAGTATTTTGACTGTGTTAGATTAAATTTGAATACAATAATAATAGATACAAATAATAAATTTATTAATCAGCCACTAATAAAATCTAAATAGAAATGAATAGCAAGTTAAAAGATGATTTTTAAATTGAGAAATAAAAACTTTAATTCATCTTAGCAACATATGAACTTAAAAAGTATATTGAGATGAGACGTACAAATTAGTTTAATAGATTAGATTGATTTAAAATAGAACATAAAATTATAGATAAATGAGTTAGAAAACCATTACTCTTCTAAATACACATAGTTTATCTATATTACTATGAGAAGAGATAAGCATAAGCATAGGCCTATTCTTATCAACTAGAAAATTTAAATATTTAATTTTCGACTTAGGTAAGTACTATAGTAATATTTTAGACAATATTAATGTTATAATAATATATGGGTGTAGGCTTGATTAGAAAATTTCTATAGATAAATAGATGTATTGGTGATCTCTGAATAGATTTATTCAAATAATTTAAATTAATAAAAACAAAAGAGAATATAATTTAACTATTTAAACTTGACAATTCTGAAAATTTGTCTCCTTCTAAATTTTCGTGAAAAGGTGTTCACACATCCTTAGGTTCTTCCATTTTTTATTATTTCTACTGAAGAATTTATTATGAACAATATTCTTATCTTTATATTTGTATAATATTTCTACAATAGTTCTTCTAGAAAATCGTAGTAATACATTCGAATTAAATGTTATTAGTCATATATTCACAAAAATTACTACAATATTAGATATATAATCATTCTTCGATGCCATCGTTTGATATAATACAAGACTCAATTGAGTTGATAATTTCAAATCTGACTCCGTTTATAAGTACATTGAATTATCGATGAGGATCTTGAATAAATATATATAATTACTTTTAGGATCGTAATTTTGTGGTTCAGAAGGGACCATTAAATTAACATGAGGATTATAGTTACTTTGTTTTTGGTTGGTTATTTTTTACAGAATTGAAGGATTTGAGGAATATTACGAAATAGGATTAGTATTCATCGCGCTTTGAATTTTTTTACTCGAATGGCAAATTCCCATAATTTCTAAATTTATGAAATTTTACTCTCGAGAATTAGTTTAAAAACTATGGAAATAAGGGATTAATACTGAGCATTTTAGTATACTTATTCCTTTTCCTATTTAAGTCAAATTTTCTATCAATAGTAAGTGGATACTTATTTTTTTTGGGAAATATTGATTGATATAATCATTCAACACCTCTATAATGCAATTTTCAGAGGTATTTATCAAAAGATATTTTTTGTCCTGATATCCTATTGCTTTTAATTTTGTTGGAAATTACTTTCAATTTTTGCTTTTTTTCATAATATTGTTGTCGAAAATAATCACATTGATAGTTTAATAGAAGAGATTTTAATTTGCCCCGTTCATGTCTAATATATCTTCAATATAAATGTTAATATCAATATTTTAAGAATATTTGATAAAGAAATGCTTTAATTGAAGCATTTTAATCCATTTTTTAATTGATTAGAAGAATTTTATTCTATTTTTTAATTGAATGATAAGTAATTATAATTAATTTTTAATATACCAGAATGATAATGAAATTATTTAATTTGAATTGTTGAGATATATATGGCATTTTAAACTAAGATAGAAATACAACAAAAAATATAATAATTGATAAATATTTAAAAAATGATTATTTATCTCTTAAATCTGAAAAAAATTGAGAGATTATTGAAAAATAAAAATGCAATTGTTAGATATTTCCAATATTGCTGCTTATTTAAAATTGTGTAATTGGTGACATAAATCGATTAAGTATAAACAAATCAATTCCTCTTTTATTAAAATTATTTTACATCAATCTTAATATTTGGAGTAAACTATTGTTGTTGTTGTTGTTATTATTTCCTTTTCTGCAAATATATATCGTCAAAGCAAGCTGAAGAATTGCTTTCATTTGGAAACTGTTTTTTCACTTAATTTACATCCCAAGGAGGTTTATAAACACTTGAAGCATTTGAACTATCAAGGTGAACCTAAAATTCTTTTTATACAATTGGTTTATATGCCAAACTATTTTTTGGAGATTACATATTTTGATTCACTTTTATAGTTACATTTTTTAATTGATCAGGCTTAAGTCTTTCTTTCTACTCTTGAAAATCAAAGTTGGATTATATTTATTACTTATCTTATTAAAGAATAATAGATTATTGTTAATATTTAATCTATTTAGTTTAAGGCGCAAAGTCTTATTATAATTATTATTTTTCTTAGCCTTAATATTCCATTCCACGACTTTAATAGCTTTGTTTCTACTACTAATATAGTAAAATAGAATTACTTATTGGTTATTTTGTTTTTCTATAAGTTTTTAATAGTTGTTTGTAAATATTTCTGATTTAGGTATATTTTTATAGGATGGACTAATTTGCTATTCTATTCTACTTTTCAAATTCATTAAATCTGAATTAACTTAGAATACTAATTCTTATTCTTCTTAATCATTATCAAATTAATAATTTGGATTTGAAACAACATCTTCATTTAGAGCCTAAGTTTTCTTGTCTTTAATTATTCGACTAAACTCTTTATTCATTTTTTTTTGTTCCTATCCACTATCAGTGTCAGAAGGAAAGTTTTTCTTCAATATTACATTATTCTTCCTGATATTATCTTATGATTTATTGTTGATAGGACTGGGAGATTTGCTTTTATCATCTAAATCCGTGAAATCTTCAGATGATGATTCATTTGCTTTTTTTTATCTTTGATTCTGCCTTCCTCTATTTGTTATTTGATTAATTGAATTATTGGTTCCAAAACTATCCATCATCGGGATATTTTAATGTTAAAACGAATTGGCTTGCTTATATAATTCAGTAATGTTCACTTCTTAAATTGTTGTGTTCTATGTAATGATATTAGACTTAAATCTAAAATCCTATCTAATTCTCTCGAATTCATGTTAAAAGGTCAATATTTTATTTTCTTTCTGAAGAAGGTTTTTGATTTCTTTAAGATTGTAAAATGAATTTACAGTAAACTTACAATTTGAAAGAAAATGTCCATTAATGTATAGACATTCATGGATCATCAAATTTTCATTGCTAAAAATCAAGGCTTTATTTAACAGTTCATAATTATCTGGTTCATGAAAGGTGAATTATCTATCATACTAAAATTTATTTGATGAAAAAGACCTATCTGGATGAGATGGGCCTATTTTCGATTAGCCCATTATATATTATTATTATTATACTATATTATTTTTAAATTAACCTGTATCCCATCTTTAAAGATATAATTAAATATGAATTGAATTAGAAATGTGTAATAAGCATTCAATCAATTAAGTGATTATTTTGCCTATTAAATTGATCAATATCCTTGATATTCATATATATATATATTAATTTAATAAAAACAACACAATAATGGCAGCAGTTCAAGTCTATTCAGATGCAATCAGAAAAACACTAGAAGCTACATTATGCTTGAGAGCATTCCCCTCAGAAATCATTGAAAAGCAAAGCAAACCAGAAATCGAATTGAATGGGTAATGATTTTCTTTCTATAATGTTTAGTTATTCATCAAAAACCAGACAACTAGTTCTGTCACCCATATATCTGTGCAGAAGTGAAAAGGAGAAATGTGTTATTGAGCCTTCAATTAATTCAACAAGAGTATTTCTAGATTATAGAATATATAGATCAGCTTCTCAATTAAGGCTCTAGATGAAGTAGATAGATTGATAGGTGAAAAATTTGCCAAATATTTGGCAGTCAGAGCCGATTATTTTGAAATTTTAAGAAGGAAACCAATTCCAGTAAGCTTTTATCTTAAAATTAAAGGGATATGACATAAGTTTCTTGATTTTGGATTCTCATTTAGAAAAATACAATGTTCAAGGGATTATTAATTTTATTATAGATTATGTGGAAAATATTGATAAGGATCTAAGTGACATCAAATTGAATATAAACACTTAAGCAAGAATTACGGCTGCTTGCTTTGTAGGAGGATTAGCAAATTAATGAGTATTAAATAAAAAATTATATATAATCAGTTGATCAAATTAGTAAAATAAATTTGAAATAATAAAAATATGAAAGTCCAATCATAAACAGACTATGACACCAGACCTACTTATGTTCCATAGAAAAAGAAAGAATTTTAATATCACACCAAATAACCAGAAATTAATGTTCTCCAAAACTATTAATCATAAAGCAATAAAATAGAATCCATTCCTGGTCATATTCGATCTAAATCATATGAACATGATTGTTTTACTAAAGCATAAAATACATTCGGAATCAACATCGATTAATCATAACTATAACCATTGAAAACTAAACGATAGCATAGCATATCCCAAAAAGAAAATGATCCTGGATTTTTATCTCCTAAATTCAGATTTGAAAGTTGTGACACTGTTGTTACAAGAAAATCATAGAAGTACTCTCATATTTATCATTTATATCAGTAGTTTCATTAATGATTTATAAGAATGCGTAGATCTCTCAAAAGTGACTGAATTATCAATGCAATCACAGATGTCTCCATGTAAAACTTACAGTGAATTGTATTAAAAAATTGAAGCCAAAGACAGTTTAATTGATGAATTATAAAAACAATTGACTAACACCTTAAAAAACATGACTTAATAGATTGATTAACTAAGAAATGAGAAGAATAAAGTTATTTAATAATAAATCAGATAAATTGAAATATACGAATAATAATTGGTGGAATCCAGATAAGAAATTTAATAAAAGAATAAAGAGTTATTGCTATTCAAAAAAAATCAAAAGGATATTAAAAAAGTTCTTGATTTCAGATAAGAAAAGTGCATTATAAATTGTACATTTTTAATTAATTTAACCTAGCTACTCCTTCAAACTTACAATCTAAAAAAGAGTGTATGTGTTCATAACTAGAAAGGGAAAACAAAGCCTTGTTAGCCAAAGTGGATTAATTCAGACAATAACTTCATGATCTCAAATAAAATCTTGAATTTAATAATCTCTCTATCAATAATCAAATTTCTGTGATTGAGAAATGTGACTTAACACAATTTGAAAAGACTTTTAAGCAATTAGCAGATGAACTTAATTTAACTATAGAGAGCAAGAATATTAATTCTAGTTTTAGTCTACTAAACCAAGAAGTTATAGAAGGAGTGAAAACACTAAAATAATAATTTAAAGAAAACGAAAAGTTTATTAGATGTTTAAAAGATTTAGTTATATAATGTGCGCCTCAAGATTATTTTTGCTAATCAGACCCAAGTTTGAAGGAAGTTTGGAAATTCATCAAATAGATTTTATAATCATATCTTGAGCATAAGAAATAAGCACAATTAAATGAAGTAAGATTTTCTTAATTATAAAAGGACATAGTCTTTACATTATGCAAATATTTTAGATGTACTAAAGGAGAATTGAATCATAAGGGAGCTTGTCTTATAGTTGATTAAGAGGTTTATTAAAGAATAATTGATAAAATTAAAAGAATATTAAATTTAACAAATTTAAGCAATATTAGAGAACTTGATCGAAAATTGGATTACTATTTACAATGAATAAGATTTATGATAATTTTGAAGCAGTTTGCTTATATTTTTATTTAATTCAAAATCATTTTAGTTTAATAATCAGTAATCATTTATTTTTAATCATTAAATTAATTAGTCTTATCTGAATTCGTAAGACAAAAGGAATTTAAAAGGTAATTATCATTAGGCATTCCCTTTATATTTTGGATATCTTTTATATTTTCTGATTTACAGAACATAGATTGATATTTATGAGTTCTACATAATTCATGTTGCCCTTTTTGAAAATCAAAACATTATTAATTTTTAATCAATTTATCAAAATAATAAACATTTCATTTTTGTTATAATTTATTTTTTTCTTCTAATTCGTTTTATAGTCTTTATTTTTCCTCACATAATTATGAAACTTGTTATGTTAAATCAGAAACGATATTTTACATCAATTAGTAATGCTCTTCAAGTTCATTAGCTCTTTTTTTCATTTCTTCTACATGATATTCCTCCTATTATTGCATTGTTTATTTTAACACATTATTTTCTTATTAGAGTTGTTGAGCTTTGACAGTGGAATTTTTCAAGTTTTTATTAGTAGAAATCACTATTTCTTGCAATTTTTTGTTTTCTGATAAAAGAACACTTGAAATATTATATGATTAAATTACTGCAATTTACTAATTGTTTTTGATTGGGAATCTTGAAATTCTTAAATTTATTTATCTTTATCTGCCACCGTCTATTTTAACTGTTGGTTTTATTATTTTAAGGAATTGATCTCTTTTTCTAGCTTTTCGTTAAACATAATCACTGCTTGTAATTAATCTGTGAGATATCTAACTTAATCTTATTTGGCATTTCCCACTTAAACTGACTTAACACTTCCGCTATCACTTGGTTCATAATAAATGGAAGATCTAAATTAGTACATTATAATGACAAAATAAGTCTTGTATAAATAAATTAATAAACTTAAATATTATTAAATTCATTTTGAGGTTAGTATAAGTGTGTAATAACTGATTAATTTTATTCATTTACTCCTTTCAATTGCAATAGAATTGGAACAGGCTGAATAAGAATGTCAAATTATATAGTATTTCTTATTTAACATCTTTAAGACTAATATCAAAGATAATAAATAACCCTCTGAGAATAAGAATTCTCTTTTGTAATTCATATTTTTGAATTATTTATGATCTTAAATTGTGTGAATACACCATTAGGAATATTTAATTTAAGTGTTCTAATTCAAAAAACAGGTACTTTTTTGGATAAAGGTAACGCATATTGTTGGTATTATGTTTGAAATGGGAAATAAGATTATTTGGGATTATTTAAAAAAAATAAATCATGAATGTCATATCATTTCATTAAATTAATATTATTTGAAGGGTATGTAAAGGAGTGATTGATTATGAGAATGTTAATATTTAAATAAATAAACGATGTTTTTATATTTACTATTACCTTCACTTTGTTTAGCTTAAAGATTTCTTTAAGCAGACGAGACTTGTTACGGTGTAATTTTGGATTGCGGATCTTCAAGCACAAAGACAACAATATATTCTTGGCCATGCAGAACTGGTAAAGTATATCCCCTAACCGACATCTATTAAGAAGTAATTGAATTAGAGAATTTGTTAGTCCCAATAACTGAAGACAAGTCCAGGGATATCCACAAAATATCCAGATGAGATCTCAACTTATCTAGCCCCCATATTTGATTTCATTAATTCTAAGGTGCCTGTTGCTCAAAAACAATATACCCCAATATTTATGGGAGCAACTGCTGGAATGAGGTTATTGGATATCAATAAATAAAATACACTTATAGATGAGATCAGGAAGCAGTTGAGTAAGAGTGGTTATTTGTTCGTGACTGACAGTTGGGCTAGAGTGATATCAGGTCAAGATGAGGTAATTGCAATTTTGATGTATAGGCCACATATCTTTGGTTGGGAGTTGAGTATCTTTTGGGTAAAACTGATGGAAGTTTAATCACCATAGACTTGGGAGGAGCATCAACCCAGATTGCATTTAAAGTGGATTACATGTAATATGAATCGGACATTGTTACATTGACATTGCCTGATGAAGACATTAATTTATATGCCATTTCTTATCTTGGTTACGGCAATGATTAAGCTAGAGATGCTGTTCTTGCAAAAAGCATAAGTGGAACTTAAGTCATTAGTCCATGTTATCATTAAGGATATACTGGAACTTGGACCTATTAAAAAGTCTAGTACTCCTTATCAGGAAGTGGGAGTGTGGAGCAATGTTAAGCTTTGATTCAATCTTTCATCAATAGCCAATGTAGAACAGTAGGCGATGAGTTGTGTGGAATCAATAGTATTGATTAACCTTCATTACCTACTTCCTATTCCATTTATGCAGTAAGTGGAGTAGCTACGATTGCTAACTTTCTTCAACTTAGTACATTCAAGGTAATTCTTAAGTAGACTTAACATAGTTACCACAATTATTAAGTTAAGCCTAAGCATTCTGCTAGATGAGCTGGTCCCAAGTGTAAGCCAATTCGACTTATTCTGCAAACCAATATGTAGGTACTAACTTTTTCTTATCACTCTACGTTCATTAACTATTGTCCGTCGGTTACAATATTCCAGACACTATGTAAATTTGCAGAATTAACTTTAGGGATATCAATGCTCCATTAGCAATTAACTCTCAAACGCCAACCTGGGCTATGGCTGCTGTGCAATATCAATTGGCTTAGATCGACTGCGATTTAGATAGTTCTGTTTGTCAAGGCTCTATTTTACATTTGATAGCATTCTTTTGCTTAATGGTATTTTATTGATGATAGTGTTTTTGAAACTATTATATTTTAAATGAATATCGAAAATTAATTAAGGGAAGATTACATTCATGATTTTCATACTTTTCTTAGAAAAAATGAAATGGCAACTAAATAAAAAGTTAAAGCAACTCTCATTCCTTCACCATGGCAACCCAACCATCCGTTTAGATTAGTTTGGGACATTATTTCGATGTTGTTTATAGTAATTCAAATGATGATCATACCTCTAATTTTATCCTTCGAGATAGTTGATGAGAGAACGTCCTTATTCATGGAAATAATGGATGATTTCTTCCTAGCGGATATTCTTATTCAATTCAATTGTGCTATCTATATTGATGGTAAATTGATATTAAAAAGATCAAGCATCATTTGCAATTACCTGAAATTCTGGTTTTGGTTGGATCTAATTAGTTCATTGCCTTACGATTATTTTGTTGAAGTAAATATAAGCATTATGTTAGGGAGGCAACGTGTAAGTGATTAGAATGTTGAGATTCTTTAAGTTTCTTAAAGTAATCAAAATGATTAAAGCCTTTAAATTGAAGCTCTTGATCAGAAGATTGGAGACATTTCTAGGAAATGACTTCTCGTCCTTTATGGAATTCATCAAACTAACTTTTATAATTGTAGTGTTGGCTCATTGGAGTGCTTGTATATTTAATTTGACAAATCAAGACGACTATGATTACTTAACATCCTTCTATTTCACGTAAATGTCAAAATAGATTATGTAGAATTACCACTATGATCACTGTAGGCTACGGAGATGTTCATCCATAGACTGCCGAAGAATAAATTTATGCTATTTTCGCAATGATTTTGGCTTCAGGTGTTTTTGGATATGCAGCAAATAGCATGATATCCATTTTTCAATATCAAGATCCATAATTATCAGAATTGATCATGAAACAATAAATCATCAATAAATACACGAAAGCCCATGGTTGCGCGAGTCATTTAAGACTTAAAATTCAAAATTATTTGGAATGGGTAGTAGAAAATGATTATGAAGTAAGATCCTCATTAATCATTTGCGACCTATCTGAAGAATTAAGAAACTAAGTCATCACTCAAATGAACCTCAGATTCTTCAAAACACTCCCTGTCACAATGACTAGAGCCATCAAATTAAATGAATATAGTATCTTCTATTCAATATATTTAAGTACTTCCGCCAGAAACTAAAATTGATGACCAGCATCATATTTATTACATTATTCAAGGTAAAGTAGCAGTCATGGCCAATAACATACATCTTGGATACGTAGAATAATGTTTTGGAATAGTTAATTTCTTTTCTAATATTGAACGAACTGCTGAACTCGTAACTACTGAAACTACTAATTTAGTCAAGTTGTCTAGGTAACAATTCTTGCAATAGTTGAATTACGAGCAATTCTAAAAATTTCATATGATAAAACAAAGACTAGAAAATAATGATTATCTAGATTTAGATATCAAATGTTTTGGTTGCAAACGAAAAGGCCATGTAATTAAGTATTGTCAATAATTCCATTATATATCATAAAGATTACGGAGACCCAAAACGAAATTCTTAAGAACTCGGAATTAGAAGTAAAGAACTATATATAATCAATTTTTAATTGAATATTACTAAATGATGTAAGCAAGAAAAATTAAATCTTAAAAAATAGTCTTTTAAAAAGAAGAGATTCAGTAACCTATGAATTAGAATGTTGATATTGATCAAATCAAAAATTATATTCATTTTGACCCTGAATGGAATATCAATGAAGTTTTATAAGAGTATCGCTTAAGAACAATTTATCGATATTGCTAAGTTCTGATAAAAAAGAACCTAAAGTTCTTAATTCGTTAGAGCCACTAAAAGTGTAATAATGTAAAACGATTTCGTTTGAAGACTGAGATCAAACCAAAGTATATAGATAAATATAAAGATGAAAAAATGTAACACAAGATAATGGATTGAAATACAGTATCATTGTTAAAATTATGATTTGTTTTTTAACTTTCTCTCGAGTTAAGGAAAACCAATAAATACAGCAGTTATATTGTCGAAGGTTTTCCTTTATAATGACAATCTCATTATGGCTTCCACAGCCTTTCCTCCAAAAATGTGAATGTTTGTTGTTTGCACATTCCAAGCGCATTATATAACTTCTTCACTACTCATTTTGTCATAGATACCATCACCTTAATCAAATGAAAATATTACATGCTAAAATCAAGAAATCTTAATCCGTGATTTATAACTAAAATATATCTGGTTCTGCCGAAATGACATTAGGAATCCCTCCATATTTAGTTAATTTTGCTTCAGCATCTCCAAATGTTCTTGAAACCGCTAATCTTCCAGGTAAAACTCTATGTGGTCCTAATTAAATTTCTCCATTTAATTATTAAAGTTATGTTTAATAAATTTATCCTCCAAATTTACTTATCCTTTATTATTCCTCATGAGTAGAAGGTTTGTGATCAACTGTTATTGATTTCCCTTTTCCCCCTTAGGAGATTACTGCCCTTGAATCACCTATGTTTGCCACATAACAATTGTTATCAACAAACAATGCAAAAACTGCACAACATCCTGATTTATCTAACACTTTCTGATCGGCCATTTCTAAGTATGTTTTCTCAGCCTTCGAGACTCCTCTTTCTATTGCAAGTCGGGGATTATTGGGAAAACAATCCTCTTTGATAATCTACTTCATATCATTATTTTACATATTGATGTAAATTGTCTCTCATAAAGTCTGCACATTATGGTCCTCCATGACCATCATAAACTGCGAAAAATGAACTCTAAGGCCAATATCCTTAATTAGTGTTAGAATTTGGCCTCATTAAATTTAATATAATTGAAACTCTGTCTTCGTTATATTATCTCACTAGGCCTTAGTGAGTATTTGCCGCATATGACGCTACAATCCCTATATTTTTTTGCGAAATTTTTGATGGTTCCATTGCAGGTAAGCTTTCTAATGGAAGTAAAGGCGAATTATTTCTTTGTTATTATTTGCTTTTAGCGACAGTAGGTTACGATTATCTTGATCTCAATATTTCTTTTCTTAATGGAGGGAGGACTGTTGGATCATCTTGTTTTGGTTAATCTAAGCTTACATTTACTCTTTTGACTGTGCATTTTGGTTACGTTTTCTGTGTAGATAATTAAAAATAGGAGTAATCTTTGACTAAATATTGTTGATTGTAATTTTACTTTTATTCGAATCATCAATATAACTTGATTTAGTCTTGCTAATCTTAGAAGATAATTAAGAATTCAAGGCTTAAGCAGCTACATAATATTGTGATCTAATGTTTGGTATTCCTTTAAGTTGTTGTTATTATTATTTCATTATATAAATTATATTAACTTGAATTAATTCATTCAAATTCTTCTGATAATTTGTCCTCATCCCAAATACCCACTATTTCAATATTATTAACGCTCATCTTACCATATCCATGTTTTAACCCATTTCTAAATTCTCCTTCATAGATTTGATTAACTTCCTTCAGAATTCCCATTCCATGCATCTTATTTTGAAAAAAATCACCTACATATTATATTCTTCATACCCTTGTAATACATTCCATTAGGATATACTAAATACCCTTTACCATTTAATTAATTTTGCAAAAATTCTCCTTCGTATTCCATCCCATCTGTGAATCTAAATATGCCTTTGCCTTCCATTTAGTTATTCCTAATATCTCCATTATATACAGCATCGTATTTCAAATTCTTTATTGTTCCTTTCCCATTCATAATTCCAAGCTCAAAATTACCTTCATATTATTCTTCTTTCTCTAAATCTATCATTGTCCCTCTGCCATGCAGAGTATTACCTGAAAATTACCCAAAAAATTTAAAATTCCCTTTAATTATTATTTTATCACTTACTATCTAATTGTTTTCCCACTTTCCTTCCTTTAAGTTATTATTATTTTTACCATCAAGAGATTTGGTTCTAATTGTCTGCCCCATCCCTTTTTATTGTCAGACTCGAAACCTCCTTCATAAAATTTATTATCCTACATCAACACTCCATACCCATGCTTCTATTCATTCAAATTAAACCCTAAAAAAAAGTAATCTTATGATTTGTCTTCAATCTCTTCCAAATCAAAATTTTATGGTAATTTTTCAGGAGAATTATAAGCTCCATGTCTTTAAAACATTTCTTTAACCCAATTTGGAAAATCCTCATCCATTTTCAATTTTCGATAAATGTATGTTGGCTAATCAATTACTTCAGTTTCACCTTCACTCTAACTTACGCTACTCATTATTGATCTTCCTAATCTTCTTGCTGGAATACTACCACCCATTCAAACTGAGAATATTAATTTAGCTTATAATTAATTATTCTACTCAGAAAAATATTATTGTAATCAAAGTTTATTCAAATCAAATTCAAATCACAAGTGAATAATAAATTCTATTTATCTTGCTGTCAGTTCATAATAAATACACACTAAAAGTCAATTAACCATTCTTTAATATTTAAGATTTTATAAAAAAAAATGTCCATAAAATAAAGTTCGATATAAAAATTGATACAGAAAAGATTTAAATTATATGTTATAACTTCATGATATTCAGTTGATGTTTATTCATACATTCTTTTAATAGTATGATCCTAAAGGGTAGTTTATAAATAGTAAAGTTGCTTCATTTTCATCAAATTAGCAATCATCTAATATTAAGCCTTACATCCTACTAATAAAAAAATTTTCATTATATTATTAGGAAAAGATTGTTTGATTTAAACCTCCAATCTTCATTTCTATATTGTTTAGATTACGATCAATATATATTAGAACCTTCTCTCTATCGTTTAATGTAATTTCAGAAATTATTTCGAAAATTTAAATTAAAAAGATTCTTAATTAATGTAAATATTGTGAGATATACATTTAATCCTCTTTGGCTTAGATTTCAATTACAATATTTGGAAAAAATCTACTTTAGTATATTCTTACGATTTTATTTACAAGTTTATTAAATTCAATTTTCTTTATAATTAATTTATTTAAATAGAGCACACTAAATGCTCCTAAATTAAAAATTTTTTAATGATAATAAATTTATTTTGATTTTAAAAACTCTTTTAAATTTATTTTTTCCTTTTCTTAATTTATGAAATTAACTATTTATTATTGAAATTCTTAAAATATAATAAGATATTGGCGATGTTGTGGGTCAATAGCACAAACCTTTATTATAAATCTAATTTTCTCACATTTAACAATTAAAATACACCCTAATCTGATTAAATCAGGCTTATTTAATAATACTTCCTCTAAACTTCCCTAATCCGATTTGTAATTTCTTAACATATTTCTTATGTTGCATCCATGACATATCTCATCAGTATAACCTGGAAATTGTTTGATTTGATTTTAACTTATAAATTAAAATATCTGTTGATCTTCGTAAAATTATATCTTAAGATATGGTTTACTTAGCAAAAATTTACCTAACTGTCTTAGATTATTCTCCTTTAGGTTTTGTATGAAATATCTTCTTGCATTTTTATCGTTCACATAAATGGTGATAAGAATTAGAATACATCCAAAGGCTCCAACAAAAAGAGCTAAATAATCAGGTCGCTTCGAATAGATGGACGTAATTGATGTTCTTATTGCCAGGCTAAGAATTACTTAAAAAAATGCATGATTGAAATTAGAAATCATAAATAGCACTGCTTGAAATTACATAAAAAGACACCCGTAAACATAAAATTCAGTTTGAGTTGTATTTTAAGGGTCAACATTAAGTTACAAAAACCCTATTGTTATACTGCTAAGGGTTAGCCCAATTTAAATAAATTGAAGCTGCTTTAGTATTAGTACTATTATAACTTAAATTATTGTCAAACCAATTAATATAGCATTTATATACCAAGTTTCTGATGGTCTAACAAAAATATGCAGACCCAATACTGTAATATTTGAACAGAAGGAAAGAAAGAGAATAAATAAAAAAACAGGCTTTTTTATTGAGTTTGCTTTGTCTATCTAATATTTCTCCTCTAATTCTTTTTCATCAAACTTCAACTTGAGGTCATTAAAAAATTTCATTTAATTAAAAACTCAATTTATTAATTATACAAAGCAATTTATGGGTATGAAAATAACAATTAATAATACTAAATAGATATTTCTTAATATTTATTTAATAGGTCTTAGCACTTGCATTTCAAAAAGAATTTACTTATTTTGCACATAAAGTAAAGCAAATTTTAATCATTACTTATTATCTTTATGCTTCGGTTATCTTCTTAAGCATGAGCCAATCATTTATAAAAAAGATTCAATTAGTAATTATATTTTTTATTTTATTAATAATGGATAGCATAGAGACATTAATACAATATTTGAAAAAATAAATCTAAGAAGTCAGAAAAAACTTTGACAATATCATCGATATAATATAAGACGCTAGTAAAAAAATTAGTGAATTCAAAATATAATTTAAACCAACTGAAAAGATAAATGAATTTTGGAATAATTTAGCAAAAATAGATGAATGGATTAAATAAGGGAATGAAGTAACCAAACAAATGAATGATTATAATATATTAAAGGAATGGCAATAATAAATACAAAAATCCAATTTCTCTGATGGTAATGATAAATAGATGAAAGAATTCATTAAAAATTTAGAATTTTTATCTGGAGGTTAGATACTTGAAATCAATTATGTAAATCCTCCAGAAAGTAATGCTGCCTTCAAAAAAGAATATGGAACACAAAAAATTGATTTGGAAAATAAATTCAGAAATATAATAGGTTATTAAAGAGTAAGAGGGGACGGAAATTGCTTTTATACATCCTTTTTATATTAATACTTGAATTTATTACTATCAAACTCAAAAAATAGCAAAATAGAAATAAACAAATTTATCAATAAGGTTGATGAATTAGAATTAACACTATTCTTTAATGATTAGTCCTTGATAAAAATTTAAATTGAAAATGAAATAAAAAAGTACTTTAAATACATTTTAAAACAACTGGTATAAAACCCTTCTGATTTACTAGAATATTTTTCAAAAAATAACAAATAATTTTATGTTTGTTCAATAATAATTTTTAGAAACATTGTTAGACAAATATACAATTAGAAAAAAGGCTATATAGAAAATTTTCTTTACACAGACATAGAAGAGGAGATCATCACTTGGTAAAAAGAATGTAATTCTAATCAAGCTGTAATTTAACTTCTCAGTTAAGAATTAGACCTGTAAATTTGAGTTTTTATTAATTTAGTTAAGTTAATTTATACTTTTTCAGAAGAGACGGAGTTGAACTTGAAATATATAATTAAAATCAGAATTTATCATAAATTAATCTGCTCTTTAGGCCAGGACATTATTAGATTGCCTTATGCTAAAATTCCTAGTTAGAACGCAATCAAAAATAATTTGAAAAATAATATTGAATTAAGATATGTGAGAAATCGTTTTATAGCTTATTATTTAATACATAAATAATAAATTTATAAGAGTTTTACTTTCAATTAAAAACATAGTAATTATACACTAAAGTTAATGCAATAATAAAAAAAGAAGTATATCTTAAGTTAACCATTAATAATAAATACGATTTTATTGAAAAGAATTAAATTGAAACAAATTATATGTTTTTTTCAAACTCTTTTTTTTATTGCCATTTTATTTATAGCATAGTTTTGATTATTTTAGCATTAATTTTCTTTGTTATTTTAATTTTTCATACTTTTCATTTGTTCTGATTGGTGTATTATGCTTTTTAGTTATGTTATTCCTAATTTCAAATTATGATACATACTTTAATTTAAAGTTTATTTTAACTATTTTACATCTTATTATAATTCTTCATCTAAATCGAATGTTTATGCATATATATTGATATTAATATGTTCTGTCTTTGAGCAATTTCTTTAGAGCTTAATAGGAGAATCCTCAACATCTTCTTCTGCAATAGCTATTAGAATTAAAAAATGAAATACGTTAATCAGCTATGTATAATGACATTTTTTTATTTAAATTCATCATCGCAAATTCATTAGTAATAGATGTCCTTAAGTTATTATAGTAATTAATTAAATCAATAGCTTATTTTGATAGATTCTTGGAATGCCCTTTCTTTTTTTGCATAATTTAACGAATATTTATTAATAAATCATATAAAATAATACCTCTTCACACTGTAATCTTCAAAGTCCTTAGATCCTTCCATAACCTAACTCATAATGTCTGCTGCTCCAAAGCAGTAACTCATGCCCCTTGATCCATGACCTGCATTTATAAATACGTTTTTGAATCCAGGCACTTCACTAATAATTGCAACATCATCTGGTGTTAAAGGTCTGAAACAACTTCTAACAGTGAAGTCATTCATTTTAAAATCGAATCCATTTTGCTCATTGAATCTATTTAATATTTAAATAGCTCCCCATTCGCTGCTTGCATCACTTGATGGCGTATCATTGCAAACCTCTGCACATCCTGCTAATCTTAAATGCCCATTTAGATTTGTTGCAAAATAATTTGGAGTATTTAAAGTGAATTCTTTAACTAAAGTCTAATTAAAATTTTCTGGTGCAGTTCTTCCCATGGCCCACCCTTTTGCTGGGACTATTGGAAGGTTAAGTCTTAATTTTTGGGCTAACTATTTGCTTTTATGTGCTAAACAAATGACAAATCTATCTCCTAAGACGATTCTTAAAATATACCGTATAAATATACCCTTTATTTGTTTGAATTCCTCTGACATTTTTATCTGGATCTAAGACAAAATTTTGAGCTGAAGTCTAAAATGCAATTGCAAATTAGTTTGGAAAGTTTTCCTAACAATACTTTAACATGGATTATGTTAAGTCTCTTGTTTCCAAATTGGATTCAGTAGTTAATATCAAGGCTTTCTTAAATCTATTGAAAAGCTTGAGATTTGGTTCTGTTTTTAAATCTGTTTTTGTGAATTATTCAATTTATTCAAAGGATTCAACTTTAATATGAGGGATTCCTAACAACTCTAACCTATCTTTATAAGCATTAACTTTTTAATCTGAAGCAAAAAACCCCAATTATCCTTTTGCGATTAAATGTCCTTTGAGTAATCCTGTTGGCTTTAATTTTTCAATGTCCTGCAAAGTCAATGATCCAATCCTCAATTACTTTCTTGAATTCTCTATCTAGGCATTGCTAATTAGATAATTTTATTATAATACTCCGTCATACTTAATAGTAAACTATTAATTCCCCACTAAATAAAATTGTCCTCTAAGAATCCATTCATGTTAAATCTAACAGTAGTTAACTCTGGTTTTTCGAATATATTCTTGATCATATAGATTAAGTTATCCTTGCAATAATAAATTATGAATTACTCTTGTGACAAGGGGTAAAAAGTACATTGGATTAAAAACATTACCATTAAAGGCACTGCACTCCGAAGCAACAGTATGAGCTTATTCAATGACAGTTACATTATACCCCATTCTTAATAGTTTTAAGGCTTATGAGATTCCAATTATTCCTAAAATGTAAATCAATATTACCTCCTCCCAAGACTACTACTTTCTCTTTATTCTTTATATTATTAACACTATTAATGGGATGTGCTATTAATTATGAATCTTTGGATTTGATCATGTTTTTCAATGCTAAATCATTGAGCTATTCTTTAGTGAGGAAGATATTTGATAAATATTCTCTATATTTTCTTCCTTAATCGAATCCGTAAACTCCAATAGCTGCTCCAGCAATTATTTTAAATAAACTAAATCTATGCTTTGGTTCTTAATTGAGAGTCGTCGTAGAAAACCCAAATTTCAAAATCTTACGAATCATTATAATTTTATTTATCATAGTTCATATTAATAAGTGAATATTACGATATCTATTTGTATCATATAAAAATGATTGAATTTCATATAATTAGAAGATGAATGAAACTATTTGCTGCACCATCATAATTTAAAGTAGTTTTACTTCTTTATAATTTTTAATATATTATTTTCAGATAAATAATATAATGTATTAACAGAGATTTGCAGCTTCTAATAAAATGCAACAGAAATCATTGTAGGAATACGATATTAAACCTGTAAAGAATCCAACTAATCAGGGAAGGTAGAATATCCAACAAGTTTAATAAATCTACAATCTTTAACAAAGGAATACAAGTGGAATGCAAAATGAAGATGGATAAAAGGGATTTTAAATTAAGGTGTTTTAGAACTCAACTAAATCTAACTTAGATTCAAGGTCTTCATCTTAGTAATCTAAACAAGATCTTTCTCTTTAAAAAAGGCTATTCTCAGGACTTGAGTTAGACTAATCTTTTTCTAAAATAAACTCTACTACTTTCTAGGAACAATAAGCAAGTCCCAGGAATCAAAGCGATATTATACAAATCAAACTCTTGAAACCTTTAGATTAGAAATTCTTGAACTTTATCCGAGAATATGGGTATATAATGGGGGATTTGCCTCATGATAACTAATCTTCTTTCACTGTAAGCACGATGGAACGATCTAGGTTGCTTTCAAACGAAAGATAAATTGTTTACAGCACATCTCCTCCACCTTCAAAAAGTATGAAATAATAATAATTCTTTATAGCTTTTCGAACAAAACTCTTTAATCATGTTAATTGATAATTATATTTTAATTTATCTATAATTATAGTTATTAATAATGTTACCCTTATTCAAAGTTTTCTCATTGATTGTGAGGGTGTTTGCAAGACCAGTGATTGCCAGAACAAAGGCTGCCCATTTAAAGAAAGCTCAATCAGGACACACAAATTGGGTGAAGAAATTTTATGTTCGTTTAGGAAACTTTTAACATAAATGGGACGTAATGAAATTCTGAAATATAGTAAAAAATAGACAGCAAATTTATGGGTATTGATAAAAAAAGCAGTGATTTTTTCTTTAAGCCTTTGAATGACGAGGTGGCATTAGAAAAAGTAATCTAAATTAATAAGTTTGCAAGGGAGTGGAATTCTTTTACGAAATCCTTATCTATGCATTGTTGATAACCCTTCCAACATATGAAATGTATACTGCATAATAAGACTCCAAAAAAAAGAGTGACTAAAATAATGAAAAATTAAATGTAAATCAATATCTAAGGTAGAATTTGATGAAATAAATTGATGAGAATAAATAACATTCCTAGGCCAACATCTAAAAATTAGAGGAATAAGATTAAATTAGATAGGAGTTAATGAAATAACTAAACGTCATTTCAATCTAATCTTTTGCATAATTAGATGATTTATCAAAGGTTTTATCATTATTTAATGATAGAATTGGAATCTAAAAACCCATCAATTGATTGAAGAAAATCAAAGATTAAAATAAGAACTAGAATAACTAAAATTGAAGTATTCTAAAGATGAAGACTAATGAGTTTAAAGATTATATATATCTACAATATTCCATTACAGGATCTCCTGTTTTGCTAGATGGACAACAAAGAATTGTCATCTTATTTATATATTAAGTATAAATAATTTTACTCATCTTCATCCTTCTAGTAATGATACATTAATTGGGAATAGAAGTAGAATTTTTCCTATAGATTCATCTAATTATTTAATTATATATAAATGGCAAAATCATAATGGAGGGTTTAAATTGATTAATTTAAGGAAAGAATAATAAATTTTTATATCCTAAATGAATTTGTTAATAAGTTTTAATAAAGGAAAATACTCTAAATACAAAAGAACTTCTTTGTAAACTAAAGTGACATAAACTATAACATAGATAAATAAGAATCTAAACCTATTGACTTGGCTAATATATTTACATAAAAGTGATTTCAAAAATAATGAGATCAAAATAGAGGAGAAGATTTGGATCCAATAAAGTTTAGTTTTTACTGTAGACTTTTTTCATAATTAAAGATAGATTTTAGGCACTTTTAATAAGAAAAATAGTATATTGCTCCATCAATAATTTGACTTAATATCTATTTTGGATTTTAAAGGTCTTGTGAAAAGAATTTTTGCTTTTTTTTAGTTTCTATTACCAAAATATAATTATGATTTTAATTAATATAATAAACGATCCCTTTGTACTAAAATGATAAAATATCATTAAAACTTATCATTAGATTTGATTATCACATTTAACTATTTTCAAAATTTAAATGAGCTAAACTCTTGAATTCTGATAAACTAATCGGACGAGGACAGGCTTTTTAATGTTACTTACAATATTCACACTCATCAGGTAAATATTCTTCATCCAAATTTTCTATCTTTTTATCTTTATCTTTATACCATGGTATTCTTGATAAACAACCTTCTCTATGAAAATGAGCCCCTTTTTATAAACCATAAACTAGTACCGTGTCCTAAAATTGGTTTTCTATAAGCACTACAACCAAAACAAAATTCTGTCAAACACTTTGCACAAGCGACATGTTCACAACCTTCATTTTTCATATATATTTCAAGACATCCAGGACAACAACTAATCCTTTCATCCTATAAAGCCAATTTTATTTCATCTAGGCGTTATGGACATTAAGAATCACCATGATCTATTTATCTAATTTATTATATTGAAAAAATGAATTTACTTGCATACGCAACAAATCTTAGTAGAACAATTTGGACATAGCAATTCATTTTTATCTTCTGGTGGTATACCTTTTATATTTGCTTTACAATCTTATTTCGGACAGATTATATCTACTATTCCATGTTTAATAGTATTCACTATCAACATATCAAATTCCTCAGCAGTCAAAGCATCTTTTATCTACTAATGATCAATTATATAGTCGCAAGGTTAATGAGTTTACCCATCACTAGATTGAATTGGACATTGAAAATATTTATAGTTCCATTGTATTGAATTAAATTTCACCTTTATTTAATTATAATTTATTTACTTTTATCCAACTTTCTAAGCAAAAATTGCAAAGCTTATGATCATCATGTAGAGTTCTGATTTCATCAGGTTGCTTGTATTCATAGCAGCTTGTACATTTAAATGTCTTCTCAACAGAAACAACGCTGTGTTTTTCACTTTAGATTTCAGAAATCTTGCTTTAGTCAAAAATCTCAGGAATTATATTATTATCACCTTGTTTTCTAATCTAAGAATTTTATTTGATCAATGGAGTAAATTTTAAACTATCTTTTTATATTCTAGAAGATTTATAAATTTCTGATTGTACCTTACGTGATGTCGCACTCTAATTATATATGAGAGAGGCTTTTTAAAAACTTAACATTTCTTCCAAATTCACTATGCCACCTTCGCGATTCTTTTAAGATTCAGTAGTTGTAGTAAGTTTTTTATTAATAATTTCACTTTTACAATAATTCTATTTTTTAGGATAATGTTTTCCACCAACCTCATTGTTTATAGGCTGATATTAATTATTAACCTCATTGTTTATAGGCTGATTTTAATTATTAACTTATTGTTATGTAAATTATTATTAGTTATCAGTTTGAAGAAACTAATCAAAATCATCATTTTAAGGCACATCGTTGTCTATATCTTTAGGCTTAATCCAAACTGTCAAATTTTATTTGCTTTTCTATTAAGTTTAAATTGCACTCTATTGAAGGACTTAAGATTAGAGTTACTTATAATCATTTATGATCACTTGCATTTATTCTCTAATCATTGTAATTTAGGAGATGATGATATTTTCGACAACCTATTCTTTTTTTTTCAAATTCTCTTCGAAGTTCTTTACAAATTCTTATTGGGCAGTGAGATCAAATTTCAGCAATTAAAATAGCTCTACACTATATTTTATAAATTATTGATTTATATTTATAGGTTGTTGATCTGCAATAAGAGTCTAGGTTTCTCCATGATTTATAATCTATAATATCTTAAGAATCCATAATTTATTGAAATTACAAAAATCCTCCATGACCTGATTTAGTATATTGCCTAGGATTTATGATAAGGAATTTACAATGGATTCCTGTTGCTATTGTTTTTTATTAATCATATTTTAAGCATATAGAATATCTTGATTGGATGCTAAAATTCTCACATAGATATTGTTTTCAACATTATCTAATAAGAAAGCTACAGCTTTATCCTAATTTTATTCTTAATGAATTTTCCTTTGTATAAGACCATTATTTTTTGTGTCAAAATCATTAATAAAAACATGGATAGGATAATTTAGTGAATCCGAAATGGCTATGACTACATAATCTTCCAAAATAAAATCATTCTATGGACTATTTTCCACAGCTGCATCAGTACGGAGTTATAATAATCTGTTAACAATTTGTTGCCTACTTAACTTATCTATCTATGATTTGGTTACCTAAGATTCAGACTTCAGATAGAAACTCAAAACTATACCTATTGACAATTAAAATAGAATGTTGATCTTATCTTTATCTTATAAAAAATCGTATATTTTCTTTCTTTTATTTTTTAAGTATTCTTAAACTATATCTATCTTCTCAATAGATAATTAATTACCGTAAATTTCTATAAAATCAAAGGGTTTCAATTCATCCAACAAAACCTTAAAATGGCTTATGTAGTGCTGAAATTGATTTTTTATGAGCTATGATTGAGTTTAATCATCCACTATCTATTAAAACTACTTTTATATATGGTCAAGCTTCGTTAATTGTTGCCAGCTTATTATTATATCAAAAATATTAGCAATCATCAAAGCTGAAAGGAATTTAGATTTTTCTTTGAAAGCATCAGCAGGCAATTTATATTGTTCTGAGCATAAAGGAAATTTACAAAGGAATTAGTTCCATATCTCAATTGGTATATTTTGTTTACGATCTACAGATAAAGCTGTTTATTAGTATTCCATTAATTTATAATACCCAATTTATATATATTTTAATATATAAGAATCTCACATGATATGTAAAACGAAAAAGATGAATTATTTGTTATTTATTTCTTATAGATTAATGAGAAATCTCAATTCTCTCCATCATATGAATTGATTTTGTTAATAGAATTAAATTTTTTTGTTTTGTTTATAAATGATTAAGCAACAATATATGATCCAATCGTTATTAAAGTTGAAGTTATTAATATTAATTACAAATTTTTAATGTGCATATTTTAGGTTGATGTAAGATCACTTTGTAAAAAATGTGCTACAATATAAACTCTAATTACTCTATCATTTAAGTAGATTATGTGAGATTTACTTCAAATAAATATCATAATTGAATACACTGTACTTTCTTTTTTAATTCTTTGTTTATATACTTAACTTATAAATTGAGAAGTATTATTTATATTATAATTAAATAATCTATATCTAAATATTTTTGAAATTTAATGTTAAAAATATTAATAATTTTGTTATTATTATTAATACTTATACGACGGACTTTCATACAAATCTAATTATATATTAGGACTTTTACTAAGTTCAATTTTCTTACAATTATTTTCAAGATTTTGGCTATTAGTTTCAAAAACTCATAAATGAAAATATAAATTTATTCTATTGGAAACAACAGCAATACTCAAAAATTGAAATGGGATTTAATATAACAATAATTTCAACTAAATGCGATTGGGTAATAAAATATAAAATATTCTCAATCATCTGAACTTTTATAAGTGAAGTTTTGTGAAACTTCTGCTCTTTTCTATTAAAATTGCAACAACTCTTCTTTAAATACATCTCTCAATCTTGCCAAAATTCTATTTTGCCTATCTATCATTTTTTTCTAAAAATCTTCTGATTCTTTTTCTAATTTTTACACATCTTCTATGACATTCTATATTTTTTTCATAACTTGTTCGGTTTCATTATTATATTGCTTTGCTCTTTGTACTTCTTTATCATTATTATCATTAATTTATATTAAGTCATTATCTTCGCTTGACGAAGTAGACTCCTTCTTTTTATAGATATTATGGGCCTATTTTTATTGTTATACCATTTCCTCTAGTGGTCCTCCCCAATTAATTGCTAAGATAAATTGAAACAGTACAATCAGATTAAGGCATTTCCTTAGCTAGAACCAACACTATATCTTTATTTGTCAATATTGTATTAGGTTCTGGATTAGTGCAAATGTATGGCACCTTATTATCTGTTGCTCCTGCGAGCCTATATAATCCTAAAGGAACAATTTGTTTCATTTTAACTAAATGATAAAATAATTTTTAAAATGGTTTATTTTAAAATGCCTTAGGAACTGGGATTTGGAATAGGTTGCTTGATATGTCTTTATCTTCAGAAATAAAGTCTTTCGATTGATTCAATCCCTTGCTCTGATATTGTAACATAGCTCCTGTTTTTTCATTTTCCTTAATATTCCCCACCAATAATTGATATAACACTTACACCAAAGCAGGATTGTAGAATGACTAGCACAGAAGACCATCCATCACTGAAGAGAAATAGATTTAACCAGATGCAAATAATGGTGTATGATTATAACCATACTGCTTCATTAAATCGTAATCTTTATCAAATAGCAGAAACTAAATGTTAGAGGGCGATACAAATTCAGTAACAATTTAAATGTGAGGTTTTAATCTAATGATATTTCTATATTTGAATATGGTTTTTGCATCCAGTAAATCTTCCTGATCCTTAGTCAATTGCTATTATTAAATTATCTGATCATTGTCCTAAGAATCATCCTCAAATTTGGCAGTAGATATTTCTTTTGGCGATAAAATCACAACTCTAATGGCTTATTCAATATTGGCTCTTATTAAATCTCTTTAACTCATGGCTGTACCTTTAACGAAATATATTTCTGGGAAATAACAAATTTGAGCCCATTATTTTTCACTTGGTTCCTGATCATTTAAAATTACAATTGGAGGATAAGTAATTAAGTATTTAGATCTAAGTGGCAATATAAAATTAATTAAATTTGCTACTAATCCACAAAGAATAACATGATTTTAAGCCAGAATTGAGTCTTATAATGTTTTGAAGGTGACATCTTTGAGCCCAACTTTTTCATTAGTTAAATGACTGGTCTTCTCAATTTTATTATTGTTAAAATCAAGTTAAAGCCAATTTCTGGCTGTATCTTTTTAAAATTTTTCTTTGATCTGCATCTCTGCAATGTCCTTTTATTGGTCATCACTATTTTCATCAATTTCTTCTAATTGATCAAACTTTTCATTTTCTTTTGGATGGATGAGAGTGTCTTAACTTGGATCGAACATGTCTGTTTTAACCCAACCTCTTTGATTTTTAAGATGCAAAACAACATTTTTTGAGTTCTCATTTTTGGCACCATTTCCTTTCTTTTAATCTGGTTCTGCTTGGGAGAATCCAAAAAGAGTTTTCACATTTTGGAAAATGGTAGGTCTTCTCGGTCGAATGTTAACTGTTTCTTCTGATTCTAATAATCTTCTGGTAGTGCCATCTGATTTAATTTGATTCATTTTATCTTGATGACTTTATTTGTATATGGAAATTTCATCTGCTGTTTCTTTATCTTTGCAAATGATGTATCCCATAACTCTGTAATTTGGATTTGATGGCAAAATGATATCTCCAGGATTCAATAGATTTTTCTCATAATCATTTGGAGAAGATATCTCAATTCCAAATAATATGACTTGAAACTATTTATATAAAATTAAGACAGTTTGAGTAAATGATTTGCCTCTAAAAAAATTAGGAAGCAAGGTTTTATAGATTTCAAATCCTTAGCCAATCCAATATTCATTTAACCATTTTTATGGTAGATTTGGAGGGTTTCCAGAAGATGTAATAAGATTTGAAATAAATGCAATTAATCCTGGACACAAACAAGACTTTGCAAGGAGTGACATCTTTAATTCCTCAATGCAAATCACTTAATCAAATTTGGTTTATTTATTTAATGACAAGAAGTAGTGAGTTTTGCCTTCTTATCTTAAAATCTGCATACAGAATCTAATTTTGACTCCTGTAGTATTATGTTGTTTTAAGTAGCTCTTAATGACAATTGCTAGTAGAATAGTTTTGCTATCTTCTGCAGTAGGGTCAGAACTCTATTTATTGCACATTATTATGATGGCCTTTGCTTTTTCAATTTGGCATCTTTTCAAATCTTTATCCAAATGAGGATCACCTTAAATGTAAATGACATTGGAATATTCTGGTTATTGAATTAGTGATTCTAAATTCACATCTGGTCTCTGAGGACATAAAATGATTGCATGCTTTTGTGCCAATCCATGATCTTCATGAAACAACTCCTTGAAAAAGTTCTCAGCTGCATTCAAAGAAATGGTTCCTAAGATTACAATATGTGGAACAGCCTGACTTGATTTGTAATTTAATCTAGCATAGTATGACTTGGAACTAAGATGTCTGATCAATTGTCCAGTTTAATAGGGCACAAACGTTAAGGCTAACAGGACAAGTATAATGATTAAAACTCTTGAGATTGCACTTGAGAATTTATTCTCGTAACCCATTGTAGAAATAGTAGTCATTACAAAGTAAATAAAGTAGTGAAACTTGAAATGCAATACTGTTTCTAAAAAGAGTGAATTGAAATGCAAAGCACCTGCAGCACAAAGGACTAAAGTTGCAGTTGTGATCATTATCGATGTCAATTACTTATTAACTTCTGAATCTAGGTACTTTTTCATTCTGTCAAATTCAAGTCCTCTAAAGAGACATACTAGGTTTGCAAAAATGTTCACTTTGTCATCATCTTCAATAAATAATTTAAGAGTAGATATTTTAATTATGAAATACGGCAACAATGACAATATAGCAATTATTGATTCTGAGGACATAATGAATGATTAAAAATTCTTAGTTGCATATAATTTGAAAATCCATTCACTTAGAAGTAAAAGGTGAAGGATAGTGTTAAAAACTGCCCATGTAGCATTTTAAAATGGTTCAGGTTCATAAGTTGAATATATGTAAACAAATATCAGAATGAAACTAATAGACATGTTGATGCAATCTATGATTAGATTAAACTCATCTCTCTAAATAAATTAATACAATTATTATTTTGTCTATCTCTATTTATGTTTAAATTCCTTTTCTTCATCATCACTCATTCCTTCTAATTTTTTAAGTTTAATTAATTATAAAATATTTTATATTCCCAAAGAATCTCTTTCAAATAACTAATCCTTCCAATTCATAGCAATTAATCGAAATAAAAAACCAATTTAATTCTATTTATTATTGTGAATTGATTTAATTTTGATGAATTAATTATATCAATTCTTGTGCTTGTTGACAAATTTCACTATCATCTCCAAAGCAGCCTGAGGTTGATCTGTAGGTATCATATGACCAGCATTATTTACTAATTGCAACTCAAGATTGCCAGCTTACTTGTAATAGCCTACAATTTTTTCAGTATCCAAAAGCTTAACAACCTCCAAATCCTTTCCTCTGTATTCATCAATCTTGCTATATTTCAAATCGTAGAGCCATCTTAAAGTACCTGGAGTTGAACAAATTAAATCATTTTATCCACTAAACACAAACAATGGGATTTTAGGCAATATTTCTTCCACTGTTTTGACAACATCTCTCAACATGAAATCATAAGCCAAAGCCTTCTGCACTGGACCATCTGCTCCATTACTTATCTTATAAACCCAATCAGCACTTAATCCTAGTTAGTTTAGGATAAAAGGGTCCCTCAAATATTCCTAGATCTTGGTTTTAGCATTATTGTAGCTACCGTATTATAATACATTGTAAACGTTCATTCCTCCATCATATTAACCAATAAGATCAAGGGATTTCTCAAAGGCTTATCTTGCATTTAATGAGTTTCCTTTGTTTAGTTCATTCAATCCGTAAACTAGAACAGAATCAATTTCAGCTCTCTCCTAAACATCAATCAAACCTAAGTTGAAGGAATATGAAGCATATTCAGCAATAACTGCATATGGATCTGTAAAAGGATCTCCAATTCCGATTCCTTTTAAGGGAATTTGTTCCTGAGTCTTTGCGTTGTAATCTAATATTGCCTTTGCTATAGTAGGAACGTACCTAATTATATAATTATTATATACTTTCCAGCATAACTTTCCCCAAAAATAAACCAAGGAGATTTTTACAAACCGAGAATTCCATTTTTTTTAACACATCCTTCGGCATTGTATAAAAATTGCAATAAGGCATATAAAAATTACTAACCAATCTATGGTTAATTAGTAGGAACATCAGATTGTTTTTCAGGATATGCTAAACCTGCTCCAATAGGTTAATCCACAAATATCACGTTGTATTCTTTACTCCAAGCATAATTATTTTTAGTAAATGTACCATCTTCTTACATAATCAATGGTCCTAACTCCATGAAATTACCTAATTAAGATGATGATCCAGGACCTCCATTTAGCCAGATTAATGTTGGATATTTAGAGAGATCCGATAGTTAAGTTGCTTTTTCAGAGCCATAAAAAATGAATCCCAAACTAGACTTGCTATTTTCAATGACACTTAAATAACCAGAAAATATTATTTGATTTTGATCAAAAAGTGTATTTAATTTCTTAGCATCTACTTTAGTGCATTTTGTGCCACTTGGCAACTCTCCAAAGCTGGGAAAGACATTTGTGTAATCATAGGGGCCTTCTTTAAAGGATAAATATCCATTCACGATTGCTATTGTCGCAAATAAAATGATATTCCACATTTATATTATTAACACTTGAAATAATTTAAGGATTAAATAAACAAGAAATATTGTATATCAAAAATGCCATTTTCTATTGAATTTTTCAATCTAGAGATTTATATATAATTGAAAACTATAATTTATCATTTACAAAACTTAATTAGTGTAATGCTAAGTTGATTTATAAAGTACTATTATCGAAAATTGATTTGAAGTAAAAAAATAAATAATATAGTCATTGCATCTTACCTTGATACAACATAAATTAACTTGCCTCAATTCATATTTGTTAGAAATATATTGAATATCACTGGTAAGCCTCAAAGAATCAATATTATTCTTTAAAATATGAAAAGCTTTTAATTACATTAATAATATATATCATTTTTTCTTTGATAAATTTCTTTGTTTGTCGGCTGCTACAACTATTTTTTCTTCAAAATTCATTCCTTTTCTTTTACGAGTTGCCATAATTAGATCACGAGCTGTATTTCTTTCAACTTTCTACATTCCATTTTCAGCAATATCCTATTTTTAATATAATTTATTACATCATCTGTGAATGGTTAATAAAATGGATCTTCTTGAAGAATTGACCATCCATCAAAATCTAATTGAGCAGAAACGTGTCCAGAAGTAGCTGATTATACCTAACAATAAAAATCAAAAGAGCTGCTAAGAGGTAATCTAGCCTAAACTGTGAATAATGAAGTGCAAGAATTCAAAACCTCATTTACAACATTACCTCTCCTTTAATTCAGCACATCAATACTTTTTCCATAATTTGTAAAATCTGTTTAAAGTGTACATTTATAAACTGATTCTACTAATCTGGGTTAGGCTCCTAAAAAGGAATTTATGCAAGCATCCTTCATTGCTGATATCAATTAACCACTAATAGGTCCATAAGTATCTTATTATTATTGTTGTTAGTCCTCTTCTGAAAATTTTAATTATTCAATAATAAAGCAAGCACCTATAATAGGCTCTGCACATAATGGTCCAGCATTTAGAGCTAAGTCAAATCCTAAATTAATTGCATTATTCATTGCATCTTATGATAAATCTTATTAACTTAAATATAATTCTAAGCCTTTGGCAATCGACCCAGTTGTATCACTTAATTAAGATTTGCTATCCTTGGTAGATTCCACCTTTTCCTCACCCTGCTACATTTACATTTAATTTTATTCTTCAGCTTACTATTAAAAGTCTTATTAGATAATTTGTTATTATTATACCAAAGGCTATGGGTTTTAGATTTGTTGTCTCAATTTTTATATTAAAGAATCCTCAGATTTTATCATTTTGTTTATTAACAGATTGGGACCAAACTTCTTTGGACCAAAACATTACAAATGATTTTCAATGAGTTCATTTAATTTTTTTTCTATTTTAAGACTTTTACGAATTGTGTCAAATTCTTCTAAAAACTATTTAGGATCGCCTTTATTCTCATATAGGAGTTTTCTCATATACTTTTAGTTATTTTCTATCCAAGTTGCCAATTCAAACGGTAACCCAATGGCTCTTACTTTAACTGCAATTTTTTGATTTGCTGTAAATTCTTCAACAAGATTACTTTTAGTCTAGACTTCAACTAATAAATTATTCTTGGTTGCTTATTTTCCTTTATTCTTATGATCTATTTTTTTCACCTATTATTTTTAGTCATATTTGAATTTAACTTCTTCCTTCAATTATTAATTGTACCTGATATCCTCTTGTTCTAAAATATTTGTGTCTTTGACAATTTCAGTTTCTTCTGCTTCCTACAACTTTTATTTAAATTATTTCTATTTTTCAACATCAATATCATCATCCTTTGATTTTTATTCAAATTATTATTATTATTATTTTTTTTATTTCTGTCCTCCTTGAACTAACACTTTGGCCATTTTTTTTTGAAATTTCTCATTGCTCTCTTCCAACATATTTTTATAAATGATAGTTTCTTTGAATGGTATTATTGGTTCTGAGATTTTTACCTTGCAATCCGCTATTTTTTCGATATCAGTTATGCATCTTTATAAGTGAACTTCACCACAAGTTCCTAATACAAGTTCTCCAGAATCTAAGGCTTAAACTTCTAATGATGGATCGCATTTATATAATTTTTTGATGGCTTGGAGTACCTTTGGTTGATCTTCCTATTAAGAAGGCATAATCATAGTTCTAACAATTGATTTAAATTTCACATAAGTAGGAGCAAATGAAGGGCAATAATTGACTGAAGATATTGTAGATGTTTTAAATATTAAGTCATCTAAACCTCCTATTGCTACTAAATTACCAGCAGGCATCCTTTTAATTGCCTCTAAATATTGAGCCATCATAAGATATATTTTTTTAATCTCGAATTATTAAATATCTGTTTAATCAACTTGATTAACATTATTGATGATTTTTGATTTAGGTCCTATCACATATACTGGCTGATTTAGATGGAGAGTTCCTGAAAACACTCTCGCAAAAGCGTATGATAATATTCCTTAAGGTTTTGGGTTTAATTATTTTTCATCTATGCACTCTGGAGGGATACTTACCATTTTGGATACGAATACAACTAAAGGACCATTAGGGTCGCAATTTTAAATAGATTAATACAATTCATCATACCTAGCATCATAATTCTTAGTGATTTGCCTGTTTATTCTTTTGCAAATGATATCTTTTCTAGATCTTTAAGCTTCTATAGGGTTGGGTAGTTCTTTTATTATTCTATCAAATAGACATTAATCGAAGGGTAACCATTTAGTCATTAATTATTTATAATTCGCAATTTATCCGTTCAATTATAGTTGAGTAGCAATGGATTAAATTTTTTAAATGTTATCTTTATTATTGTAGATATTCCAAATGTTCTTTAAAATGAAATCTACAAACAAAACTGATTAACCCTCTTTGCTTGGAGTTATTGTAACTTTTTTATTCTTAAAATAATAGTTTCCCCATAAACACTTTTATAATGCCTATTAATTGCATTTAAGTTTTTTTGCAAATATTGCAGAGAAAGTTCCTACTGTAAATGCCCATGCATCAATACTGCTGCAGAAAACAACGTTGTTTTTTGTTGGGCAAAAATATAGATTTGATTCCAAGTTCGTTATATAATCATCATCTAAAGAAAATTCTTTTTATTCCTCAACCTAGTGAATTTATTCATTTAAAAATGAACTTAAAGCTGCATTTACTTATTCTATAATTTGGGACATGTGAATGAAAGCTTAGTCAGGGTCCATTTGTTTTTCCAAAATCAATCTGTCTACTTTGTTCAAGACGAGAATTCCTTTTATACCTTCCTCAAACATTTATTTTAACACATTAAAGGTTTATGAACTAAATCCTTCCAAAACATCCACCAGCACTAGTGCCCCATCTGTTAAACGCAATGCTGCTTGAACTTCAGAAGAAAATTCAACATGGCCTGGGCTGTCAATTAAATTAATCAGATGATTTTCATATATTATTGATATAGAGCTTGATTTCATTGTGATACCTCTCAGTTATTCATCTTCTCTACTATCCATATATCTAAGATTTCCTGCCAGCCTTTTTGATATAATGTTGTTTGCAGAAATCAATTGATCTGTTAAGGTTGTTTTTCCTTGAGTTTAATAATATAAACATACCATGGTCGACGTGAGCTATAATACTTAGATTTCGAATATTAACAGTGTTACTCTAAAGTTTTTATAGGAGTATTGACTTTTAATCTTCCATTATTAGATATTTATATTTATATTCTTTAATATTTTTTTAATAAGGGAAAATTATGAAAAAAACACTTAAATATATTCGAAAATGTGATCACTTTGGTGCATAAATAAAATTGAACTTACATCACAAAGAAGCATATAAATCGATTTTGGGTGGAATTATTACAATGATTATCGCTGTAGCTATTTTAATGATTTTTGTAAGAGGGACTCTTTCCTTGATCAAACATGAAAACTATACTGTAATTATGGATTTTATACATTAATTAGATTTCAAGTTCAAAGTTACTCAATATAGATCCCCCAATGTCAAAACTCAGTGTCAATAATTTTATGCTTGGATTTTCAATTGATCTATAATTGTAATTTACAAAGCCAATATATAAAGCCTAATACACTCAATAATCTTAAATACTTAATGCCGACGGAACAAGAAGTAAAAATGAAACAAACCTTCTGTCTTTAGAAAAATGTTCTCTTGATCATTTCCTAAATTTGGATTAAACTAACAGTTATAATGTACAAATTTTTATTTTAAAATTGTTTAGTAACAAATAAAGGGGTAAATATAAGAGTATTTTTGCCTACCTAAAAATTACACAATATTTTAACAAGGTACATATAAGTCAAATGTTTTTTAATATGGCAAAATTATATTAGTTTCATGTATTGATGAACCAGAGTGTGCATCATCGGAAGAAGTAAATGCATTAGGATTGTAAGATAGTGTAGTGAAAATTAGTACCTTAATTCTTAATACATTAGTAAATCTGAATCAGGAAGAAAGCATTTAAAAATATATTTATACTGATTTTTATGTAGAAACATCTCTTACTAAAACTACAAGTACTGATATTTATCTTGAAAAACTGAATGTTAAAATAGATGAATCTCCAATCTCAGTTCTAAACTCTGTAGAACAAGATGAATTGTTTTCAATTCAAGATACAAAATTATCTCAAATAACATCAAATGTCTAATCTAATAATATCATTTCTCAGTTTATTATAAGATTGGCTCAGTCTGAAGATATTTATAAAAAATAATATTATAAGTTCGATGAATTAATATCTTATGTTGGAGGAATAACTAAATTTATAGTTTTAGTGTTTGGATATTTCATTACTAAATACAATAAAACAGGACTCTAAATTATGCTTGCCAATGATTTATATCAATTTGATATTCCATAAACGACAAAAGGAGAAGTCACTTTTTCATTTTAAACCCTAGTAACTTAAATACTTGATAATATAAAACAAATAGAGGATATTGCAAGTAAGTTTAAGATCGGAGCCATAAAGATTCTAACTTTGGGTAGATTTGCAAAAGCGATTTCGAAAACTAATGGCAGCCAATAATTGATTTCAGCAGGTTCTGAATGCCTACTTACTAATTAAAGTGTTTCTAAAAGAAATGCCTTACTTACAGATGATGCCATTATAAAAACCGAATAAATGGAGACAGTAAAATCATCCAATGCCATTTAATATGTGAATTCTTCGAATCTAGACTTTTACAAAAATAACTTTTTAGAATAGATCATCAACATTATACTAACTGGTGATAAGAAGTTAAAATACAGCATTGTGATAATAATTAAATATCTGACTTGCTGGCGATTCAGTAATATAGGTAAACACAACAAAAAAATATTGAAATAATCAAAAAGTATGATTCAAAAAGATATGGACATATTGGTTATTATTTAAAAGTTATAAGAAATGGAAAAATTGAAACACTTATTACTCAATAAAGAATAATTAAAAGTCTTTAATTGTTTGCCAAAACCCATAGTTGGATCATCTAGATTTACTAGCAGTGAATCCATTTAAGGTATGACTGGATAATTCGACAAATAAAGTTTAACATTGACTTTTAAAAAAAAGAAATTGTTTGAGACGCGTCATTAATATAACACATCCAAAAAACTAAGAAAACTGTATTCTGCTTACGAATCAATTAAATTAAGTAATAATTCTAAGAGTGACTTTGAAAAATTGATGAATCAAAAATTGATTGATGTTCTTGAACCACCAACTTTGCTGCATAGTTTTAGTTCATTGGCAGAATTGCAAAGATTGGCTAATCTATAAACTGAAAAATTGGCCAAAATGCCGAGGGTTTAGAAGAAAACGTCGATAACTATGGATGAATCTAGCAGCAAACACTTTTAACAAATTAAGAAGGACATTAATTCTTACTACTTTAAACCACAAAATTATCAAATACGATCCAAATCAGATTATATTGACGAAATAGTTTATGAATGATAATTAGAAAATATTATATAATAATCAAATCAAATTAATAATTGTTCATTTTATAAGTTTGCACATTTAGTATCAGTTATCTCTTCAACTTCTTATTCAACATTAATTTCGTCTTCTTCCTTAGGTAGAGATTCATACTAATGCTTCTCTCTAGCTTTAGCCATTTGATCTTCATTAATTATTCCTAAAAATGGTAATGGCAACATTGTGCAAAAAGAGCAAATCACTATTAACCTTGCCAAGTTGTCAAAGTTATCATCTGTCACACCAGCATAATAAGTGAGCAATGCTCCTAATTCTTAGGATACCATCCCTCCAAAGTTGATTGCTGACATCAATAAGGCATACATTGTTCCTTCAATATTTTTAGGACACATTTTGCAGGCCAATACTAATACAGGCATTGTGTTTAATTCTCCAATGACTTAATTTAAAACACCATCTCCAAAACAAAATAATCTATCTGGGATACCTAACTTAACATTCTTTCTTGTAACTAGCAAAGTTGTTTAGCACGAAACCAAACAGTATACAAATGTGCTATAACCAAAAACCTTAGTAAATTTCACATGCCTTAAAAATCTATTAAATAGGTAAGCACTAAGAATGGAACATATGGAGTAGGAAAGTCGTAATTCTCCTATAAAATCTGGGCCAAATTATAGAACATTGGTGTAGAAATAAAACATCGCTGTTGAAATGGATGGAGATGACATGAATACCATGATTAACAAAATTGGTCTACATTATTTTTGATAATTACCTATAAATTACTGGTTAGGAAACGAATTTTGAAAATAGTTTGAGGGATTCAACTGTTTTAATTTTGTCTTTTTCAGGTTCATCTTTTGAATATTTCTTTTCTTTTACAAATACTGCTATGCCTGCTAAGATCAGAGGGAAAATCGAAGTTATTTTAAAAATATAGCGTTTGTCAAACAATTACAAGAGTTTACCAGATGAATATGCTGTAACTAGAGTTCCTGTTGATCTCATTCCGAAGAAAAATGTCACATTCTAACTTGCTTTATCATTTTAATGCGTATCGTCATCAGAATGTCCTGAATACTCCACTAACAATGCTTCCCCTATTACATTGCAAAATGCAACACAAATGTTAATAACTGTCAATAAAATCAATCCAAATTCTCTATTTTCCACGCCGTAATCGGCCAACAAATTCCAACAAAAGAACCCCAGAACTCCGAAAAATATTAGATATGATTTTCTCCTATATCCAAAAAGAGGCACCGTGTCTGTCATTATGCCCCAAAAGGGTTTGACTATCCATGGCAAGCTGATGATGGTTGAGAAAAATTGGGTTTATGCTGGATCTTGTTTATAATCATCTTTTTGCATGTAGCTAATCGCGAGATCAGATAAACCCATAATGCCTATGTAAATGCATATTATGATTACCTTGCGAAAAGGCGATTGTCCCAATTAAGAAGTAGGTGAACCTCAGGGATTAATGCATAGCTTCCTCTTTTTTCATATTAAATTTAATTGAAAACGTGTTTATGAATTTATCATTAATGTTTATTACTATACCTCGATTTTACAAATTTTATAAATTTATGAAAAAAATAAATCGAATAATCTAGAATTTAAGAGTGTGATGAAATTCATTCTTTTTCTTTATCAATTTCAATAATTAAAATAATGTCCACAGCATAATAATTTAAAGATCTTGGCAATTAAGCTTTCAAAGAAAATAAATTTGAAGAGGCAGCTAAGTTTTATTCATAAGCCATCGAGTTGAATCCAAATGATCACATTCTCTACAGCAATAGATCAGGATCATATGCTTCCCTCTCCAAATATTAAGAAGCTTTAACAGATGCCGACAAATGTATTTCTATTAATCCAAATTTCGCAAAAGGTATTATAAATCTTAATTTAGGCTACCAGAGAAAGGGATTGGCCCTTCATTATCTTGGAGAATTCGAAAAAGCCATCGAAGCCTATCAACAAGGTTTAGCCAAAGATCCTAGCAACTCTTTGCTCTAAGAGGGCTTAAAGTCTGCTTAGACTGAATTGCAAGGCACACAGAACAACCCATTTGCTTCTGCTTTGAAAAATCCCAACATTTTAAAACTTCTAGGCATTCTCTAGAAAGATCCAAGAACATCTGCATTTGCTTCAGATCCCACATTTATGTAATTGATTGGTTTAATGATCTCTTAACCATAAATGGCCAGTTAATTCATGTAGACTGATCCAAGAATCTCTACTGCTTTATCTGTAATATTGGAGAATCCTGAAGCATAAGCCATTTTCTTCTCCGAATTTGCTGGAAAAGTGAAAAAACCAGATGGTGAAAAAAAAGATCATCCTCAACAACAATCTTAACATATGGAAGAGGAACAACCTCAACCATAGCAAGAATAACATCATCACACTCATACTGACTAACATCATCAAGCTCATACTGAGTAACATCATCAAACTCATACTGAACAACCTTAATAAAAACAACATCATTAACCACCTCCAAAACCATAGCCCCAACTTGAAGAATGGGAAGTTCAAAAAAATTTGGGAAACGACGAATATAAGAATAAGAATTTCGAGAAAGCTCTCCAATATTACAATGCTGCTCTTGAGTTGAATAAGGAAGAAGCCTTGTTATATAATAACAAAGCTGCTGTCTTTATTGAACAAAAACTGTATGATTAAGCATTAGAATCCATTGAAGAAGGACTCAAAGTTTTGGAAGTACATAGCAGTTTCTAGAAGAAAGCCAAATTGTTAGCTAGAAAGGCTAAAGTGCTTTCTTTGTAAAATAAGGTTGATGAAGCCATTCAAATTTATGAAAAATCATTAGTGGAAGATCATGTCCAATCAGTAAAAGATGAGTTGAAGAAATTATAAAAAATGAAGTAAGATCTTGAAGCATAAAATTACATCAATCCTTAATTAGGAGAGGAAGCAAATACTAGAGGAGGTGATGCATTTAAGGCAGGAAAATTCCCAGATGCCATTCAATGTTACAGTGATGCTATTAAGAGAAATCCAAAGGAACCTAAATATTATTGCAATAGAGCAACTGCATATATGAAATTGATGGAATTTCCTAATGCTGTTTCAGACCTTGAGAAATGCTTATCATTAGATTCAAAATATGTTAAGGCCTATGTGAAGAAAGCCAATTGTCATTTTGTCATGAAAGAATTCCATAAAGCCAAAACTGTTTATGAAAAAGGGTTAGAACTTGAGCCTAATAATGTGGAAATGTAGTAAGGTCTTGAAAAAGTCAGATTTTCAATTATGCAAGGAAGTGGATCAGAAGAAGAGTAATAATAAAGAGCTAAAAGAGCTATGCAAGACCCAGAAATTCAGTAGATTCTTCGAGAACCAGAGGTATCAAATGTTATTAATAATTAGGTTATCAATCTCTTGAATGACATGAAAGATCATCCTTAGGATGGATTAAAAGCGATAAAATCGAATCCTTCATTAGCAGCCAAAATTGAAAAGTTAATTGAGGCTGGAGTTCTAAAAACAGGTTGATATTTCTATAAATAAGATTATTATTATGTTTATATATTATAATTTGCAGTATTCAACAATATAGTTGATAATGAGGAGTTAAGGAAGGATTGAAGTTGATTAATTCTCTTACCTTAACTCCATTTTTTTTCTTTTAGTCTTCACCTGAAACAATCAAGCCTATCATTAAAATTACAAATTGAGTTTTGCTCATTTCAATGGCTAAGGATAAAGAGTATTTTTGGACGATCTATTCCAACACATAAATTTCCTTATCTTCCAAAAGATTATAATTAATCATATTTAACTTTAATGATTTTCTCTTTTCTTGTGTGCTCAATAATCGGTTATATAATTATATGCAAATAGGTTAAATAGTACTATCAATTTAAATATTTTCGATTTGTTTGTAAACAGCCTTAATCAAATTGTCAAATTTAGCAATATTTGTGATTAAAGTATTATCCACCTTGTCCTGTTATTACTGTTAGATTTCTCTCAAATAGCAATTTTCCTTTTGATACTCGATAGAATTTGGTGCATGTTCAGTCTGCAGATCTTCTCTTAAATGTTAATATCCAGATTGATTTTTTTGGAAATGAACAAATTGAGACGCTTGTTATTTTAGGTGAGAAGTCTTTTTTGGAGTGAGAATTTTAGCGGAAGGGCTGATGCTTCTATTTTCTTATTATTTGTGGATTTTGTCTTTTCTATCCTATTGCTGAAGTATCTATTTGGAAGGAGTTAGTGCTTTAAACAATGATTAGGGTTTTGCTTCTTTTTCTGCTTTCTAGAATTCATTGTAAATCAGATTAAAAATTTGATCTTAATGTCTTTGTAAATTGTTTTCAATGCAAAAGTATTCAACCTTCTTCCATAGGATATCTCCTTTATTTAATACGAACTCCAGCACTTAATTATTGATTTTCAAATTAATAGTTGTTAACATAATTAATTAGTATAAGTTTAGATAAGATTAATATTTTTATGATTGCATTCATAATATTTCAACTACTCTATTCTGCATAAAACACCAAAGTCAGTCAACCCAACATTACAACATATTCGGAAGTAATTCCATCTTCGAACTTTTCCAATAAAGTGAGATAAACAAAACAATTTGGTTATACAAAGTAATATTTCAGAATTGATTGTAGATATCCTGGAGTATTTGCAGTATCCTTAAAGGAGATTTTCGAAAATAACACAGAGTAATCTGCTGATTTAAATGGGTTGGAGATTGAAGAAACTTAATTTGGTACTTTCTCAGGATGCTATTCTACATAAAGAAACATTGGCATTAATTTTAACCTCTAGTTACAATTGGAATAATTACTCACTTAGCCTTGGATGCATTTCACCGATTTGGCCACGGCAGATAACAAATTTAAAGCATACATAGTACAAAACATCTTAATTTTAGGTTAGGAATGATTATTCAATATTTCAAATCGATATATCTACTGCATTAGGAGAAATTAGTTTACATCCAAAAAATCAATCATTTAACAACTTATTAATACATAACACCTCTATGGTTGATTAATTTTACATGCCTCATCCCTACTTAATAGATGATGAAGGATCAAACAAAATATACGCCATTACAGAATTAGGAGGTGTGAGTTTTACTACAGAAGGAAGTATAGGAGATGCAAAGATGGAGTCTGAAGAGATTTAATTAAGAAGACACATATATAGTGTTCATAAAAACTCAAGAGCTCAAATCATTATTATCGCATGTGGAAGTGAAGGCATTGATTTATATGACATCCAAAATAATGGTAAAATTAAACATAGAGCTCAATTAACACCTGAATAACTGGGCATTGAGGATGGTATTATTATTGATGTTGATTCAAATGACGATGAAACCAAGATTTATCTTTTAGACTCAGAATTTGGTTTATATATCTATGACATTTCAGATTTAAATAATATCACTCAAGTAATGAGCGTTCTTCTCCCGAACACCAAAACCTTTGATCATTACCAAAATACATTCTTTCTCATTGCAAAAACTAACACTTAGTTGTATTATGCTGTAGAAATATTTGTTGACTTTTAAACTAAGTCCTATTATTACAATAACTTGTATATAGATGAAATGATAATAAATAATGTCAATGTATTTGAGCACTACGCTGTTTTAATTGGAGATGATGGTCACAAGATCATTTATCATTCAATCTACAACAAATTCATCAATCCAGCTGTTAAACATCAAACCTACTTTTAAGAGGAAAACCTCCTTAAAATCAAAGAATATGATTTTTCCAAGTTTTACAATTCCTCTAATAGAATCATGGTTGGCATAGCAAAACATGCATTTAAATACATCGAAATATCTTTTGAAGATCCAAAAATCACTTGTTAATCAAACGAGGTTGTGCAAAAATCCTACGTTGTAACTCTAAATTCAACTTAATGCGAAAATAAAACTACACATGCTGATCATTCTCCCTATTCTCTTTGCTAATTGACACATTCATTTGTATACTAATCTGAATATGTAATGCTTATTTATATTTCTATAGAACCCAGGAAACAAATCTGTATATGCTTCATACACCATAACTATATATGCACTTGTTGTTGGAATAATTTGGTTGGTCATTGTCATTTCATATCTATATAAAAAATGGGCATACAAATTAGAATTTCTTAAATGGAGAAAATAAAAGCTCATAGTGACATAACCATTTAATTCGGAATTAGAGATGCCAAACTAAAACAATTGATTATGATATATAATACCAATATACCAATAATAAAATATAATATACAATAACCATTAATCTTAGGAATTTCATTATGTATGTTATTAAAAACTATTAATTTCTGAGTCTATGAATTCAAATAAATTGCTAGAATACAGATTGAGTCATCAATTTCAATTTAATGGTTATAGTGCTGAAACAAAAATCATCACAGTACGATTTTGATTTTTGAACATCTAAGCCTTTCATTATTAGATTTAAGTTGCAAATAAGTTAAGGTATTAATGGCCCTTATTAAACTATTAACTTATAAACAATCATAATTTCTCTATATATTAATTTCACACAATATTTATTTAAAAAAATCAAAAAAAAAGTGTATTCATATAATCAATTTACTATTTAGAACTTGCATTCTAGTTAATTTATATTCGTTCAAATTATTATAAATTATTTTTATTAAGAATATTAATATCTCATAATTGTGGAGGAAGTTTCTTAAAGATGAGGCTTTCCTCAAATATATGTGAAGTAAAGAAATAAGATATTAACAAAAATAAATTATTTGTATTATAATATATTTCAAAGAGTAAATAATAAAATTTTAAATTTATCCATGTCTTTAACATTAAAGCCTGAATTGATTCTATGCACAGATGAAAACATAGATGACTATAAGGATCCTTGCATGGAGGCTAGTTTCGAATTAGTTTAAATACAGAATGAGTATCATAAGGAAAAGGAGATTGAAACAAACAGAATTAAGACTTAATCGGATGAGCATTAAACTTTCATAAAAACAAGAAAGTATCGATCATCACAAGAGTTACAGATCAAACCTCTATTTTAGAAGAACGAGATATAGGATCATGAGAACTCTGGTAAAATACAAGCTAAATCAATTATGGTTTCTTACTTAGTAAAGAGGTTTTTGACAAAATTGTCAGCATCCAGAAGACATCGATTATTTTTTAAACATAAACATTTTTAAATAGTAGGAGACAAGGCAAGTGGCGAAGAATAGACTTTGGGGGAAATTAAAAGTATTTAAAGGAGTAAAAGTAAAAAAGGCAAATCTAAAAATATTTTGTAGCTTCTTTTGAGTTTAATTTTAGAATGTCCTAATTTCGTATCAACTGTATTTAAATAGTTGCCGATTATTTATCCACAGGATATTCATAAAATAATATGGGACATCTCATTTTGCTTTGTATTGATTTACTTTTTCGTAATGATTCCTTTAGAGTTGGCTTTTAATAAAGGGTTATTGTACTCCTAATGTATATGGTTGACAGTGCCGCTGTGCTTATTTCTATTGATCGATTGCATTATGAAAATGAGTACTGTTTATTATGAGAATGGATAGCCAATCATAGATAAAAATAAAATATTCAAAAACTATCTTAAAAATGGGCTGATCAGTGATGGATTGGCTATTCTAGTGATTATTTTTAACTTCTTTAATTATTTTTATGTGAAGAGTTATTGGATTAGCTTGCTGTAATTGTGTTTTGTTACTTAATTTTCTTATTTCACGAAGATAACTAAAAATGTAGAGGAATCAATAAATTTAGACAAGACTTCAACTTCAATTTTGAATTTAGCAAAGCTTCTATTGATGATATTATACATTGTGCATTTGTATAGTTGTTTGTGGTTTTTTATTGGTGATTATGGAGGTTAAATGAATTGGAGTAATTGGTTGGATGATCGTCATCTTAAAAATGAATCTAGTGTGTCTTAATATTTAGAATCATTCTATTTTTCTACTGTTACAATGATTAGCGTTGGATATGGAGACATCGTGCCTTAAAGTAAATTATATCATAATATTTTAAAGATGAACTTGAAAAGGTTTTGACTATATTGTTTATGTTAACGACTTGTATTCAACTTTCTTTTACAATTAACACAGTAGCATAAATCTTTTCTTCTATTAATCATGCTACTGAAAATACCTCTGAGAAAATAAGAATAATAAATAAATACATGAGTAAAAAGAACATCAGCTTTGGATTATAATATTAGTAAGCTATAATATCATAGTAATTAGGATTAGACAATACATAAAAATCTATTGGAGTTAATAAATGAAAGAAGAGAATGAAATGGAAGAAGTCCTAATTAATTCGCTTTCAGAAAATCTAAAAAACAAATTGATTGAAGAAGCTAATTCCTCGATATTAGACAAATGCGAATTCATTAAAAATACTTTTACTAATCAAACTAAATCAAAATTGATAAAGTTGCTAAAAACTGTTTTCATAAACCCAGAGCAGACAATAACTTCTCAATTACCCTAATTTATTGAACCGTGTCTTTGCTTTATAGAATCAGGGGAACTACATTTATAAAACAACAGCAAAATAGATAATTCAGAACTGATCAAATTTCATTAAGGACAATATTTTGGTCTTAATGAATTATTAACAGGTCAATTACCAACTTTACAGTTACAAAGTGAATCATTTGTACAACTAACAGTGCTACTAAGAAGTGAATTTTTAGATGTCCTAAGGGAAAATCCTATTGATTATGAAACATTTTGTGCTATCAAAGATTAGATTTTAATGCATGATCTTGATGTTCAAAGTAAATGCATCTCATGTAATTGCAGTGGCCATACAATATCAAATTGTCCTGTTGTCCATTTTGTTGTGGATAGAGAAAAGGTTATCAAAAGCCATCAGTTTTATCACAGTCAAAAAAGAGAACAATTTATGAGGAAGAAAAGGCCACGACATATGTTTCACCCAATTTTAGATTAATGGTTTTTGTAATAATCTAATATATTATTTTAGATCTGAGATGAGTAATATGTTTAGAAATCATGGAGAATGGCCAATTATTCAATTTTATTCATTATCCAACAAATTATTAGAGTAATAACCTGAAAAGATTGGGGCTGAATCTCCTATTATGAGAGCTCGTGATGTTACTATAAATAATAGCTGCAAATCTCAATCACAATTACCTAACTTACATGACATTCTTCAAATCTCCAAAATTGAAATGCAATAAAACCCTTGTAAGAAGAATTTAATAGTATTTTAGATCCTCAAAATAAAACCATGAGATCAAATTACAAAAGAGCTAGCATTAGGATTAAAAATATTGGGATCCGATTGAAATTTTAGAAAATTGTTAAAAAGATTATAAGGTTGAGACATTTTTCAAATGGTTTCTAAAAAAAGACGGATGCTTAAAACTAACTCTCTCCATAATTTGTATTTAATAAAAGTATGTATTGGGTTGTTACATCTTATTTTCAACAACCCTAATTAGAAGAGTATCTTAGTAAAGAAGATTTTTTAAATCTTTCCTTTTTGAACAAAAGATTAAATTTAACTCTTAATCAAGACTTAGATTTAAATAAATAATTTGATTGTGCCAAAGAGTATCTCCATTATTTAAATTAAAACAATCTAACAGTAGTCTTGGACCAATTAAATGAAAGATCCTTCATGAAAAAAAAGTCATCATTTCAACTTCAGTCTTAAACAACTATAATATTACAATAAATACTAAACTCATAAGAGAAACGAAAGTTGTATTTATAGACTTATCTTATAAAATATCTATCTTATCCGAATGAATATTTTGAAAAGTTCCATAAAACAAAGAAAAAGTATTACAATGATGAGGAACAATTGGGTGAAAAAAAGAGAGAACTAATTAAGAGATTTTCCAATAAAAAAAGTCTCAGAAGATCAAACAACATGACTGATTTTTAAAGATCAATCTAATAATTTCATAAATTAAATAGAGTTCTGCCAACAGATTTTAACATAGATACTCCTTGAATAAAATTGTTAATAATCAATTAAATGATAAAATTATATAATTATACATCAACTTAATAATTATTAAAGCTCTTTCAATTCATTCTCTTTTGGTTATGTTAATTCATCATTTAATTAAAAGATTCTCACCTCACACCCTTGATATGAGCAAGCCAATAAGTCTTACTGTCTTTAATTGAACCTTATACAAGAAGCACTCTACCCGTCATTTTTAAGTGTCACTACCTATAGTTATTGATCAAATTTTACCTATTACTGCGTATCTTAAGTTAGATCAAAGATCAAAATTTATCCCAAACTATCACACGCTGCAAATACACAAGGTCTAGTTGGAGAAAACTAAGCTGATAAAATGTATGTTTAAATGTATTCATAGACAGCCAAACATCGAGCTGTATTTTGTAGATATAATCTAATTTGTCCATCCATTGAAGCAGTAATGAAAGCAGATTTCACAAATGGGGAAAAATTAATTGAATAAACTGTTCCGTAATGAGCTTCATAGGCATAATTAATAGGATTGGCATACATTTTCCTTATATCAGGTTTCGAATTGACAAGTTATTGGATGAATATATTGTTTATTTTTCGTTCTTTGCAATAACTTTCCACATGCAATCTAATTTCTGGTAAACATTTTTAATTTAAATTCTACATAAATAAAATGGTCTCCTCCTTCCATATAAGTCCTTTGTCTTTTGCAAATATTTAAAATTATTACCCCTAGAATCTAAATATGCCTATTTAGTCATTGTATAATTGATGGGAGTAACCTAGGCCCTCAAAACAGAACCTCCTTCACTCCCAACTATAAAAGAAAAAGGATCCTCATTAGATTATGAAATACAAACTCCTCCTACACTTTCGGTTTGAGACTCCTTCTTTCTAACCAAATAACACCCTTTCAATGGGTTCTGCAAACTAAACTCACCATTTCCCCTTTCTGGATTCCATATCAATACTTTGCCTTCACAACCCAATGTCATGATCTACATAATATCTATTTTATACTGACTCATCTTATAACCAAAGGACAGCAGTTATGCTTTCTCTGTGATAATACTCATCAATAGTGGAATGAGCCAATTCCGAATTTGTAGAAACGTCATAAAGATACAATTCTCCATTAAAACTTCCAACTGCTAAAATATTCGGTTTAGTTGGATGGAACTGCATGCACATATTGCAAGTATTAGTCTCTATTACTGTGGTTGGCTTGTCGGGTTTGAAATCTCTTTTGAAAATGTTCCAGCAATTAATGTAAGACGTATGGGAGCATTAACCCATATGTTCTAAACAACCATAAGATGCAGCTATCATCAATCCATTGGAATTCCATTGTATATCGGTAATTTCTAATTTCTTTTCCAACTCTACAGATTTATTTTAAGCATTTTTTAGAATGTAAACTAATTCCGTTTCCTTCTTCTAGACATCAGATATTGGTTTGTAACCTAAATGAATATTATTTTTACTATGGTATTTTTTCAAATTTAATGATTCATCTAATTCTTTTATAACTGTTGGCACAACTCTTTTTAAGAATTGAGCCAATTTATTTTAATCAAATTGCATTATATATAGCTTTCCTTTTGTTTATTATAATTCGTTTTAGTCTATTTATTGCTGAATATAAAGAATAGTACTTCAAAATCCTCACATTCCTTTTTAGTAGTTGTTCCTTAATTCTTTACTTTATAATCGGTAACTGTTCCCATGTCTCTGATGAATGTTTAATTCCCTTTAGTAAATTCGAACACCTGTTCTTTTTCATTGAAATCATTGAAAATTCCTTCATTCATTTTTTATATAATATAATTTATAATAAAAATATATCAATCAAGAAGAATATCTGGACAAAGTTCTCTGATAACCATATCACTGATTTTTATTTCCATGCCATCTGCAACTCCATTCTCAAGAGTGACTTCATCATAATTCACAACCTTTCCCCTAAAGTAGTCAGCAAATTTTTCTAATCTTGTGTGATCTGCCTTAATTAATCTGTAGTGAATTTATCTCATATTGATTCTATGAATTATTTAATCAGGTTTTAAACCACATGGACACCCAGTCTAGTCCCATAGCTCACTATATCCACCGAATTCTTTTCCATGGGGTGGTTGATCACAAATATGAAATATGTATCTGAGACTAGGAATCTTGCTACTATCTCTCCAACTTATTTATTATGCTGCTACATTCAGTCCATCCAAGACTGCTTCAGCACCATCACCTCCACCAGAGCAATCTGATTTCTGTATTGCTTTTAGTATCTCCCTATTAGAGCATAAATCATGCAATTCTGTAACATATGTTAATTCTTAAGGTGGATGATCTCGATAACATACTAATCCGAATCTCACACTTACTTATTCATTTTTTGACTATTATTTTATTCTTTCAACTAACATTTAAACTGCATCTGTCGTTCTTTCCAAGTAAACATCCATTGATCCTGTTGTATCTACAACAAATACACAATCAACCATTCCAATTGAAGGTTAATTGACATCTGAAGCTGCTGATATATTGGATTTTGTTTTTCTAGGTCCCTACTTAGGTTACTATTATTATTATTATTAAGGCTTTGCGGTACTTTTTTCTACTTTCATTTCTTGTTTCTTTGCAACTAATTTTTCATTCTTCTTTTCTACTTCCATCTCATTATTACTTTTTCTTTTTTCAGGTTGTGATTGCTTTTAAACTTTTTACTTAATAAGGTCATTTTTTTAGCCCTTTTACATTTAAATGGGGGTTTTTTTTTCGATTTTTCTTGAAGATTTAGAGATAGATATTTATGACTATTTTTAAAGATCTTCTTTTGTTTTATTTTATTATTTTTCCTATTTTTCTCTTTTTACCTGAACTTATTTTTATTGAACTATTTTCTTAGGTGTTTCCTTTTATTTCTTTTACTCTTATACTTCCCTCAACTCCCTTTGTCTTTTTTATCCATTTTAGTTCCTTTATCGAGCTCTGTCTACTTATTCCATTCTTTATAGATAATCATTTCCTTCTTTTATTGTCCTCTCCATAGATTTCGATCTTCGCACCATTATTTTATTATATGTAAATTTTAAATAATTTTTCACTTTAAGATCCCTTTGGTGTATTTTCTAATCAGATTTATATCAGTTTATATTAATTTAAAGTTTCTTTAGTTATTTTTTATATATAAATTTAATAATGTTATTTAACGATATATATATGTAATTCATTTTTGAGTTAACGATTATAAAATTATTCTAAAGTCAATTTATTTAAGTGTTACAGATATAGAAAATGTCTATTTTACTTTGACAATTTTACAGAAAATTAAGAAAATTATTATTAGGACATATAATTATAAATGATTTACAACCATATAAAATGATGTATATTTGTGAGGTGGAAAATTTCTATCTTTATCCTCTCTTGCCTTAATTGATTTGAAGATAATCTCTTATTTACATTTCATAGATATGTAAAAACTTTAATTATCAATACTTCCTGCTTGTACAATGTTTAATAAGAATGCATTTTATAAATTATGTTTATATAATATATTTTTATTTGAAATTCAATGAGTGCTAACGATAATTGCCAAGATGGTAATACATTGGATGAATAGCATAAACAATAGATGATGTAATTAGAAACAATGGGTATGATGTGTAAATATTAAATGATCTTCACTAAAATGGATGCAGCATTATTGAAAATATCATCTACTTTGCGATAAAGGTAAATTGACAAATATAATTTCAGATAAAATAATGAGAAGGCATACGCTCTATTTTAAATTAAGGATAGATCAACAAATTAAAAGCATTCTCTAATGGTAAATGCATTATCGATAGCGTAAAGAATGAAGTTGAAGTTAAATGGATTATTTTATTTTTGTGAAAAGCATGCTCAAGAGAATTAGTTTATAGGTAAATATTCAGTTGAATTTCTAAGCGTTTCATAAAATTTAAATAATTTCAAAAGCCAGAAATTAGGAACTGAAACTAAAAGAGGAAAACGAGAAGTAAAAGAAAGAATTTTTATTCAAATTAAATCAGAAGGATGAAGACATAGATAGGCAGAGGAAAAAGAATGAAGAATTGGAGGGAATATTGTATTAACAAAAATAGAGGGAGAGCGATTGCACAATTAAACTATAATAAAAAATGAAGTTGATTCAGAGATATGAAAGTGACCTTTTGGAACTAAAACGATAACCTTCTTCAACAAAGAATTCTAATTAAGAAAATAGAGTAATCTTATTATTTATTCATTTAAGTTGAAAGAATTAGAAAATAACAATGCCATACTAAGTTTATAAATACAACAAAATTCCTAATCTTTAATAAATTTTGTAAAGGAGATGAATGAATTATTGGACAGTCATTCTTTTATATTGAATGAGAAGAACATTAGCAGCTTTCGTGCAAAATATAAATGAATTTTTATTTATTTTGTATCGATAATTTACAGTTTGGATACTCAACTAATTTGTTCATCTAACTCAGTATGTTATAAGAACTCATGAAACATAACTTTATTTTTATCTAGAAGCTCAGCAAATTAATGCTCCAATCTCATAGAATTCAATCCTAATTCCATAGGATAAGTTTCTAGTTTGAGCATTCTGTTAATTAATTTATCATTGCATTGAATAAATTTGCCCTTTCTGTTACTTACATAGTGTGTAAAGGATTTGACCATTTGCAATTTTTCGTTGGAAGGCAAATTCTAGTCAATGTTGACTGTTAGAAATCCAGTTTTGAAATCAACTTGAACCTAGAATTATTGTTGTTGTTATTTCAGTTATAGTTCTTTGAGTTGTAATAGACAAGATAATAATTGGGAGGAAGAAAGTTAATATTTTAATTGTAGAGACATCTCCTCATTTAAATTATGATTGATACTATTATTCTTGATCTATTTATTAGTATTGTGATTCCATAATTATCTAGTGACATATTTATCAACTACAGTGTCTAAGGTTTATTTCAAGTCTGGAAGGTTTTGTGTTCCTTGTTAGATTATTTTATATTAATTTGAATAACAATCATAAAGAAATTAAATCTAAGCAATTTATTAAAATTATTACTTTTTGTCTGTGTTATTAAGATAATTTAATTAATGAATCGAATAGGTAGTATAAATTAGTTTTACTAATATATCTTTTGTCTAAATTAATCTCTTATTTAACAGGTAATTCCAAAGATTCGGTTTTAAGAGAAACTTCGTATACAATACCAAATCTATGTTATTGCCCAATAAACAGTTAGTTGATGATCGAAGAAGCTGTGGGTGTTTCAGTTTAGAGTTAGTGAGACATCGGTGAAATGGCAACCAAGCCAGTAACAATTTAATTAAGATTATCATACTCTACAGAATCCAAGGGAGTAGAATTGTCACTCAATACTGTAAATAGTCTTTATTAGCCTGCCAATGGAATTCTTCGACCGTATTATGCCAAGTATTAATTCACGTCTTGTATTTTATTACCTACTCCCACTTTGACAATTTGAGTTTATGAATCATATTCTTTATGCTGAACCTTCCGCAGATTGATGATCAAAAAAGGGTGTTTACAATACGTAAGTCTCTTGATTTCTTTTTGGGACAAGTTAAGATTATTTTAAAGTTGTTGTTTGTAGTCTTCAATACTATCAACATCCATAGTAGTAACTTTGAATCCATATTTAGCAGCTTTTTATACTATTTTTTTGATAGCTTCCACTTTTTAAACATAAATGATTGCTGTGGGTGTAGAAAACTTTTAGGCGACATATTGTTTCATGTTACCGAAGTGCAGATGCATTCCGTCACTTCTGGCAACCACATTGCCAATAATCTGATCATCGAACATTTCTGTTCCATCATCTTTCTTAAAATAGGTTCTTGCTAGTTTTCTGATGAATCGGAGTCTTCGAAAGTACGTCTCTTCAAAATACTACTTCACAAAATAAGAGGTTGACAAAGCACCACATATAAGAGATATTCGAACGTATAAATTATTCATTAAATTTATGAATTGTTAAATCCACCCCTTTAAGCAGTGCTCTTTCTACAGTAAAAAATTGGATCGTCTTTAATGTCCTCTCTGTCTCTTACCATCAGATTTGCAATAGTAAGTCATAGATAATACTACAAAACCGTTGTAAAACAATAGCATCATTGATATCGATTTGGTAGAATCGCTAGCTCAGAGTCTGATTTAAGAAGAGGATATGCATCAAGATTTGAATCAATTAGAACAGAAGTATTTGGATATTATCACAGAATTCAAAAAAAACTCAATCGGCTTCTTAGAATAATTATGTTAGAATATCCAATCAGTGTTATTGTAGAATCTATACAAATTGAGGATGAAAGCAGAGCAGCATCAAACTGAGATGGAGGAGAATCAGAAATTGTTATAAAAGATCTAAGAAATGAGGAAAAAGGATGACTATGATTGCATTGAATCTATAACTTCACTACAAAGTGCTATTATTAAATCAGATAAAATTAATCATTAGAAAATAATATCATTATAAACTAATACCATTTAAATATTAGAAGATTTTGCAAAACAATTTATGAAAACTCTTGCTACCATTGATGTTCAGTAATTTGAAAATGACATTTAATTGATTTTCGATCCTAAATCGAAACCTTTAAACAAATAGCATGAAATTAAATCAGTAAATTAATCTATGTCATCTTAATTAGGCAATGTTTCAGTTGAATAAATTAAAAAAATAACGATTTAAAATTAATTTTAATCATAATATATAGTTAATTCTATTTTATCATCTGAAAGCTAAATAATTATAGGCACTAAATGTGGTAAACTAGTCCTTTATGAATGCAATTCATTTGATGAACTATTTTAATTAGATGCCCATAAAGATAGTGTCAAAATATTGGCAAAAGGATTAAACGAAAAATTATTTGTATCCAGTGCTTAAGATAAAGTACTTAAAATATGGGAAAAATTCTATTCAGAAACTGAAAGAGCCTTTCAAATTGCACTAAAATTTGATTTAGAATAATAAGTTAGTTAAGCTTTATGTTTAACAGTCTGTGAAGGAATATCAGTATCAAAATCAAAAATAATTAATCTGTAAATAGAATCTTATTAATATTATTAGTCTTTTAGTAGGATCTGCTGATAACACTGTTAGAGTTTGGAATTATGATAATGGATAATACTTCTTTACTTATTCAGGTCATACTGGAGATGTGTATAGTGTGGCTTTTGTGAAGAAAATAAATTTAATAGCTTCTGGATCTTAAGACAAATCAATTAGATTATGGGATGGCATAAATTATAAATATAGCAGACCAGTTTTTAAATTTAGTGGCCATACTGACAGTGTTACAGGAATATTAGCTATATCTGAAGAGAATCAAATTTTGTCTTGTGGGTTGGATAAAACATTTCGATAATGGGATTGCGACAAGAAAGTACAAGTTCGGGTGTTTACAATTCAATTTTTACCCTAGAGACTCATTCAATTCTAATCAGGAATAGTGGTAATCCAATCCTCTGATACAAAAGTGAGAATTTATGATTACAGAATAACTACTCTCTTGCATGAAATAAATAGTAATTTTTAAATTGATATATTTAGATCAAAGAAGAAATGTAGCAACTTATTGTGTTGACTATGATAATAAAAGCATCTTATGCGTAAGTGAAAATCATATAAATTTATTTTATTGATGAATTATAATAAAAACCAAATATTATTATTAAATATTCTTTTTTAAGGATTTATTTTATATGAACTTGATTTTTAATACAGATTATGTTACTTTTTATATGAAGAATACCCAAATTGGATATAATATAATTATATTTAGTTAAGTATAGCACAAACAAACTGTATAGAAGAGCTAACAAAGGATAAAGTCAGTTTATATATAAATAATAACTCAATCCTTTTTTATCAATAATTCTATGATTTCAGACATCAATTTATCCAATACTGGTAAAGGCAATCCGATAACATTAGAATAATCGCTATAATATATATCATTTATAATTACCCATTGATTTTTTTTATAAACATATTTCCTAGGGCTTGTATTGCATATCCGCCTGCTCTTCCTTTCCAATTTGATTCATCTTCAACATAAATTTGAATACTCTGTTCTGGCAAATATTAAAAGTGGACTTCTGTGGTTTCCACTCCATTCAATTAGAATATTTAATTTTTGTCATTTTTTCCAACGACATAAACACTTGTGTGTACCAAATGTAATGAATTACTGAACAACTTTAAAAAATTGTATGCGTCTTCCTTTGTATTAGGCTTCTCTATTATTTTTCCATTAATCTCACACACAGTGTCTGCGAAAATACAAATATCCCATTATTAATTGTTTTATTTGAATGTTTCAAGAAGATTTATGACTTTGCCTTCGCATGTCTTTTAAACATAAGTTAGTGGGTCAAGCTATTTATCTAAGTTTTCTTCAAAAGTAGAAGGAAAAACTTCAAATTTAAATAAATCAACCATATTTAACAATCCCTGCCTTCCCTTGCTTTGTGATCCAAGAATGATCTTCGCATTCTTTAAAAATTCTTTGTATGACAATAACATGGTCTTTATAAAAAAGAAAATATTATTATTAAATATACTATGAGAAAACAAATCAAAAATATATTTTCAGTATTTGCAATAAATATAAATAATAAATGGAGATAGCGACATGTTCAAAGTTTTACAGTCCTAAAGGTAATTTTTAAAAGGCATTCATAAATTTGAAAAGAAATAATCCAAAAACTTTCAAAACATTAATTCATGATCAGATTTAGAAAATTGATTCTCAAAAAATAATACAAGATTACAAAGAGAAAAGTAGACAACGCTAATGTAACTTTATTTGATAATATTGAAAGAAACTACTAGATTTTTAAGATCTCGCTAATAAGCATCTTAAAATTGTCTATAAAGTATTGTGATTGATAGCTTTGAGAAAAAAAATTTCTTATCTTCGCCAACATCCCCTGCATCTCCTCGACATAATTCTGTGACAGGAGAAAAGTCTATGAACTTCAATACCACATATATTTAAAAAAGAAGATAAATGTAATAAATCGAAAATTTGTTTACAGAATAAATTAATAACCAAAATAGAAATTCCCTGCTTGAATAAACGGAAAGATTCATTGCCGATACTCTGTCATAGGAATTTCGAGAATTAGGATCATTATTTAATAAATTTATGTAAGCTAAAAATACTGAATTAAATGAGTAACAAATAGATTTAAATATTAATGAGAGAAAATTCGAAATTGAAAAACAAGAGGAAATTCATCGAATTGATAGGAATTTTAATTCGAAAAAGGTTTAATATGAAATACAAATTTACAATCTTAATTAAGAAGTCGCTCAACTGTAATCTAAAATCAAAGATATAGAAACTAACTTCATTATAATAGTTGATAAGAATAATCAATTAACCAAAAAGTTAACCTTAAAAACAAAAGAAACCAATTTAAAACATTAATAAATACTAAAATTGCAAGAAGATAAAAATTATCTTATTCGAAAAATAAAGATTTTAAATGCTAGAAACAAACAAACCTTTGGGAACTCACAAAGAGAAGAAGGTCAAGATGATTTGGATAGCATTAAGCGATCGGTAGATTCGTTATAGAACTCTCAAAATTTAGAAAAACTCATGATGATTAAGTCTGATTCCTTCTCTTTAGATAACTATTCAGATAGCATAGATATGGGTGAATATCGATTAGATGAAGTTATTTTGAATCATGATACAATAATTGAATATCGATCTAAAGAAACTTAGACTACATTTGAATTGATGAGTGATCTATTTTCAATGTCAGAGACTCAAACACATATTTCCTTGATGGATAGAAGATATGATGTTATTAATTTAGACTACATTGATAATACTCTACATTATATAGATTTTTTCCTTTCATTAAATGATGAAATCCATACTGACAATCCATTTAAATCAAGTTAAGAATATAACCAAAACCTTTATGAAAATTAATATAATTCAATGATGATATCCTAATAGCCAGCTTCTACTTTTAATATACTCGATAAAAGCTCCTCTTCAAATAGAAATGATTTAATATCTTTCATGAAATATTTACACGAAAGATAATTGGAAATCGATAAAATATCAGCATTCTAAAAATAAGAAATTACTGAATTGAATTCATAATTGATTCAAATGCTCAAAGACAAGGTTTAAATCAGAGAGGAAAACTAATAATTAAAAAATGAAATTTAAGAACTATTAAAAAAATTAGAGTTATTAGAAAATTAAAGTAATTTCTAAAGACCTCTTGAGATGTTGTCAGATACTGAAATTTAAATAGATGAGACTATGTTAAAGAAAAATTAAAGTAAACAAGGAAGAAAAATTAGAAAAATTAGAAATCTTGGTAGCAAAGTAATTATTTAATAAAACTTCTTAGATTTCAATATCTTATGAATTTCAAAGAAATCAATCTAGATTACTAATAGAAAAGGTAAAAAATAAAAATCCATAAAAATTCACAAACTATATGCCCATCAAATTAGTCCTTAAATTTATTTATACAATTTATTAAGATAAAATATATAATCAAAGAGAAAATAAACTATTAAGAGACTAGGATATGGCTTCATACATCTATAACTATTTTTTATAGTAGTTTGGATATACTAGAATTACTGAGCAAAGATTCTTAATTCTGATATTATCAATAAAAAAATATTTAAGTATCATAAGAGTCAACATATTTGCCAAATTCTTAGGATTATTGGAAGATAAAGTAAATTATACAGTAGAGGAATAATAGAAATATCTCTAAGCACATGAGTTTATCCAAAATTAACATTAGCTAGGGGTTTAAGTTAAAGAAAATGAGTATAACCTAAAGTTCTATGTTCCTTATCTTAGGGCTCTTGCTTATGTTTCAAGTCTATAAAACTGGTATTTTTCTGGAGAAGAAATGAACTATTTGAAATAGGAAATAGAATAGTTGAAAGAGTCAGACGATAAGAATAAAAGTGGAATTATCGATTTCGATTAAATGATGCTCAGAGTGTTAGTAGTATTTAGGAATAATATTGAAAAAACTAAATTATATGTTATTAATGCATTTAATGCTTGTGATTTAGATGGCAATGGGTTTGTAGATGCTCATGAATGGATCTTATTGAATAAATATATAGAACCTTAGAAATATGATGAAACTAAACTTATAGAAATATTTGAAGAAGCAGCTGACATGTAATTAGATGAAGAGAAATATCTATCATTTGATAGATTTTCAATCTTATGCATGGAATCAGAACTTTTCAATGATGAATAATAAAATAAATTTTTAAAAGTTCGAAGTAATCATATTTTTATTTTTAGACAATTCTGAAGTTGAATAAAAATTTTTTGAATTAAGAAAGGGATGGCTCAATGAATATGTCTAAACATTGAATAGTATCAAAAAAAATCAAAAATTAGAAGATGAAGAATAAAAGCATTGGATTTAAATACTAAACATCTTAAATGAGAAAATATTACTCAATCCTTAATAAAGTAAACCTTTAATTATTTCCTTTAAAATTCTTTAAGGGGAGATTTACTAAAAAAATATAAATTGAATGAGTAATCTAATTCAAATTCAAATTTTTTTCATTAATAATTATGAATTTATTTATTTTTTATGTTACAAAAATTTTAATGAAAGGCTTTATATATTATGCATTTATGAATTATTTTAGGGTATATTTCCAATTAAAAATCTATTATAGCTTATGTTTTATAATTTGTATTTTCTTGAAATAGTAATTGATTATTTCTAATTTAATTTATAAAAATTTTGTACAACTCTAGATTTTCTAATTCAAAATAGTTAAAAAGTTCAAATTATTAAAATTCATATTAAAGACAGGCTCCATAATAAGTTAAATATAATGATTAATGAATTTCTAAAACTATCTATTAATTTTAATACTCTTTAACTTCCATTATAATTTCAACATTTAATAAAAACTTTCAATCTGAATTGTCAACAAATTATTTGACACTTACTAATGTATATAAAATATTATTAGTATTTTGCAAATGTATGAATGATTACTAAATATCTACTTTAAATAATATTATAAGAAATATAACATAGGATAATCAGATAATATTCCTTTTTTTCTGCATAAAACTTTTTCTTTTTTAGAAATTTGACAATAGTTCACTTTTTTTTTCTAAAACTTGGTCCAATAAAGATTGCGACCTTTTTTAGCGAGGTTTTTCGTATTTACTTAATTGTGCGATGTTTTGTTTTTAAATATAACTTCGAATTTAAAATATAGTAATTACTTGTCCTCTGTACATAAAATACTATATCTTGCTATTATCTCAAAGACATTAGAGAGTTAATGTAATTAAGGAGTTTGTGAAGACATTGAACCTTTCTTTGTATTCATCATTAGTAGGATTATAATATTTTTAATTATTTTAATAAATTTCTAAAATTTAATATTTTGAAAGGACTTTTAGTTATATTTTCAGATTTTTGAATAGTTTGCTTTGAATATATAATATTCTTTTATAATTTTAAGTCAAATATAACTTAAAATAGCTTTAAGAATAAAAAGGTTATTTTATAAATTAAATTTAAGAATTCTTAAAATGATTTCATAAAAGTAAAAACAAAAATATACGTTCAAATTTTTACATGTTCATAGAATATTGTAGTTATTAATTGTAATAATTTATCTTTATCATTTAAGGCTTACATATAATATTGATGTAAGTTTTATGGATCTTCATTTTACGTTTGACTATTTTCTTTTACTTATTCTTAGTTTTGAAACTCAAAGATGAGAGCGTTCAATTTCTATATTTATCGATTCTATTAGATTAATTACCGACAAATTGTTTAGAAATTTTCATTTTATTACTCTTTTATTTGTTTGACTTCTTAGTCTTTTATTCTAGTATACTATATATAAAAACCAATATTCTAAAAGTCTATATATATAATTACTTCTAATAAATTTGAGTATTCAGCATGTCTTTCCTATTACATTTGGGTGAACTTTGTCAAAGAGCCTCCCCTTGAATGAGTTCCGTGTTAAATTACATTGATTTATTTTTCTAAATTGGCAATTTTATTATTTTTCTCTGCTATCTGTAATTAAAGCTTGGCTACATTATTTTCATCAGGACTTTTAAAAGATTAATTGATATAGCTAACAGGATGTTCATACCTAATTAATGATTAATTAATGTCAAAGCCATTTAACTGTGGGGACACCCCAAATTTTTATTCTATTTCTATAATCTAGCTGGTATTAGAAGACAATAACCCTTAAGGTCTATGATTATCTAAAAATGTCCTTTTTTCTTAATTTGAATTTAAATAATCATCTAATTCTAATTTGTACTTTTCCATCTTCTTTTTATATTAAGCAGTTTCTTGTTCTTATTCGTATAATTTTTTTCTAAACTTACTAATTTATTATTCATATTCAGCTTGTTTACTCAAAAGTTTTAGATTTTCATCCTTTTAATTTTGAATTTCCTTTTTAAGAAGTTCAATTGTTCTAGTTTCAGAAGAATCTTTTTGATCTGTAGTTTCATAATCTAATGATGCTCTTTCAGTAGGTTGATTAGATGATAATTATGATTTCAATTTTTAATTTTTCTTCCTTTTGTTCAAAATTTCAGTTTATTAATTTTACACTAAATTGTTAAGTTCTTCAATTTACTTTTTATTTTTTTCTTAATCTTTTGCAAATTCTTGAAATTTATAACATGCTTCTTCAAAATCATCACAAATGACCTTTTCTAAGAAAAAATTAGCTTGAGCTGTTAATTTATCGATTGTTTCTTCATGCATATCAATTTTAGTTTTCATATCATCTAAGATATTTTGATAATCATATTTCAACTACTCAATTTATTTAGTTTATTAAATGATGATATTATCCTTGCTATACAAGTTTTCTTCAAGTGATATAATGGTGTTTGTTGTTTAAAACTCACATGGTCCTAAGTCTTATAGACTATTTGATTCCAATAAATCATTTTACAAAAATTATACTATCTCTTCTTACTAATTAACTGTACATTATTTCATATAGTAAATGGCCTCCTCTTTATTTACATAAAAAATAGTTTCTAGAAAATATTTGATAAACTTAGCTAATTCTTCATTACAATCAGAATTAGCAATATCTTCTTTAAATTCTTTAGTATATAGGTTATGATTTCTTCTTATCCTTTACAAATGAGTTATAATCAAGTTCCAGAGATGTTGTTTCAAGTCGGTTTTAAAGCTATAATAATTTTGGAGGATTTATATATTACAATTCATCTTCCAATTATGCAAATAGGATTCCATCTTAAATTTGTCCAAAATCATGGATTCGCCTTTTTGAATAATTGCATTTGTTCAACTATTAATTTAGAGAAGTATTTTTACTAGTTCAATTACACTTTTCATAAAATTTAATAAAAATATTTGACAATATAAACAACAGAAATTAAATGAAATATCAATCATTACACTCTTCATCTTAAAAAGATAAGAGTTCCATTTTTTTTGTTAATTTTCCATTTTATTATTATTTGTTAATATGTTTAGTTTCAATTTGCATCTACTCAAATTTTCCCTATAAATCATTAGTCTTATTGTTTAAGAATTTATCAGCTTCTTTTTAGGCTTCACTTTGATCATACTCTACATTGGATAGATTATAATAGTCGAAATTGTGATATGGAGTATTAATAGTGCAATCTATTTATTCAGGTTCATAAATATCTGGTTTGCACGAATTAGATTTCAATTGATTGTCTAGCAAATCAAATAAGTTTAACAATCCTTATTATTTTTCTCTAAATTGATTTGAAACTGATCCATTAACTGGAATTAGTTGTTTTGAGGAATGATATAGATCCATTAATTCATTTATTGTTCCCTCATTCTTAATATCAAAATAGTCTTCTGGTATATCAGGAAAATTGGGAATAGCATCTGAATAGATATTTTTTCCAAACATCTGAATAATTCGAATAAAATAGAAGTTTTTATCTTAAATTATAAAATATATTAATTAAGACTTGACTTATAATATTAATTATTATTATGTAGTTCGTTATTAGTTCTTTCTTTGATGGGATCTTACTTATTTATTACAAATAATTAAAGATTTTAAAGATAATTAAGAATATTAGATCTAATTGTATTTAATAATTTACAAATGATAACTTCAGAGGACAGAATATCCACAATCCTTAATGTTGGGTTGAAGGAACAATTAGCCAAATTTAAAAACTAGTCATTTCGAAAAAGACAATTATTTAAGGAACCAGAACTAAGGAGAAAAAGTACTGATTATTGGCTTGCTTCAGATAAGGAGAAGCGTCTTGACTTGTTTATGCCAACAGATGAGCATGAAGAATTGAATAAAAAATTATTATTAAGATGTAATACGAAAACCCTTGTAGTTAAACGAGCAAAAGGTCTAATTAGAAACGAGGTCAAATCAAAATCATTTTAATCTATAAACAACACAGTTTAGAACAAAATTTTTTATATGAAAAAGTCAGCACAACATTTGGATAAACTAGCTGATTTTGAGACGCCTTCAAAGAAAGTTAATGGATTTGAAAACATGATCAAATCAAAAAATTATGAAATTTATATCAGAGGAAGAACTAATTGTATGATTAGAAATTATATTAATGAAATTTTCAATTGCGACTAAAAACCTGATGTGAACATTTCCAAAAGAATATAAACTTTACCAAATACGTAAATTAAAAAATATAAACATCCACTTGATAGAAATGAATAAATTCTTAGGACATATAATTCAAAATAAAATGATATTATTTTGAAATCTCTAAGATTTTGATTAAATATTGTATTAAAATTATTGGATTAATTTGTTGTTAATGCATTATTAAATTAAACGATAATTATATCAATTTTATGGAAGTTTTCTAATTTAAAATCTCATTAATTATATATATATTAAAATAATGAGTGACTCAATAGACTAATGTAATTAATAATCTTGATTTTAAGTGGAAAACTTTCATGGTCCCAATTTGATGATGGTTTCTCAAAGAATTTTACTTGGAGACGGGGATATTTGCTAAAAATCTCCAGACAGTAACTCATTTACTGTTCGAGACCAATCAAAAGTTTAAGACTAAAGCAAAGACCTAATGGATGTTGTCCCAATGGATATGCATAAATCATATAAAGGATTGAAACGTTCAGAATATTAGTCCGCCTATGCTATTGACGAAGAATTAGAAACTGGAGGTAAGCCATAATTTTTAAAACTTATTATCTCTAAAAGTCTACAAAATAACTTCATAAATAATTTATGGAACAGAAGCTATTTAAGGAAATTGCATCAGCTAACTCCTTTTTAAATTTAAGCACTTGATGATTTATAATTTGAAAATGAAGTTTATTCGGAAGAAGATTGTACCAAGAAGCAAATAAACATTTGTGAAATTATTAGAAAGTTCTTCCTTTAATTAGAAGTCTTCACCCCATATAGTAAATTAATTTTTATTTGGGATTTGTTTTAAATTTTCACATATGTTTTGATATTTTTTTGGCTGCCATACAAGATTTCATTTTAATTAGAAAACATTGGATAACTCCTAAACCAAAAATCACAAAACCAAATGATTGAGATCATCCTTTTGACAATTCTAAGTTTCGATGTTGTGGTTGGATTGAATTTAGCATTCATTTATAAAGGAATAATAATCAAAGATAGAAAGAGAATCATAGTTAATTATTTTAAGCAATATGCATTTGTAGACCTTGTAAATATAAAGATGTATATTAGTATAAAAGGTCTCAATAAGCACAGTTACAATTCAATTCTTTATTTTAAATGACAGTTAATAAGATCGTGATATTGACAATAACCTGACCCTTCAGATCATATTTTGTTCCACATTTTATGTCTTGAGAATGACAAAAATTAATAAAATACTAGCGTAAATTCAAGAGTATTTTATTCATAATATATGAGATTTTTCAATTTAAATGGATCCTTAAATGATTTAGTTGGATTACTAAAACTCACAATGATCATATTATTTATTGCTCATATTTGTGCATGTGTATGGCATGGAGTAGCCTTTTACAATGATTCATATTCTTGGTTGGATGCTTATAATTTTAAGGGATTCAGGGAATGGATCGAAATATAATACAGCTATATATTGGGCTACAATGACAATGACAACAGTGGGATATGGAGATATAACTGCAAAGAATGATGCTGAATTATTGATTAATAATCTGACAATGTTTATAGCCTCAATTGTTTTTGCCTATTCAGTAAATAGTATAGGAATATTTGTGTCAAACATGTATAAAGGAACTATGGAATACAGTAGAAGTGTTACTCTAATCAATACTTTTATGTCTAAAAATAGTATTCAATTTGAACTTCAGACTAGAATAAGGAGTTACTTGGAATATATTTGGTAGGAGGAATAAAACATGAATGACGATGAGGTTTCTTAAATCATTTGTAAATTAAGCAGTCATTTATAAGATGAACTCTAATTTTAATTAAGAGGAAATATACTCAGAAATTGTAAAGTGATGGTCAAGATATTTTCTGAAAAAATGATCAAGTGTTTATTAGGATAAATGGAAGAACAGAGTTTTTCACCTGAAGAGAGGATTATTACTATTAATTAAATTGATGATAGTTGTTTATATATAATTACAAAAGGAGAAATCGAATTGATATTTGAAGGCATGAACAACCTAAATGAAAGAGTCAAAAGAAACAGTTTGAAATATCTTTCTTAAGGTGATTTCTTTGGTGAACTTTCATTTTTTACAGGAGAACCTAGAAAATGCACTGCCATTTCAAGAGGGTTCACAAAAGTATTTAAAATAAAAAGAGAAAACTTCTTGAAGATATTATCCTCATTTCCTAATGATTATGAAAAGTTTTGTGAAGTGAAACATTAATTAAAATAAGGAGATTTTAATTCTTTGTAGATTTAATGCTACAGTTGTTAAAGTACTTCTCATTTAATTGATTCTTGCAATTACCTCCATTTTTGTGCAGATAAAGAAGCAATATTAAAGAAAGAACTTTATCCTTATAGTCAATCTCGTTCTGGAATAATTGTTCGAGGTGCAAAACCTTATAGACATAAATGGAGTCAACTGAAATATTTAGTTTAGAGAGCTAAAGACTTTTAAAATGATTTTTATTAATAGCCAACTGATTTTGAAAATGAGGAGAATGAATAGCCTTCACAAATTGCTAATGACAATTACACTTATGAAGACGAATCAAAAGGTATGAATTTTAATTATAGTTTTAAGTTGAAATTGATGTACCTTCAACACTGAATCAAAGGAGTAATTCTAGAACATTGAGTAGAGTTAGTCAAAAGCCTAATCAGGTAGGTAATGAGGAAGATGATGAATCAAAATTATACACAAGAAAGGTAGTCAATCCAAGAGGGACAGTGTAGACAGCAGGATTTGGAAGTGCTAGTTTAAGGGAAAGCAAAAAGTTTGAATTAACTAAAGATTATGAAATAGAATAACCAATTTCCGAAGAATCATCATCAGAAGAGAAAGATCAAATTATAGTACCATCAGTTTAAAAAACCTCAGATAGGTCTCAAAAATAGAAAATCACTTTTATCAGAAAAGAATCATCTGAAGAAATACCTAGACAAGCTTCTCTTCTATCTAGAACACTTACTCAGAATAGATTATAATAAGACATTTTGAGAAGGACTGCTACTCCAGATAAGTTGGCTTCTGAAATTGAAATATAAACTAATAACAATACTAATATGAAAAGATAAGCTGGGAAGAAACACTCAACAACTAAAACATACACAAAATAAATTCAAGAACCTACAGAGGGTAATCAGAACATGACTTCTGCCATAGATAATCAAACTTACTTACCAACTATACCTTAAATATTTTCTCAATTTGATAAGATGTAGATGTTTACTCATTTTTTTCCATTTAGCAATTATGATATTGTAATCAAAAGATATGCAAGAATACAAAAGTTCTTTGGTAAAAAAAGATAATATCCTGAATCATCAAAATACTCATTTTATTTTATGACAATTAAGAAAGGGTGGAAATTAAAAAGGTTAGGAGAAAAATTACAAGGTTTTAAGTTAATAGACACTATAAAAAAACCTTTTGGGAAAACAATTTAAGGTACCAAAATTATTAAAACCAAAAATATTATGCAAACCATAGGAAATTTAGGATAAGCAACTCCATAACTGGAAGAAGGGTAAGAAAGGTTAGATGGCCTCCTATGAGAATAATCCTTATTAGATTGAACATAGTATTTTCTTAGATATATTATACATTACTCTTTTAATTTATTTTATTATAATCATGAATTAGATTCCCTTGGTTTTCAACATAAAATAAATTATAAACTATTAATTTAATTAGTTATACTATTGAACCAAAATGTAAATAAATCAATCATCATTAAAACCTCCTGTTCCTCCTCCAATTGAGTTTCCTGCTTGATATGATCTATGATTTGAATGATTATTATTTTATTCGTGATCTTTTTATTCATTATCAATTAAATTATCGTCTCCTCCTGTATCTTCATCCTCATCCTTAACTTTATCAGGGTCAAATAGACCCAAATCATGAGGATTTACTTCAGTGTATGGACGTGGAAAGTCTTCTTCAATTTAATCTGAAGGAGAAACGAATGATTTTTTTAATGCTAATTTATGTTTAACTTCTTTGAGAAATAAAATGCTTAAAATAGCTAAAGTGTATAAAGAGCATATTATTGTGATTCCCATAAATCCATCAAATCTAAAATTATAAATACAACTTTGTACTTTGTTGCTTTTTTGCCATGGATTACCATACTAACTATTTGAGCAATAAAGGAACTTCCCATAGTGGCACCTGAATATTGTAATCCGATGCAGAAAGAATCATTTAATGGGTATATTTATTCACAACCCCATTCCAGTAATAAAGGTATTGCAGGCAAGATAAAGAATCCTTGCAGAGTTGCCATCGCAAGCATAATCACATAGTTTTATAAATAGCATCCCCAAAGGAATCCATAGAATGTAAAAATAGTACAAAATTCCAGAATAATAATAATGGGCTTATATTTTCCCCAACTTTTATAAATTGTAGGAATAATTAAGGAACTAAGAAATCCTCCAATCACAGGCATAACCGATAGAATTGCAATATCAGATTTACCATATCCGTAAGGTAGCAAAATGTATACTAGAGCTACACCATATCCTTTGTAGGAACCATAAAACAAAGTGAAAGAAATAAATATTTGCATCTAAAATGTAGAATTAGATATTTTACAAATTTAGTATCTTTTAACATTTAACAAATGCTATCTGTAAAAGAGATTACTTAAGTTGGTCCTTTGGCAGCTGCTGATGGAGGAGTTTTGGGTTTTGTTTCAAAAAAGATCAACAGTGGAATCAGGAACACTGCAGAAAATGCTGCTTCCGAAAACAGCAAATACATAAATCTTGAATCTCCTGTGTCTAATACATCTTAAGGAGATTTCTCATCAATAGTAACTCCAGCAAAGAATATGGGTGGAATAATATATCCCAATATTCCACTAAATGTGACTATGAAATTCAACATAGTCATTAATTTCGTTCTCTGATTGGCTGGAAACCATTCCACCGCAACTGAAGCCTGAGCATTCAGGATTAATGGTCTGCCTATTCCACTTAATGTCTAACCAATTAAGACATAGATGAAACTACATTTATTTATATATTCTTACGATTATCTAACTAAACACCTTGAAAATACCCCTAGTAAAGTCAAAATAGAGCCTATTTTTATTGACATGCTACTTCCCTTGTACATAATTAAGTAGCTAGCAGGAAATGTAAATAATGGATGCATAAATAAATACAAAGTAGCTGAAAGAGTTACTATAGAAGGGTCTATACCATAGATGTTACTTAGCTTTGTTAAATTATACAGTTTTTACTTCCACCGCTATTGGATTGCAAGTAGCATAAACTGCTGTATTGCACAATTCCGCAATTGCAAATAAAAATAATATCACATATCTCTTTTAATATAGTCTATATCCCTATTAGAAACTTGATTTAAGTTCATTAGAATTGTTTATTTGATCTAATTGATCAGAGTTCTATTCAGAACTTTAATTCTTCATAAATTTTTATAATAAATTGTATTTTAACTATTAAATCATTTAAAAAAGTAATTTTTTTTAATTAATTATAAATCATAATGCATCATTTTAATTCATCAATTCATAAGTATTAGAATTTATTGATTTTCCTTATCCTATTAATTGTAATTTATATATTCTACTTGACTTTAAACTTTATATAATAATATTATTATTAATTCATTAATATTTCTGTAAAGGAACCTGATACTCGTCTAAACAATCTCGTTTATTCGTGATTACGCCTAAAGATTATAGATAAAAATCAGTGATTTTTAATTTATTCTTCAATCTGAAAAAAAATTTGATTTTAAAATTTACTGCATTGAGTAATATTTTCAGTAGTTGACACATTTTTATGATTTAAATTATAAAATAATATGATCAATCAAACTAAGAGTCATCAAGAAATTTTTTCTCTTGCAATCCTTAATAGGTAGTAAGTCCCATCTGATTTTCAGGTTTTGTATATTCTTTGATTTTCTAACCCTTTTTATGGATCTAAAACTTAATAATAAACATACTTTATCGATTTCCTCTAAAGCATCAATTAATTTTTATTAAGTTGCAAAATGTATACCTTCTTTTTATTAGATGAAATTAGCAGAAGATGGTACAAATTGGTGAAATGGTTCTTCTAAATCATTTTAAATAATTGCATCTATTCTTCTCACATTAGAAATGGTTTGTTCGAGCAATCTCCGAAGAATGGGGTTTTTGCTGGCAGCTTATAAGATTTCTTCTTTATTTAATTCTCCATCTCCATCTTAATCAACTTATTTGATCATTTCTCTAATGACCATTTTTAATTAATATTTATCATTTTCATTGATGATATTTTACTTCAAGATGTTAAAGATTTCTTTTTCACTTACTTTACCTGAGCCATCTTCATCACATAAATCAAAAAAGACTATTCTATATAAGGTTTATACAAATTACTCTTTAATTTCTCATCTATGGTATCATCTTTCAACACCTCTAAGCCTACTATAAGTTCTTTATAATCGACAGTGCCACTTGAATCCTCGTCAAAAACATAAAACAATTTTTCTGCAAGATTTTTGTCAGCCCCCAAACCAAAGGAAATGAGCAATCCTTGAAATTCCTCTCTGTTTAATCCATCAGGGAAGTCCTTGGCTTATTTTATGATGGATTAATAATTTTAAAATATCTATCTAATGGCATCTTTCCTATTCTTTAATAACCATTAAATAGTTTTCCATTTCATTTTAAATTTAGATTTCGGAGCTATCTTTTTTTTGAAAGATTATAAGTTAAATCCGTAATCCTTTCTTGCAACATTTAACATAATACTAATTGAACCACTAGCCACGGGTAAGGCCTACTAATTAATTTTACTTTGCATAGAATATTTTTACTTGTTGCTTGTCTTTTTATCATAAATAAATCTATAGATCTATTCCATTCTTAAATGTTAAGGTGCATTACATTTATGTTTGAACTCTAATTTAATAAAAATTATACTAAATAGATCTTGATCATGAGAAGTTTTAATGATTTCATCAAAATCTTCATCCTCAATATGTTTGGATTTAATAGTTTTGCTGATGATAAATGATCGAATAGGTTTCACAGTTGTAATTCTAGTTTGACTCCGATTGGATGAAATAGTTTATTAAGGAATGGTTCTATTGCTATGAATAGTATTTGCTGTTTTAGCAGATTAAATCCTATGATAATAATCTGTTGATTGAGGTCGGAATCCCTAGTTTAAGAGAGAGGGTTTATAAATTTACATAATAAATATAAATATAGAATTATCAAATAAATCAATATGATTCATGGTAATCATCAATATGCATCCTGGCTTAATGTTTAGAGTTATCTAAATCAATGGCTTCAAACTGAATGCTCTACATTCCCAAATTATTGATCGTAATTGAAGTGAACATATACGATCATCCAAATTATTATTTCAATGAAACGAGGTGACTGACAAAGAAGTATACTTATTATTCTACAATTTTTTAATTACAAATTTTATATCTAATTATGCTTTATATAACTTAAATTTTAATTATTTGTTAATTATTTGTTAATCTTAATCATTTTATATATAATATGACATTAATTTCAAGCGTTTTGCTTGTATTTTGGGAACTAGTGTTAACTTAGATATTTACTTAATAACTTGATAAACAATATTAACTCGATGTATATGTTTAAGTTTGACCGCCGTAGTACCTTGGATCTCTCATTTTGACTTATATCCCATTCTCAATTAAGATTGATTTAAATTCAAATGGAATATCTCTTGCATGATTTGTTTGATTTCCACTACAAATTGTCCATACCTCTCCTTAAAAATTACAATCACTATAAAATGCTACGCAAGGCTGCAAAATTTATAAAATGAATCTTTTAGCTCCCCAACCCTCTAACATAAGAAATTATAATACCATTAGAAAGCGGCTCATCAAAGTTACCATCTAAGGTTATTTTCATAGAACTTCTTCCTTCTGGAAAATTAAACTTTATTTATTTTTCAGCAAACAAATCTAGATATTACACGTAACACATATCTACTCCATCAGCAGGAGTGTACCAAAATTTACCTATTTCTATCTCATCTGCAAAGACTATAAGAAAATCATTAGGATCCCAACTATCAATTTTTGCAATTGTAAAATTAAAACCAAACCTGGCACCTCTTACATTATCAAACTATCTTGATATTGTTTCATTTAAAGTAAATGGACCTAGGAATATATTACCTGCACAATCTCCTACTTTGTTTGACCAATCATTATTATAACAGTCAGCACTTCGAGTATCCATACAGTTTTAATAAACTAGGATTGGGTAGAAAAACACAATCTTTATGAATGACACCTTTGGCATTGATTTTCAATAACAAATGTCTTGAATTTTAATTAATGAATAAATATATTCACCAATCTATCATATATACTAATCTAATTCAAATTATTAAGACTATTAATATTTTTAAAAATAAAATAACCCCCTGAGATTATCTGATTTTGAATTACCTTAGAAGGGGATAAGAAGGTAGTTTGAGTTTAGAGAGATATGAAAAATAATTTCTTTAGGAATAATTTAAAATTTTGTTGACCTATTTTTAGGATTTCAAATTAATAATGAAATTAGAAATAGTTTAGCTAATATATTGAAATAGTACATGCATTTACTATATAATCAGAAAAGATTCAACTAATATATAGATTATGGTCAACCTTCAAGCAACTACAATTTGAAATATTTAATCTTTATAATATTTATTTAAACTAAATTTATAAATAAACTTTTTTAATTTTTTTCCAAATAACAACATTATAATTTAAAAGTTGAAAAATACACTTCATTTTTTATACTGAGATTTTGACAAATTTAGTATAATACCTTATAAAGCATGATGAAGTTAATCTTCAAAAGCTAACCTTTTAAAAGTTTCTCTAGAGGAGTCTCTTTACTATATTATCTCATTATATTTAAGGTTTAAATGATTAATTCTAAGTCAGAATTCTTCCTAGTATGCAATAAGTTTATCTCTAAGTGTTTGGTTTAGTGTATCATAATTCATGAAGTCATTGTGAGTATTAGATATTTCTCTTAAAGTATGCTCTTAAATATGTTCAAAGTGCCACAGAAAAAACTAAATTCTTTGGATTACTACCAACTTTGATTTTATCTTTCAAGGTATTTATAATTAGGCAAATGGCAAACTTCAAAAAATATCAGTTAATCTTTGTTATTTTCATCAATAAACTTCTCTCATAATTGGAAGTCTCGAAATAAGTGATAATAAGGTACTTATCACTGTTTAGGAGATATAAGAAATTATTGCCTCAAGCTATTCTTTTGTATATCTCATTACTCGGTAGTTCTAAAGCCAAAGGAACAGCATTTCTAATCTATTTCCTAGAAGAGGTTGATTTTCAAGTTTCAACGTTTTTTATATTATAGGTTTCACTATACTTCCACCATTTTCAATCTCTTCAATTGAATAATTATTCTTTGTGAGAACACCTGATAAAAGTAAGGTTTGATGTAAAACAAACCTTAGTATCGGAAGGCTATATTCAAATTTTTTGGCCTTAAGGTGTCTCCAATTCCAAAATATTTTATATTTGGTAGCTATTATCCTCAATCTAACAAGTTTAACAATTAGTTAATCAATGTAAACATCAAGCAGGAAGTTTGGAGTAGAGATCCTAAATGGACTAAACCTTAGCTTAATAAAAAGCTTCCATTAAAAGTTTATTGATGTTACAAAAACTAATAGAATTATGGTCAACTTTAGAAATAATAATGATCATAATTACAGAACTTCTAATGTTAAACAACTCAACCAAAAATTAAAGATTATTTGGAGAAATGTAATTATGAGTTAAAATTCGATGAAAAATAAAAGACAATAGATTATTTTACGAATATTTCTAAATTCCCCTAACAAGATTAGTAATATAGTTTAATATTCGAATTAATTGCACAAAAGATATCCTTTTTTACTCTTTATAAATGGAACTTCAAATTATTTTATCCTAGTTCTATCTTAATAAGATCTTTAATTCAAATAAATAGAAATTTTATGAAAACAAATGAGATTATTAGTATCACATTCATTATTAATATTTCAATTTTATAGTGGTTCAGATTTTTTAAGGGAAGGAATGCTGTAATAGAATTCCTTTGATTTCCTCGAAATGATTAGGGATATATTAATTTTTATTTATTACTAACCTTTAGAATACGTTGTCTTATGGGGAATGGAGAAGATAGACATAGGTTTATGGTCTCAGAATTTATACAATCATTTAAGGAAATTCAGTTTTTCAGTCTATATTTTTGTTAACCTATGATAATAATCTATTATGATAGTAATGGTTTGTATTTTTCTCATTTAATTAATATCTCCGCCAGAGACTGGAGCAGCATATTTAAATTTCAAAGGTAGCAAGTATCAGACAGGCCTTAATAATGCTGTATAGAAAAAAAAGAAATAAAATTTTGGACAGAGTTCCCTAAAGCAAATCTGAAATACACAGTTATTTTTTGAAAACAAATCAATAATAGATAGATAATTAAAATATGATTACAAAATTATCTCATTATCTATAATTTTCCTATTGTTACTGGCATCTTGCTTTAGTGTACTTATGTAATGTATCATGACGACTTCCAATACAGTTTACAACAGTATTAAAAAATTGGATACTTAAGTGTCTTTATGTTCCTACTGCTTACTTCGAATTGTATTATTCTATTGGGGATGAAAAATAAATTTTGAAACTACTTCTATTTACTTAATATTTATAAAAATTTTAATAATAAAAGATCAATTACAAAAATTAATAAGAAATTATCTTAAAAATTATAAAAATTGAGATTTCTTTTTTTTTACAGTTCTTTTTAAAACTTTGATTTGTAAATACTGTTCAATAGAATAAACGAGAGAAAGAAAAATCCTTAAATTGCAAATCGCTGACCTAAAATTAATCCTTATATTTCTTAAGTTAGGTTTCACATTCTTGGGTACATATTTTTATGTTTCTGAAAAAGATTTTATATTACCTATTCTTTTTTATATCAATCTCTTGAAATTTGGTCTGATTTTTGTCATTCTTACGTAGATTAAATAGTTATCTAGACAATGAATTAAGTTTATTTATCTACTAATATTCATTATTTTTTGGACAAAAAATAATTTAATGAATTAAATATATTTAAATCTAAAAAAAAATTTTTAATTTGGTGAGATTTATTAAAGATTTTTCACATATATAAATATCAATGAATATTTATCATTATCACATTAGCATCCTCTTCTTATACAGTGTTCTACTAAATGGAATTTTAAGTCAAACAATAATAGATATCAAAGATGGATTTTGCAATTGTGAGGAAATTTAAACTGATTTGGAATGCCTACTTATGGGAAAATGCAAAATTGAAAATGGAAAATTACCATCACTTTCCTGCTTTGAGTTGAAAATGAAAAAGTACATGGTCTAAATTATTGGTCTCATAAAGAGTTTAAATTTCGTAAATAAGTCTTAGTGTAAAGTTGAGAAATATGCTAAGAAGATTGAGATAGTATAACTTAAATGATTTCTTGCTCAATAAATTAATCAAACTGATGACTGAGAGGGGATTAAATTATTTAAACAATAGGAATATTTTTCTCTTCTAAACCTATAAATTATTTTAACAAAGTCTTAAATTTTTACAATTTATATCAATATTTTAATCTGTAATATTCAATTTCATCAAACATTTAGAGACTAAATATGGAATTCAATAATAAATAGAATGAAATCCAAAGAATTTCTCTTGATAATTCTTCTTTATATCCTATCTAACATAATATTTAAATATAATTTAACAATTATCATTCTTATCTTAATAACCACTCTTCGGTGTAGTTTCTAAATGTTTCTTTTATAAGTACTGAACTCAGGCACTACAATATCTTAATATCTTGCAAAAATTTGGCAACCATGTGTCTCAAGGTAATGAACACATAATCAAAGTGGACTTTATCAGACATTGTTATTTCTTCTATTTCCTTAGGTCATCATAAAAGGAATTCCATGACAAGTCTTTGTTCAAAATATTATCCATATCAACTTTTACCTGACTATAATCATATAAACACTATTCTTACCAGCCCCGATTCCTAATTTATAGATTGCTATTCAGTTTAAATGTGGACAATTTGGTCTTCAAACTGATCAGCAATCTTTATTATTATGCAGTTTCTTTGCACAAGCAGGTCGGAAGGTCCTATTTACGACGATAATATTAAAGTGACTTCCGATTGACGCCCCAGCCATGTCGGAAGACACCCGTGTCCACCCCTTGATCGGATAGGAAATACAGATTAAACTCGGGCCTTTTAGGGCCTGGTCAGGGCCAGATCTCTGGAAGGGAAGTTAATAACCCGAGAACGGAGAGGACAAGAAGACTTATCTCGATATGACGTTCGTCACATCGTTAATGACGTATTATATGACATTAGAAATTAAGAGGGAAAATGAAAGAAACCACCCGCTTATAAATCTAAGAATGTGGGCATCGAAGAAATGGGCAGTGAGGGAAAACTAAAAAATGAAGGAAAATTGTTTTTGATTTCCATAATGGAATTGAGTTCTGATAAAATCTGGCAACACTATAAAAGTGATT